CGTAGGCGATAAGGAACAATTTGTATATCTCAGAATTTCGGAAAAGTGCCTAGTTTTCGAGAAAATCGAAATTTTAGTTTTTCGTAGTTCCGCCGCTCGCCGCCAGATGGCGCCACTTGTACCGTTTTGGACCGAATCCGACAAAAATTCATTTTCTGGCTTTATTAGGCATCAAAACGCATCAAACCCTAATAGAAATTTGTTTCTAAATGCCTCAGGTACCATACTACGTCGTCAAAGTGCCGAAATATTGCACTTTGCATTTGCAGTAGAATTGACATAGACGGCTCATGTACGCATCGCAATGCTGACACAAAATAATTAATTACTCATTACCAGAACATTATTTATGAACTTTTATGATTGAACCATGTAAATAATGCATTGCTCACCATTCTTTAATTATAAAAGTTCGTAGACTGTGCTCAAAAAGTGAGTAATTAAGGATTTTGCATACTCATTATCGTGTATATTCCTCTTGCGCGCCGCCCGCGCATGCCACGGAGGAATAATTACCGAAAAACCATACCCCCGTAAATTTTAATGCAAAATTGAATGTGCTCGCACTTATGTACTTGACCTTTCAACTTTTTTGTCCACGTTTTTCTTTTGCACCACTCAACCAATTCAACCGGATGATACGGTTGATTATTTTTGCTTTAGCTCGCTCAACATTGTTAGGTTAGGCACGGAGCCCCTCAATCAAACAGACCTAGTTGTGAACTACCCTTAAACCTTGGAAGCAAGTATGAAGCAATGTGTGAGGCAGGTTCAGTTTTACCACGCAATAAAATTTACTCAACATTGTTAGGTTAGGCGCGGGGCGCCTCAATCAAACAGACCTAGTATCAAACAGTAACCAATCGAAATTAGGCATCGATTTATCTCTTTTCGTCACGCAATGAATCCCCTTCAAGAATATGCTATGTCTTTATGTTTCTAGATGTCCCTCGTTCTCTCAGTGATACCAACAATCAGAAGTGACAAAGGAATATTATTAGGAACATTTTGCAAATATTCCAAAACGTTAATTTTATACTTTATGAAAAAGAAACATAATAAATGTTTAATTACATGAATACAAAGCACGTGTTGTTTCCTGTTTATTGAATAACACAAATGACATTATTCATTTATGCTAATCGCGTTCGAATCAAACTCGAAAATCTCCGCCATTGAACAGTCGCAGTTATAAACCGGCAAAGAAGGTGCGCACTCGGGACCTTTCAATATACAAACACCGTGGTTCTGTTCGCTGTATTCCACGCCATGACTAAAATTTGTCGGAAGAGTAGGAGTGCAGTCGCTGTGACAGGTCAAACGGTGAATAGCGAAGTTACTTAATATTTGCCTAATACGCCAAACGTTTCTCGTATCGAAAAACGTTGAGTGATTTATTCTCGGTTCTTCGTTTCTATTTCGTGAATTATTGTTAGCGGTGAAGATTCGCTATTTTCGTAAGAACAGTAGAATTTACGGAACAAGAAGAGAGCAAGCGCAGAAACCAAACGGAATGGAGGTTGGTTACAATTAATTATTTCGAAATTAATGTTGCATGATCGATAGCACTGTATGTGCTGGAAATACTTCATGTATACCCTGTGTCATGTTTCTTCCTGAAAAGAATAGCATCCTCTCTCCTTCTTGGTGCATTAACTATTTCAATCGCCGTAATTGGATAATTAATCAATTGGAAAATTAGTTAATTAAATGCTTTCTGTAACATTACAGGCAACCTATTTATTCAACCTTAACTGATTCATTTTATTGCACACTTTTTTATGTCCCACACTATTTTTATATGAGTTAAACGTATTCAGCATTTTGCCTGAATTATCCTATGTATACAACATTTTTAAAGGTGGACGAATGTTCAGCTGGTGGAGACAGTGCAGCAGAAGAGGATGAGGATGATGCATCATCTCATGGCTCTAGAAGCAATAGTAGCAGTAGTAGCATTAGTGGAAGTAGTACATCCACCGATAGCGGTGATGACAGCGGAGAAGAACATGCTACCAGTGGCAGTGAAAGTCATAGTTCTGGGGAGGATGACGAAGAAGATAATGAAAATACAGAATATTCTATTCAAGCAGAAAGTCCAGATACTCTGGTATAATTTTTAATCATATGATTTCATGATATATATGATACTCGTGTTACAAAAAGAATTTCCTGTTAGAAATGGGAAACTTGTATCGCTGCAAATACCAAGGTGAAGTTGCCACAAGATCTTTGTGAACATGCTGCAATATTTAAGGAATTTCTGGACTATCCTTATATTTGGAACGAATGTCTTACAGAGAGTCAGAGGGAAGCTTTGTGTAGTTTGTTACCAAGTTTCCCAAAAGATTGTGATGTTGAGGCAGAAATAGAGAAGACATTGCGCATGTTGTTTGAACGTGAAAATTACAGGTTAATTAAAAGAATGAACATTCAATAACTCTTTAAGAATTAAATGTCATTTTAGTTATATAAATTTTGTATGTGTTTCAGATTTGGTGTAGCACCTTTAACCGCATTCCATGACCATCTGTCAGCTGGTCATTATCGACCAGATATTAGAAGAATGTGCAGTTTGGTACGTAAAGCACAGCAAAGAAGATTGTTATTCGAAGAACGGAAACGGTCATACGAACTCGCCAGCCAGTTATTGAAATCTAGAGAGAGCTTGTTGACGAACGCGTACAAGCAAGGTTTCTGCCAACCAACGCAGAGGACGATGTCGAAAGTTCAATGGAGAAAACCAAAGCCTGCTATGGGTAAGTTAAGCTATTGGCGTGAACAATTGTAAAAAGTTTTCTGGCTGTTTATACTTCCCCCACGCTCCAGCCGTTTGGCAGAGAAGTATGTAGTAACTTCCGAGGGACAATACTAACAAGCAATGAACCGACAGTTGAAGAGAAAACGCAACTGCGCTATTTGGAGGAACTGAATGCACTGAGGACAGAGCTTGGAGCAAGCACGAAGTTAGCTGCTGATACGACGTCCGAGAATGAAGAGAACTATCCACATTATCAACTATCTGGGGCTAAGCAGAAGAAGAAGAGGCGTTCTTTAATGGGTCCACAAGGCCTTTCCATTAGAGGTTTACAAATGAATCACGAAGATGAGACGATTCGACCTGTCTTTTCTACATTGCAACGGGCAGAGTATCCTACACACAGATCTTTCATTCGCGAACAGACGGAGGAGATGTATCGCGAAATGTTGTTGGAACATAAAAAGAGGAGAGCGCGACGAGATGTGAGTAAAACAATCATCGTGAAATTATATATTTCTATTATCTTTAATATTATATGTCATATCGTTTTAGATACATCCGGAATTGAATACGCAAGGTATTGCTTTGGCCGATCTCACTCAAAGAGCACAAATCGGCCAGAAGCATAAATTATCTATTGGACCAGCCGTTCGTATTACGCCAGCAAAGAAACGAATAAAATTAGAGCAGTCGCCTTTGTACCCTCCTGCACCGAGATTACTGAATTCGGTGAAACACGAAAGCGATAACAGTGATTATTCTCATACAACCGATGAAAACAGACATTCCAGTATGTTGGACATGGATCACAGAATGTTAACGCCAATCAAATCCGAACCGATGGATGGGTACGAAGTTCATTCGATGCCCAAGAAAAAATTGTAAGTGCACTTTTTATACAATGTTTTCTAAAGACAAGGGCCATACTAAATTTCTTCCAGTTTTTCTTGCAGAAGTCCTACCACACCAAAAGGCAGTAAATCGTCCGTAATGACCACGCCAGAAATTAAAAAAGAAATAGAGGACATAGAATACGAGGATATTAAAATTGAACTTGGCTCCGGGATGAATGAAGATGTTCCTCCCGAGACAGAAGAGGAGGAGGAGAATGATAAAAAGGAAGTGGATTTGGATAGCATTGACATGATGCAAATACCAATACAGTTAGATGACGGAATTGATATATTGGATGACGTGAAGTATGTTCTTTCTTTTATTTTAAATTATATGTTATATATGGAATATGTATATGTATAATTTTATTTTAGATGCGAGGATGAAGGAGTAATATCGATACAACACAAAGAATTAACCGTCCCATCGAACGATGACCATATCGATATTAATAGCGGAGCGGAATTAATGCAAGAAACACACGCATGCTTTTTCTCCCTGTTAAGAGACGCGTTCACCTCAAAAGGTGAATACAGAATGAGTACAGGAGAAATGCGAGATGCCGTGACGCAGTGGCAAGGGAATCCTATTTCACCGTTAAACGATTGGTAAATATAATGAACCGTGTCCTTGTTCGCAAGATTACTAAGCAAGAAATTGATTCAGGTATTCCCTGGCTTCTTCGTGGCCTGCATTGGTTCCACTAGCTCTGGGATTTCTTGCCGGTGAACTTACGTACAGTCAGGAGATAGGGGACAGACAAGAACGCGAGCTAGAACTCGTTCCCTACTTAGAAAATAAAGGAAACGGTCTTTACGCTTGGATCGGAGCTGGCCGAGACTCTGATTCTCGACTCTCGGATTTGTGCGCGAAATTTCTCCTGTACAAGTATGTGACAGTGTTAATTACCATAAAGCGATGGAGATAATGTATATTACTGAAGGATTGTTACGTTCCAGAGATTCATTGTGTCCACCAGTGTCTATCTCTTGCTCCATAGTAGCTGTGAAACAGCAATCTCAAATAATTCAGTCTAGCATTAGTAACGTTAACAACGTTACTGGCAATGGAAGTACAAACTCAAGTGGCAGAGATAATAGCCCTGCCATAGAATCCATCAGCGTAGACGGTGGATCTATCAATACAGTTGCAGAATGGGAGCCACCGCGAGCTCTGTGGCCAACCGAATGGAAAGTACGACCCTCCACACCGGATGAACGCGAGGAATTCAGAAGACAAGAGCGTATGCGTTACGCTGCTCCTCACAAAGCGTTCACTTATAGAATGCACGGCTACGCATCCGTTGTTGGCCCTGTGAAGGGTATTTATCAACATAACGTCGGTACGTTGATAAATTCATCGTTGACAATTTTTGTAGTAGAATTCATAATAATCCAAAGAATCGTTTGATAGCTTCTGGGTTGACGAAGGCTCGTGGACATTCGTTGCTGGTAGCGGACAGACCAAATTTCGTGACAATCTTAGCGCTAGTCAGAGACGCTACCGCGAGGCTTCCGAACGGCGAGGGAACTCGAGCCGATATTTGTCAGCTGCTGAAGGACTCTCAGTACATAAGAGAACAGACAGACAGCGACGATAAGGAAGGATACTTGCATTCGGTTGTGTCTGGTGCTCTGGATAGATTGCATTATGAAACTGATCCTTGTGTGAGGTATTACCCGCGACGAAAGGAGTGGTTGTATCTTCATCGAGCGCGTTCGGAGTCTGAATTTGGTTCGTATTTATTAAAATGTATATATTATTTCTAGTTTCTTTCGGTAGATTACATTGTGTCTTTTTTTTTAGAAATGTATCACCAACAGCTGCAAGGTGTTGCAAAGAATAAAAAGAACGTTGCTAGCATGTCCAGAAATAAAGCTCTGCCGCCGGTTATAAAGCCTTCCGTTAATAAAGAGCAGTCTCCAAACAGCAGCAAGGAAAGTACGCCTAAAAAGGAAAGAAAGACGACGGCCACAACTCAACCAGTTATATCAAGGTAGTTAACAAATTTCATTAGAGGAAGTAACAAATTTCTTTAGAGGAAGAAAGAAATTTGAAGTGTGTTTTTAATTCAGGAAAGAGCAGAAGAAGAATGAAGAGAAGGTTATGAACGATCATTCAGTTTCAACGGAGCAGTCCATTGTTTCTAACGTAATGAGTACGATAAACTCAACGCCTACATCAGGCATCGCTGTATCAGGAACTTCTGTTCCTGTGACGTCTCTGCCAACGTCTTGCACTGCTATCAGTACTGTCACTGTAGAGAAGGATGGAACCTCTAACGAAATGAAACCACAGGTCACAACAACAACCCCAGCGAAGAAAGCAACGAACATCAGCGGTAAACCGGTTGCTGTCGTGAAAACGAGTGCTCAGAGTTTACTGCAGTCGAACCAGCAGCACTTCCCTCATCACCAAATCCAAGTGTCGACGTCTGCAGGTTTGCAGACTATTCGATTATCTGGGCATTCGGTGCTGCATTCTACCCAGTCGGTCGCTGCCAGTAGTGTCACCAATTCTAACGTGACCACAAGTTTGACGACAATACTGCCACCTAATAAAACGCAAAACCAACAACAGCAACAGCAGCAATCGCAGCAGTCGCAACAACAGCAACAAGCGATTGTCACGAATCAAGCTGGGAAAAGTATCTTACAGTCAGCTAATATAAAGCAGCAGCAGTCTCAACAGCAGCATGTTCTACCTGGGAAGACTCTGCTGGCCTCGCAGATAAAATTAGTTAGTCCTGGTCAGATCAAGTCGCTTCTCACTGGTCATGGTCTGCAGGGACAGACGATATTTATTAAACAGTCGTCACCGTCCAGTAATCAATCACAACAAATACAACAGCAACTGAAAGTATGTAAATTACAACATGAATTATTGACTTAAAATTTCATTGTAATAAATGTATTGTTTTTGTTGTAACAGCAGCAGCAACAACAACAGCAGCAGCAGCAACAACAGCAGCAACAGCAACAACCGCAAATCCAGCAACGGGTTGTAGGAAGTCAACAGCAGTCGATACAGACTTCGGGGATGCAACGCATAATCGCGCAGATAGGAGGCAAACCGATTGCAGTGCAGATACAGCAATCACCACATCAACAACAGCAGCAGCAAAAGATTCTGGCGAAAGTTCTAACCAGTTCTGGCGGGGGTCAGCTGATATCCGTAGAGAGTCTCCTTGCTCAGAAAGGATTGAAGTTGGCGACGACGACAGCTCATGCTAATCAACTGAACAGACAGGGGAAACAAGTTATACAAACTCAGTATCAGGTACAAAGCACAAGTAGTATAAATATTATCTTTTGTAACTTTGTTTTTGACCTAGAAATAATTTATAGGTTGTGTCGCAAGCGCAAACTTCATCGGGACAAGCGAAGATCATTGCCAATACACAGCAACAGCAGCAGCAGCAGTCGCAACCGCAGCCGCAACAGGCTCAAACCGTTCGAATGGTGACCGCGCAGTTATCTGGAAAGCAGATAGTTCTAGCCAGCGGGAACAAGAACGTGGGCGTTGGAGTTAGTAGCAGCGGGAGCGTGGTACTTGGGAAACAACAGTCGTCGCAGCAACAGCAACAAACGCAACAACAGCCAATTATTTTACCGAGTCAGTTGCTCAATATCAAAACATTGCACGGTTTGAAAGTGATACCAACCCCGGCTGGATTAAAAACCACAGGGGCAGCAGTTTACGCGCGGGTCATCGCTCCGACTACTATAACCTCGACGCAGTCGGCGAATCAGCAACAAACCATTCAAGCTCAACAACCATCGAGGAGTAACTCTTACAGCACGCCTTGACAGAATTGACGTCACTTTGTTTTAATTTAAACGTTATAAATTTTGGCATTTCGAAATTAGAAATACAGAATTTTTATGTAAAAAAAAGATCGGGATTTAATAAAAATCAATTAAACTCGTACACGTAGGTTAAGCCGTGTACTCGTGTATAGCTTTCGCGTAGTGAAAACGTGGAAAAGAATGACGTGGGACACTGAAGAATAAGAACAATGTGATCGTGACCTTCTTTTGTATTAAGTGTCGGATTATTTACAAATGCATGGTACGATTTTAAATACAAAACACCGTTCTCTTTTTTTGTCTTTCGTTCTCTCTTATATGAAGAAGATTCTTGCAGCGTCGCAATGTAACACGTATAAATAAATCTTATTATGTAACGGTAAAACATTTAAATTATTTTTACAGATTCTCTTTGCGGTCTACGTTGTAACGAGTTTACTATGAATACCTAGGCAGCAGATAGCCACCGCGTCTTTGGTCCGTTTCTCGTGACAGCGGATATTGACATCCTAGCAGTTGACGAGTCTATGTACAATTTTCACTTCGTATCGTAGAAAAGAACATGGAGGAGCAAACGCGCAAATTTTCGCGTGCAAAGCTTGTACGTTAGATGAGACTCCCATGGCCTTTTGTACTTATCGGTAGAAGAGGCTTCTAGATGAATAAATATTTAGGCTTCAAAGAGTAAAGAGACATTAATACTGATGCGCGAGGTAACGTGAGACACCGATGGCGTCAGAAGCATCGGTATGTCCTGATTTTGATTGATCCTTATGTAGTTACAGCTGGAAGCCTCTACTAATAATAAGCCCGCATGCCATTAATTCCATATCCTGTTCGTAGCTTCCAATGTGTCCTGAAGAGAGATGCGGTTATGTTTCCTCGGAGTTCCATATATCCTGGAATATGTCTATTAAATTGTTCACGCCAATCAAGTATCCATCTTCATGGTTCCCCACTTGCCATTCAGCGTCATGATGAATTCGTGGCAAGTGCTGTGGCAGGGGTAGCGTTTTCGCGAAATCTATCATCCAGATCCCAGCGTTTTTGGCATCGTGAACGAACAGCAAGCTGGAACCGACTACTTCGTGGGAAGCGAAGAACGGCGACGCCTTCAACGTCGCTCTGATCGCCTTCAGACGTTGTATATACTTGGGTACCGCGTGCGGATAGCCTTCCACGAAGCGCCTCAACGCTTCTGTGACCTAAAAAATTATCAAATAATTATATGCTGAACGTCTATGGATGTTTATGCGGACACGAACCTGTTCCCGAGTCCTGGTCGTTTTGAAGTCCTTCGACGAACCTCCATGTGCAAGCTTAATGCCCTCCACGCGAAAACCCAGGGTGGCGGTGCTGGATATCGTTTCCCGCCACACCATGTATCTTGGTTTCGTGACTCCTTGCACGCGACGTTCCTCGGCGCTCGGTGCAGAGGGGTCCACTTGTACCATTTTCTCATACATGTCTTTTCTTAACTATGTCATAAAATTAAAAGTTATGGTGTGCATTTTGGTGCTTTGCAGGTGCTGTATTCTGGTTGTCAAGAATGCTTCTAGATTATTAGTTGAGGAGAGCCAGGAGCTTGCTAGTTTCTTATGATAACCTTGATAGCAACCTCTTGGAACACAGTTTACAGCAACCGCATATTGGTACTCAACGCTGCTAACAGATGGCGCCACAGAACTCAGTCAAGACCGCCAATAAACTATAGCATTTTCTTGCCTCACCTTGGGTCTTTCCTTGGCTTTGGCAAGCTCACTCTCCAGATAAGTTCTGACGCCGACTTTACAGTCCATCACACAGGGATGTTCAAAATCACCAAGGAGATCCTGGAGTTGCAAGTAAGATGATAGCACTGTCCTCTTGTTTACATTGTCTCCAGTACCATCCTTTTCTGCATCAGTCTCCTCGACATTACCCTCCTCTGTCTCTTTCAGATCCAAGACACCTTTGAACTCTGGGACATAAGGCCTCAAGACGTCGTTCATCAGCAGGCGAAAACAAGCTTCCTCCTGAGGACACAGCTTTTTGAGTATCGTCCCTGGTGTTGGTCCTGCTCTGAAGTTCCCTTGGTGTCCAGCTAGTTGTACCTGAAATGAGTACTCTGTCAATATGGTTTCTTACTACAAAAACAATTAGACTTAACCATTAAGGGTTAACGATTAGACTTAACCATTAGACTTAACCATTAGACCTAACCATTAGACTTAACCATTAAGGCTTAACCATTAGACTTAACTATTAGACTTAACCATTAGACACTCACCCAGGGGTACCGCTGTTTCTTGTAGGTCTGGAAGAACGGTGTCCAGTGGACGATGTTCCTGAGCTTCCTCCAGCCGGACGACTGCAACAGAATGAAGATGCACTTTGATTAACATGATGGAACGAATATTGAGACATCTCTGAGAAGAAGATATGTATCTATGCTAAATATTAGTAGGGTCAGACCCAAGTGGACATAACGATAAAGATGTTCATTTTATTTCAGATAATCGACGATTCCGTCATTTCTCACTGTTACCTTCGGGATTGTACGCTCGTTAGACCTATCCGTATGGTCAGATTCCCACTCTGAACTGAGGTCATCACCGCTACCCTCTCCCCATTCCAGGTTACTCGACGGCACCTGTAGCAATTCCAGATACTGTTGGTATCCCGTACAAGTCTCTCCGTTATTCTCTTTGGTACATCCACAATATCTGGAATGCTTGTTTTTGCAGTTCACGTCGCTCTTATCGTTATCCGACAGACAGTTAGTTATGCGAGTCTCGTCCTGATCTTCGGGATCATCTGTGGACGTTTCTATATGAGAGCGAGACCTGTTGAACGACGGAGATGGACTGCGAGACGAAGACGGCGACCGACGGTCGACGATCGACGTGGAGAATCGTCTTGAATGCCTTCTGTTTCGTGATCTCATCATCCTCCTCTGGATCAACCTTCTCTCGCAATCGTCGGCGTCCACTCGCTCGTCCAGGCTCGATTTTGAGCACACCACTATCTTTGGTATCGTTATCCTGTCGTAAGTTTGCTGCATCTTTTAAGAATGGAATGTTCCAGGGGAATGTAGTCTTCAGGCTATTTGCCTCTTGATGATGAAGATAGATCAAGTTGATGCTGAAGATAGATCAAGTGCCGAGCATAGATCTCTGGATATAAGCTTCTCCTAGCATTTCTATAAGACAAGATTATGATCTCAAGAGACTGCATTTTAATTTACAACTACATCTCTCTGCCTATCTCTGATAAAAATTATAACCAGGTATGTACAGCCACAAAGACTATGACCTTGACGAAAATTTTCTTTGCAGATCCCACGATTTCACCAAACCATCACCAATCTCAGCGAGACACTTTCTCTTTCAACTGTATACCGCAGCTCTAATTAACCGACAAAACGACGAAAGAGAGGAGGACCTTATAATTATATAAATTGCGAGCTACGAACGAATCGAGACACCTGAACAGACTGGACGTGTCCACCCACACCGGGTCTCTTCTTCGAGGAGCGTGGAAAGCGAACCGTGTGCCACTTTTTATTCGAGGCGACTCGATCGGAATCGTTACGCAAATTTTGTCGGCTTGCAATCAAGTGGAAATCGCTTACTGAACAGAGAATAGTTAAGCATAATCTTCAAATCATTTTTTCACTTAAATTTGGATTTAAATTTTATTATAGTTTGGACTTATATTTTGTTATAGTTTGGTCTTAAATTTGATTATAGTCTGGACTTATATTTTGTTATAGTTTGGACTTAGATTTGATTATAATTTGGTCTTAAGTTTTATTATAGTTTGGACTTGAATTTTGTTATAGTTTGGACTTAAGTTTTATTATAGTTTGGACTTAAATTTAATTATAGTTTGGACTTCAATTATATTATTGGACTTAAATTGTTAATTAGAGATCAGATGAAATTTTTAACAATTAATATCAGATTAGAGAATCCCCCTTGCAATATTTATATTCAGTTTTGTAGAAAGTTTTGTGATCCTCGTTCTGATCGCCACGATTGCTCGCTGTTTATCGCCTTGTAATACGATTTGAAGAATCGTGGCGCTTAGGTTGCGTTCCTTGATATTATATAATATCGCTGAGGCAAACATGACGTTTCCAACGCTACGTCTATTCAACTGAAGCTCAGAATCTGGAATATTATTTCAACTATTTGTGCTGTCTAGTTTAAATAGTCTAAGATAATTAGTTGCAAAAGAGTGGTACAGTGTACAAAGTGTAAACAGCAATTGTATCAAGGAATAATAGACTAGCATTCTATTGAGGAATAATATAGCAAAGAATAATGAGACGGTAAAAATAATCTTCGTTAATCATCTACCGTCAAGATAAAATCATAATTGAAGTTTAAACACCCTTCAATAGTCTTGTACCGTGAAACTGTTTGGATCAGCTAATTGAACGCAAATGAACCTTATCGCATCCGCTCGCAGATCTAAGAGAACTTCCTATGTACCACCGATAATTCTCTAGCATGTACTCGTGGATCAATCGGGTTTTGTTCTAAGAAGAAAATGATCACATGACTTTAGTAACTGTAGCTTCTTAACTGAGTGGCAATGTAAATTAAGACTTTCATAAGAAGTTCCATATTTGTACAATTTATGAGCATAAATATATATGCTATTATATTATAATATTCATATATTATAATTGATATCAGTATCATAATTAATATTATGTATTATAATATATATAAAGCACATATTTATGAACATAAATATATGCTATTATATTATAATATTCATATATTATAATTGATATCAGTATCATAATTAATATCATGTATTATAATACATATAAAGCACATATTTATGAGCATAAATTATCCAGAAAGAGTTGCTGTAGCATTGTGAATTTAGGGATACGATATGCAGAGATATGTAGAGAGACAACGCGATTAAAAATTAGGTCGTCGACTTCCAGGGTGACCTGTTCACTCATACGTGTCGAATCAAAGAATTCAACGCCTTATTATGCGTACGTGGGCGTATTTACGCATATTAGTGAGTGGTATGCAGTTCTCAAGCTTTTGGCACTCTGCAAGTCGATCTAACACTAGGTTTATACTTTTAGTTTACAAATTTATATTATATTCAGATTAAAAATTAAATACAAAAAAGGGTTGAAACTTATACTAATCTTTGTCACAAAAATTAACAAAAGCATATGTAAAATAGTGAATCTACTAATCTCTGATAACAATCTAATTTACATTCTGTAAACCTAGTGTTAATAATTGTTAATACTCTACATAACTATGTATGTAGGAATTGTAAAATAATGGACTTTCGATCCCTGTGAACGTATAGAATTTGTATAAGCTAATTACGTGAAGCTTTAACTTCAATTTTTGTATCTACAACGAAAATGAATTGAGAGAAAAATTTGTCCGGTGTCGAAAGTCACGAGAGTCGCTTATCATCCAAGAAATAAGAATACTCACTATGGATCACTCACTGTCACGCATCGTACAGATAAACCCGATTAATTCAAGATAATTTTCTGAATTTCTACAGCATCATTGTTCGACAATTTATTCCTGTAGATCTTTGTAACTTTTTTTACGATCACGTTTCACTAATTGAGCAAAAATTGTATACGAAAAACGTCGTTAATTCGCGTTCTGTTAATTTTCACAATTTTGTAACTAGGATCTTTTCCACAGATTGAACGGGTAATCACCGAGATTAACAAGCGGAATTCCGTTGGAAGAAAACTGTATTTCGATGATGAATTAAATAGTTTCGAAGGTAGACGAGTTTCGCGACGAAACCATTCAGTGAGCTCGTGCGAACCGGAGTCAAGCGATCGAAATGCGTCATCGACTAATTAACTAGCGCTTGCTAGCGTCATTAGCGGAATTATCAGGAGTGGATGAAACGTTGGGGCGATCTACGGCTCGACGGGCCTTAAATGCGACCGGAAATAACGTTATTCAATGCTATTTTCCATCTTGATGTTAAAGTACATTGTCAGGTTACTCTATTCTTCTATATTTTGCTAAATAATCATTCTTACTACTGTATAAATCATTTATCTAACTGTATAAATGATTTACCACAGTTTGTACTGAAGAAGATTCAAGATTATTTATTACAATCATGGTCAAAATTATTGCATACATATTTAGTAACGTTGGAGCTATAATATAACTAATTTACCAATTTACTAATTTAATAGTATGTACTGTGTGTTTAGGAATGTTTAAATTCAGTATTATTTATTATAATCACAGTTAACGTTGTTGCAAACATACTTTGTAACAACTTAACGATAGTATAACTAATTTAATAGTTTGTACTTGTATCTAAGAATGTTTAAATTCAATATTATTTATTATAATTACAGTGAACTTTGTTACAAACATCTGTAACATTTTAAAATCAATACTATTTATTATAATCACAGTTAACGTTGTTACAAACATACTTTGTAACAACTTAACGATAGTATAACTAATTTTATAGTTTGTACTGTGTATTCAAGAATGTTTAAATTCAGTATTATATATTATAATCACAGTGAACTTCATTACAAACATATGTTGTAACATTGTAATTATAATATCAATTTACTAATTTAATAGTTTATACTATATACTTAAGAATGTTTAAATTCATAATTATTTAATATATAATCACAGTAGTAACATATCATTATATTTTGCAGATTGAAGCACCGAATAAAAAAAGAGAGAAATCCGGACAAAAAACCCTTGACCCGAATGTGCTATGCCGGAGAAATATTCGATAATATACTTCAAGGTTCAAACCATCGAGAAAAGCAATTTGGTTCTTTAAAAATGGACACACATGGACAATTTAGTGACAACTTCAGTCTACTAAATTTTGCACGTGGACGTTTAGTATCTCTTGGTACTTTTAACTTTTAAAAATAACTTGATAGTCTGAGAGATTTTGTTAAATATCTTCCATGATTATTTTTTGAATATTTTCTACAGTCTTTTATGAAGTATCATTCAGGATATTTTCTTAAATATTATATTAAATATCTCCCACAATATTGTATGAAATATTCTCCTAGATATTCTACTAAATAACATCCAAGATATTTATCAAAATCTACAACTACCAATGTTTATGTACTTAGATACCGTTACTAATTAGCCGTTCAATAGTTAATTGGTCAAAATCACGATTCCCAAATAAGTAGAACACAGCATTCCGCTTAGAAGAAAACTAGAACTTAGATCAACGTCTAATTGGACCGCGAGCTCGATTAGGCAAGAAGAAATCGTTCGCGAAAAGGGGTACGATCGCTAATCGATCCATACTGGTGCTACTACTTACGATTGCACAAATTTCGCATTTCGCACTAATTACCCGACATTGCTCGAGCTTTCTTGAATCTAGAGCCGAGGTGTCGTAATGTTTAATTAACAATTAAATATAAATTGTAATCGACAATTGAAAGTAGACGTTATGTATTTAAAACGTTTTATTTTATTCATTATTTTTGTTGAGTCATAATTTATGTCGTCATGGTTTGTCATAATTTACGTCATCATGATTTGTCATAATTTATGTCGTCATGATTTATTATAATTTACGTCATCATAACGTAATTTGTCATATAGGTTATGTTATTTGTTACATATCTATAATTTAAAAAATGAAATCTATGTAAAAAGGTTTGAACAATCGTTTGCAGAGAACTGGGTCTTCGAATCGATTAGCCAATCATAATTTTCTAATCGATCATCCGGTTGTCGAGTTCCCCGCATTAATTATATCGAACTGTCCCGAGGCATACAGAATGAGAGTGAAACGCAATACCTTGATTCGGTTTCGACACATTTTTTTCTCTCGACCAAAAACAATATTTCTAATAAATCTTAATAGTCAGTTAAGCCTGTAAATCTTTCAGGAGTGTAACAAGTACCTAAATAGTAAATATTGAAATATCTGAAGTTGTATATTACATGTTAAAGTATCTGAGGTACAGTAAATGTTAAAATATCTGAGGTACAGTAAATATTAAAATATCTGAGGTACACTAAATATTAAAATATATGAAGTACATTAAATATTAAAATATATGAAGTACATTAAATATTAAAATATCTGAGGTACATTAAATATTAAAATATCTGAGGTACATTAAATATTAAAATATGTAAAGCAATCTTCAAAAAGAATAAAAATCTAATTTTACCTTTTTTCTACCAACAGGTGTGGGACTCGGTTGATAATTATCAGCGATGCCCAGCAAGCAGTCGTCGCATTTGCAATAAAGATTGCTGCTGGACGCTGAGTCGCTGGATAGCAAAGAGTTATAGGTACTGGCGCTAGTCTGACTGTCCATGGAGTCGGTTCTTCTCAGAAGAAAACTCTTCCTCGCCTTTCCATGATCCTCGTTCGTAACTTCGTGCAGATTTTGCTTCTCTATTTTTGCTAAGAGTATCTGCTCCATCAGATTCAGCGTTGGCGGCGTCGCCAACGTAGGCGACGCTGGAGTCGTTGGAGACATGCTTCTGTTACATGTGTATTTAGAGTTATTGCCTTTGTCTTCTGCCTCCATTCTTTCTTCAATAACAATAGTCCTTCACTTTTGTTTTTAAGTAATTTTATTTCTTCTTTTTCAGAGTCTCAAGTCTGGAATTTATTTTCTCTCTTGAAGAGCAGTTCTCAGGATTGTACTGAAGTTTGTAATTTATCTTTGAAGATATCTTCTGGACTTTGAGATTTCTGTTTTAAAACACTGTGCAAGTCACATCACTTTATACAGAACAGTTCTCCTACATCTCAGAAGACACTACATATAATTGATATAAGGTACAATATGAAGAACGCACTGGAACACTAGGTTGCATCTTAGGTGCTTACGCACACTCACTTATGGTGATGTTTTACAGATCTCACAAGCTTGTCATATAATTAAATTTAAATAAAACCAGCAATAATCTGAAAGCTTCTGTGGGAATCTTTATAGGTGGCTAATCAGTGATTCAATGCAATAGTTTTCCAAGGAACCTATTGGCAAGGATGATGTCCTCAATTAAAGACATGTTCAAAGACTTCTCTGAAGATCATCCCCTAATACTTTCTTGAAGAAAACCTATTCTGCATTGCTTCTTGTAAATATCCTGTACTATCCTACATCATAATGTAGAGAACAGAGTGCATAAAAGTCGCACTTTGCTACAGATGTAAACAAGATGGCGGTAAACAAGTAAGTCTACACTGTTAATATAGTAAGCAAGTATCAGAATAGCAGAGTCGCACGATAAATATTAAATGCTAGATCGTTTCACAGAGTCACCTAGATTGGATCGTCGGTAACATATAACTACACCCACGCACGATTGTTAGCCTTGACGCGGTTGAACTTCACTCAGAACGAGGATCAATTTCTGTGGAGTTACGTGTCCCTATGTTACTCAACGCTCAGACAATTTGAACAGCCGAGGAAAAGAACGATCTTACGATAACAAACATGATCAGTGCTTTTATGTAACCAGCGTGAATTAAAGGCTCGACAACTTGTTAAGCATTTTTCTTCCTAGAAGGATATTCGATTCTTAAAAGCTTGGGCAATTTTAAAGATAGAAGCATAAATATATATTCGATGAATCAAGAATTTTGTGTAGAAACATAGTACGATTGCAATAGCAATTCGGTTGGAGAAGAGATAGAATATCGAAGAGGATCGATGATACTCGACGCGCGGTTGCACGGTTTTCCTCCGGTGACCCGAATTGACAACTTCCTGTTACCAGTCCGCGTATTACTCGATTGTCTATCGTGTATTACATATATGGCATATACACGTGCACTGCATAGCCTAACAGGTGATAATCCTGACTGCCATCTGCCGCGACTCGGCTTCGCTATTCTCGTATCTTTCAGTACAAAAGCTTAATCCTATTAGATAAAACTATCGAAATCCATAATGAGGTAAAACGTAGAGATCTTTGTAACGCGTTTCTTTGAAGTGAACTCAAAACTCACACAACTTGATTCATTCAGTACGTCTGTCTTTGTTCTCAAACGCGATCATGCAGATCAGACAGGAAACAAAAGGTGTACGGTTCTCTCGCATAATGAAGAGTCGATTGACGTAACGTATTTACAATTCGGGTCGCCGTAAATAGCTATCTCTATTTTTCGATATCGTTCATCAAATCAAATGACGCTGATTCAGAGACGTACAAGGATGATTCTGTTCTAAGCAGAAATCTTACACGAGTAAAATTAAATCCATCGAATATTCAAAGCCTCTTTCAAAAGATGATATCGTTATCCAATAAGGAATGTTCCAACTTGTTGAACAAGCTGAATGAAGAAGCACGTAAAGAAGCCAGGGTTTAAGATTCTTACGTCAGTTTTGTAATCGATTCCGTTATGTAAAGGAAACTGTTGCATTCCACTTGAGTTCTCGGGAAACATAAAGGTCTCCGCTACAACATCTGTACATGTAATGAACAGATCAAATTGAACAGGCGATATTACAAAGTAAAGGTTCGCTTACTTTCCCTCGCGGAAATGTCAGCGGCATGGCCTAAGGTATCCACCTTTTTTCGGGTCAGCTCGTTTCGAAAGCGAAAGCCGAGCTGAATTTTCAATCGGTGGATACTATTTCAGTCGATCTTTTATTCATAACGCGTTTGACACAGTGGCCACTGTTTTTCTTTGGTTCTATGTTTTTTTCCTTGATTACTTTTTTGACACCATTTGCAAATCTCTAAGATCTTCAGACCTTTATGTTCCCTAGTACATCTCTATTAGTATTACATTACTATTATAGTGCTTGCTCTTAGCACCTTAAACCTTACTCAAACTTGTATACTCTTCAACTTGAAGTCTACGTACAATCATAATTTGTCTAGCCTGAATATAAAATATTGATAACATCTTAATTTTCTTTGTTGTAATATAGCTAGTACATCTCTATCTTCTCTGGTATATACTCAAATTATTTGTTTGCTCTTAGCACCTTAAACCTTACTCAAACTTGTATACTCTTCAACTTGAAGTTTACATACAATCATAATTTGTCTAGCCTGAATATAAAATATTGATAACATCGTAATTTTCTTTGCTATAAAAGTATAACAATGAACAGTTAGTTTTGGCTGACACATCCAACAAATAAATACTAGTGCAAGTCCAACAGTACAATTGTGTTATTAATTTATAACAAATACCAGGTTAAAAAGTATACAATTTGTCGTAGATTAAACATCTGTACAGCGTAATCTCTCAGGTAAACAAAACAATGTTAGAGCAAACACTTATTATCGCCTCCTTATCTTTCCCGGGATTCGCGGACACGTATCGCTACCTCATGTCTATTTTGCAGAGTAGTTTTTTTTAGATAATCAAATTTGGTCTGATGTTTTTAAATTGTAAACACGTTTGCTAAAGTTCAAATGTTACAATGTACAATTTTTTTGAGACCTCAGACAATGAATATACACATACTGTCAATATTTTAGGATTCCTATTTGTTTAAATTTACATACACACTGACAATATATGTATATTAATTTAAGGTCGTATAACAAAAATGTTTCTCTACCTTGTAATAGTCACAATCGACATTTCTATCGAGTAAATCCTCAAGCCTAAGCTCCGCCTCGTCGCATTCGATTTTCATGGTATTAAACAAACATCTTTCACGTTTCACTCTTCCACGATGTCTTCTTCGTTCCAAGCGACGAGTACTCGAATTCATTGAGACTACAGTGAATCGCATAGTAACGAATTGCAAAATTCTTTGTTGTCTTTCGATACGAACATTGCAGCATATTTTATCACCGCGTGACTGTATCTTGATTACTTTTGAAATAAGATTTAACTTCTTGGAGAACGATACTTGGCCGGTGGCGACCAGTCGCGAACAAAAGCGATTACAAACAGCGTTGATAAAAGATACAGTTGAAAAAGTCCTTCATACATCTTTATCTATGATATTTTGATATCTGTAATATCTGTGGCGTAAACAAAGCACACCGGAAGTCTAGCAAACGTGTTTACATCGCAGAAAGCCTTATGAAATATATCAAACAATTTTGAACTAAAGACATTCAATGTGTTCTGTTGTAATTTTAATTCTATTACTATTACCTACTTGTTAGCTTCAAATTTGTTAGCTAATCATTCAGATAATAACAATTAACATAACTGTACATATTAAGTAAACTTGATGTATCCTTGAACACATCAAGTATACTTAAATATCCTAATACTAACAAGGTCTAAATGCCTAATACTAATAAGGTCTACAATAACGTTGAACTTTAATGAAAACCTCCTAGTCTAAAAATAAATTTGAATCAAGGATTAAATCCTTAAGCATGGAAAGCTTGAAAGAATCCGCCAAGCATGATCCTCGTTCCATCCGAAGCATTCCAAAATTACCTTCCACGACACAACACCATTAATCCAGTTTATTTTAATCACACGCTTCACGTGCACGTCGCAACAAATCGATTCTCCACTTTCACTAAAACGATCACGATGACAATTAGCGCTAAGAAACGGTTTAAAGTGGACTTGATATCTTCCACTGTTGATAGAAGCGGCGGAGAGACTGGAACAAACGAACCTTCCAGTTTGCGATTCGTAGCGCGACTCCGCGATTTTCTTGACCCATTAGAGAGTGGACAGAATGGTCGAAAGAGTTGGCCAGCTTTGAATCTCCTGGATGAAATCGCATGCTACGCGCTGCCAATGACAATGTGCCCTCTCTCTCTCTATACAGGGTGTCTTCAGAATTACTAACAGACTCTTCATACAAGTATAAATGAAGAAGACAGTAAGAGATAAATGAACTTCCAGAAGATGTGAATATGTGTGGTGATTAATGGAGGATCAGGAGTGGTTCCAGACTCCTTCAGTTCCTAGGAAAAGGTAAGGTTGTTAGAAATGTGATAGTGTGTTTGATTAATGTACCAAATGCATAACGTTACCAAATGAAGTTAACTGTACTTGAGGTTCTAGGAGTCTCCTGTCTTCTAGAGATAATTCTATGAACTTACAGAAGCTGTGAATATGTGTGGTGGTTAATGGTGAGGATCAGGATTGGTTCCGGACTCCTTCAGTTCCTAGGAAAAGGTAAGGTTGTTAGAAACGTGATAGTGTATTTGACTAATGCACCAAATGCATAACATTACCAAATGAAATTAAATGTAATTTCAAGTTCTAGAAGTCTACTGTCTTCATGTTAAATATTAAGTTATAAATCCTTAATCCATCTTGCTCAGTTCACTAATTATGAGACACCCTATATAAAATATAGTTGAATTTAAAGAACTTATAAAAAATAAAAAAGTGGATCAACAGTTGTTACCATACTGCCAATCAGTGGAACACAGACTGAACTTTTGGCAAGGTATGGTAAAAAATAGAACGATATTTGAAAGTACAAATTCAGTGTAGCTTTTCAGACGGTAATAACAGTGCGAATGATGTATAGCTCCACGTGGTACGGTTCCACAAAAAGCGAAAAAATAAACTTCCATTTCTGTTTTAATTCCAGATTTCCTCTTGCTCGAAGTGGAGAAAACAGCAGGATTTACGGCGATGTTTATTAGCCAAGTTTTTGTTCGGATGATAATCAAACTACGTCAATGCCGATGTTTTCTCAAAACGGAGATCTTTTTAATTAACCGATAAGAGAAATCCTCCGGTAAATCTAGGAAGTTGGCATTATCTCGAGCTCATAAATAATCTTCTTCTATGCTATCTTGATTAAAATAAAGAATCCGAGTAATCGATTTCTTTGTAGCAATTATTAATTCCGGTTTGGAAAATTGCTGGCTTGGATACAGAAGGAAACACATTACAGTGGTAGTGAATTCTATGAAGCTGGAGAACGTCACAGAGTTAATACGGTAGCACGCTCGAGTACACTAGAGCGTGGACACTGGTTAAACCCACGCAAAGAATGTACAAAGCGAACGTATACGCTCATGAGTTTGTAAACACGTTGATCTGTGTTATGTGTGTATATGTAGATAAAGGCAAGCATTCGTGCGTACAATAGGCGAGGTGTGTATAACAAGTTCCAAGACCATCTCGAAAGAATGTTCATTCGCCTGACACGTTTTTCTCCTGCACGCGAGGCTCCCGTTCAATGGGAAAAACAAATTTGTAAACGCTGAACAACTTGTAAATTTTCGTTCTTCGGTAACATGTTTATCTACGTGGGAATTCTTGGAAAATTATACTCCTCGTTTTATTGTTAACTCCTTTAAACTGAATCAGAAACTTCTGCACGAGAGAACTACACAGAAAAAAGAAACAATGGGTGTTAAAAATAGAAGAATGAAATATTGTTCAAAAGGCAGATAAGAATGTTCCTGTGTATACGTGGGTGCCCAAGGCTTCGTTGAACTTATCTAGATTCCAAGAAGAGTTTCATTACTTGACGAATGAACGGTTCATTTGTTCACGAACTGGGGCAGAAGAACTTATAACGTGTAAACGTTGCGTAAGATAAATTACGCGGCTGTTCGGCTGAACAACAGAACGCGATGATGGTACCGCGTTAAACATAAGCTTCTTCTTCGCTTTAACATTGAAATATTTATACACCTGGAAGTACGTCAGAATAGAGAAAAACCGCTCGATGGTTTTACGTAAATACTATTTATCGTTTTTCTTCCTTTCCCTGTGCAATTTTCTCGTGTCTTCAAAATACTTAGAATTATTAATAAATACAATTTCTTGCAGCACGATCGTGGTAGCATAATCAGCTGCAATTGTATTTCCAATAAACTCATTCATCCTTTCAATACACCATCCTTCCAAACTCTTATGACTTAAAAGAGTATAATCAATAGTAAAATATTCATGTGCCCTTTAATCTAAAATCGTCATCATTTAGACTCACCTTGGAAGGCTTTACTGGCTGCAGTTCAAGGCATTCGGATTCATCCCCACTGAGGCTGGATGTGGTGGAGCAGTCAGAGAGCTTTCTTGTTGGAATGTTCAGAAAGACCTTTGTCTTCTCCTGCAACTCTGAAGCGTTGTCTGGTGTGTACCGTGCAAATTGAGAGTTCAGCTTGGAGTAGTAAGAATCAGGATTATCCAAACAGGAATTCCTTCTATTTCCTGCCTCATTATAATTTCTAAAAAGGAGAATTTAGTGTTACATGACTGATATAAATGCACATATATAATATAGCAAAAAAATAAACACCTTATGGTTACAGCATTCATGGAATCAAGGCACAAACAACAGGAATCTGAATGTCTTCTACTGCGGCAGACTTGTAAGTATTGTTGGTCCAGAGACTCCCGAATTTCATCGCAATCCAAGCAGGAACAACTGCTAGCTTGACTAGGAGTTCCACTGGTTCCATCGTACTTCTCCAGATCTAAGTCATTCCTTTCTAGCTTTTCATCCAAATAAGAATAATCCGAATAATCGCTGACTACAACGCTAGGAGTTCTCCAATATCTGGGTCTTCCTTCATTTTGTTCAGACTCGCTTCCCTCTACCATGTTGGTGCTGTCCCATCCTGCAAAATAATCATTAAATAACATCAGTAATTCATTTAATTTTTATGTCATTGGACATTAATTTGCAATATATCTTTCCTGTCATATATGTCTAATTAATTACATTTTTTACAATTCCTCAGAGTTTACATAATGATGTCTTGTTAAAAGTCAAGTCAATTGAAAGTAAACATTAATGAAAAATGTCATTCTCAATTATTAAAGACATCTGACTAATTGCTTATACATTTGAAGAATTTTAATTGTGCCGCCATTAGAGGGAAAAATGCAGCGGGTCAACGGAACAGCGCTCGAGAAAAAAGAAAAGGAAAAGGAATGATGATGTCATTGACACAGCACGCGTGGTCAGGAATCGTGTTTTCAATAGACTCTCCCCTCTCTCTCTGACCACAGAAAGAGCAACTGGTGGCACGATTACATCCCCTCACCTTTTATTTGATCCTCGTCGCTCAACACAGCACTATCGGAGCTACAACATCTAGTGACCCGTAGTTTGTGTCGTTTCTGTTGGTGCGTGGTCAGCGATGTGTCCTCGTCGCTGGCTGCAGCCGAATCGAGACTCCAGCAACGCGCCATGGAGCCTCTTCTACGTTCGGGATCTGTCTCGATACCCTCGTCGCTTTGCGGGCTTTTGCTTAGAGACCTTACCACCGGCATCCTGACCGTATCGAACTCGTCGTAAGTCTCATTCTCCTCGATCGGATCCACGATATCTTCCTCCGCGTTCTGTTGCTTCTTCGATTTCATCGTGACCCCGTTACCGGCGTTTGTCTCACCGAACAACCGTTCGAAACCTCGTACCAGCTCGCATACCGATGAACCGCCGTCGCTCTCGGCGATATACTGATTTTCCACGATGCCGACGCGCCGTTTTCGCGAAATTCGTGTGCTCGAGGACAACGAGCCACAATTCTGCTTCCCCGATTTCTCGACGACCGACTCTTTGTTTGACTGTCGTCGCGATAACGCTTTTAATTGACTCACTTTCGAAATCGAGGGACGCTCGATGTCACGTCGACCGTTTCGTTTTCGAGAGGACACGCATCGTCCTCTCAATACACGGTTTCTCGACTTTCGATTTGAAATACGCGAAACGCATCGCGCATCGACTCTGAACCAATCGCAACCACGGCGTCGACGATGATGTACTCCGTTCATCGACAGATCATGTTCATCGCTTGACGATTCTTTGTTCATTCTGCGCATGTCAAAGCTGATTGGTTGGGGCTTGGTAACCAACAGCAACGCGCATGAGCTCTTACACGTTTTTTTCACGCGGAATCTTTATACTCGTTCAAATTTTCAAAGTGTAAAATTTGTAAAACCCAAATTTCCCAATTTTAGAGTTTCCAAAATCAATAAATGTGGTCATGTCTATGTTCCTTTTTTCTATTTATATATTCTGTATGTGATCGGCAAAGTAAAGAGCGTTCAATTGATGGAAATTCTAGTGAAGTTAGCCGAGTTGCGCGCATTTAGTATCTATGGTTGAGCGGTGCATAGAGGCCGCCATGTTCAATTCCATGGACCACATAACAGCTAGACAGGAAACGTAATCCAATATTCTGACCCGGTTTGAATCAGGCCCAAACATCTTTATGTACGTTCGTTATACTTATCAGCTCGATCTTCATCACCGTTTGCACAAAAATTCTTCATAAAATGAACCTTCTTCTTGAACAGATTTCCAACTGCGTTCATTTCGATATTTTGTGGGGATCGATTCGTAACGATATTCGACAGAATCGTCTAACTGAAACGATGTAAACAGAAAAACTCAATGAGACACTTTTAAAAATGTTGCGATTCTTTTAGAAGTAATGAAACAGTATAACAGACAAGTACAAGTGCAAGAGTACTTTTCAAAAGCGATTTCGAAGAATGAAACTCAAGTGTTTAGAATTGAATGAGTATTGAATACTCATATCTTGTCTGAACGGATATCCGAGTACTGGAGTATGGATGCACATAAATTCAAACAATAGTAAGAACTCTATGACCGTTACAAGTTCTTATCTAATCTTAGAATTGTGCCATTAGTCTCGACACGTCGTCATTTCTCGTATGAGATGGTTAATTATTAAAACGTTTTAAAGACAATGGGTAATAAAAAGAGTAAAAATAATGATGACATAGAAACGATAGCAACGTCGTAAATAATTTTGAAATGTTTGTAGGCAAACTATCGTATTCCTTGTCAAAAATAATATTTCGTGGAACGTCGCTGAAAACGACGAGTCAAGGACCGAATATCCGGGTCGAAGAAATGCGTAGGGAGAGATGCAGCGGAAGGTATGCCAGGGTTGCTTCTTGCTCCTTCTATTGACGTCACAAGTGCGTCATTGAAGGCAAAGAAACAAGAAAGTGCGATTGAATGATCACGGTTGCAGCAACCGCGTTATAATGTGTACTGTACTGTTCGGTATCGTTAATTCTTTCTCTTTCTCGACAATCGGTCCATTATCTCGTCAGTTCAAGTGCCCCTTGGCCACTTGAGCCTATCTGTGCTGCTACTGCGACCGTTCGACTGTTTCATTGTACAAAATAACCATGCAACGCGAATAGACTGAATTATAATTTTTTCTTCTCTTTTTTATGTATCGCCCACGCATCAGTTTCTATCAGGAGTACTTCCTGATTACGCCTGGCATAAAACCGAGAGGCAGATAAGATTACACTTCAGGATTTCTGTTAGCTTTTCTCAAGAGGAAATATGTAATAGGGTTTCCTAAATTTTTATACAGAGATACATTGTTGAATTTTTTGCTTGTAATGCATTAGTTTACAAGGCCCCACATTTCTGATATTTCAAAAATTCCAAAATCGGCCCACGACCCATCACAATTTGCCTGGACCCATACTTCTAGAGGAACACCACAAGTAATAAAAAAAATTTTGTAAATTTATTCGTATCTTGATCTAGTTCAACGTTAAGAAACATTGTACATATTTTACAAGAGGAGAATTTCTAAACGTGTCTCGATATATTTCAGTCTGGCAAAAGATTCCTTTCACTTTACTCTCGAATTCGATCGGAACGAGGAGAAGGTTCGACGGACGTAGATGGAGTTTCTATAGCTACTTTATTTAGAAATTTGAAGATGACACGATAGCGAAGACTAACCCAAACTCATACTTGTGACGAAATCGGGTCAATGTCGGCTCAAGGCTAATGACTTGTTCATGTCCTAGATAGGTAATGTATGTACACACAAAGGATTTTAGGCGTATAGTTGAGAAACATTGACGAGAATTGAATGAACATCACCTTTTAAACATTGTTAAATGAAGAATAGAATTTTAGCAATTTAATAGTTGAATTCGTACAAGAGATTCATGCAGAATACATGCATAAAAGTGTAATTAAAAAAGTAGGGGTCGTAAAATTTTTCGTTTCGCGTTATTTACCTTACCTGTCCATTTCAATGCTGTATTTTGCATTTTATTCTCGTTCAATAACATGAAAACGGTTGCAATGAATTTTACATCGTAAGAGACTCGAGATTTGTAAAGGAAACGATAATATTAGTAATTAATATGTATCACGTTTACGTCGCGACAAAATTCGATTTTTACAATTGAAATTAAAGTAGGGCCGAACGTCTTCAACCTTCATTGTTGATCGCTGTCTACCGGTGTTTAATTTTGAATCGCTGATAATTGAGAAAAGCAATGTATGCAATGATTGTACGTCAATCGTAGCTGATGGCCGACTGAACTCGAGTTTTGAACTTGACCACTCCGCGGTAACCACCTATACTCGAGTTCCTGTGTAAAAGGAGGGGATTCGATTGCATTGAAATCGGTTCTCCTAGAAGGGAACCTTTCCCACCTACAATTGACGCAACTGTGTAATTACGACTCCGCCTGTAAACTGTAAAGTTATTACTTGCATATCTATTTTCATGTGCTACCATTACCGTGATAATTTGTTTTTTCCTTCCGACCGTGAAAACCGTTACGATATTATGAAGTCTGTTTTAGTTTTAATAAACACGACCACTGTGAAAATGATACGGTAAAATACTGTTCATGTCGTTATTAAATAATCGTATATTATCAAATAATTTCCGTTTAATTGTTCAAATTAAACATTAGACTTTTTTCATAATACTTCATAGAAGTGGATATCAGAATGTTCATCGGGGTCTAAGATCAATGATCCAAACACTTGTGGTTCTCCTGTGAATTTTTGTGGTCTGTACGGTTTCAACCATTTGTTGATTGATATTCCAGTGTTTAAAGTCTTAAAAGTTGTTTCAATAGATGGTCTGGTAACAAGAATCGTTCCTTTTTGAATGTTTTCCCTTAGAAATTTCCATATTTCTATATGCACAGAATCTGATACATAAAATTCAAAAGGATTATTCATAATAATTATATTACTTTGCTGCACAATTTCTGGACATTTCTCGATTCTGTTATTTACAACTTCAATGCGATCATTCATTTTATATTTATCTATTACATCATGCTGTAGTGTGCAAAATTCTTTGTTCATTTCAACACCAATAATCTTTTTAGCAGGCGTCAATATGTATGCCTGAAAGTACATTTACAAACAATATTACCTTATAATACAACCAACAATTTGATAAAGATAAAATTACCCCATACAAAACTGCTCCCAATCTGGATCCTATGTCAAGTACAGTTTTATTCTTTAAAGATGGTAAAACAGTATGAAATATGTGTAGCATGTCAGCCACTGATAATGAATGCGATATGATATCTGAAATGAAAGTTTGTTTGTGTCATATGATTGTAAAATTAAAAACAATGAGTGCATTCATAATTTCTTACTGTATTCCTTCACATTATTTGATCCACAATTAGCACAATAGAAATTATCTACTAATCCTTGGTCTATAAGCTCGTCAACTTCCTTACTGTCATAAAGAAACGCATCAATGTGCTTTGTGGATGCATTGTTGCAATCTGAATTCTGGAAGTTATGGAACAGATGAAATTCCTTTTTATTAAGATTAAACAATATTTGGCTTCATTTTTTATAATATTAAACAGCAAACCTCTCCAGTTGTTGGTGTAACGATGCATTCTGTTGGAAGTATACCATCAAATGGTACTCTGTTTTTAATATCAAGAGCAATGGTTTTCAAACTTTTTAACTGATCATCTTCCATGCTGCAACTGTTTTGCTTATCTATAAAAAATGTTAATTCCATGATGTACTTATAAATTATTTGTTAACCACAGGAATGTTATATACTTGTACAGCTTTGTGGAAGGGATTGGATCTTAGCTTCTTCAGGTTTCCAATTATCGGCTATAAATGATAAAAATATTTGTTGATCGACTGCATTCAACGAGCGCATAATATCTGTGAAACATTTTATGGCTTCCTGAACGGACATTGTAGTCTCTCCATTAATTGAATTCATGATAATATTACGGTAATGATAACAACTTGTTGTGTACACCCAAGTGCAATGGAGCCTTCCTAGGGAAAATGGCGGCTAGTAAAAAGTCTTCCCGAGAATCGTTAGCCATCTAGCGATAGAAAGCGAAAACTAATGGTACTTAGTTGCAATCTTTGCAGTTATCGACTTTGCTGACCCGATAACTCTTCTAAAATAGTATATTATAAAATCAATATTAATTAAATTTAAAAAAGTGGGTAAATGGTAATGATTCATGTAAACTTTTATATGTTTATTAAAAAAAAATTAAGTACATAAAATGTCGTCATAGTTATATAGGTATATAAATAATTAATCTTAACATTATTTTGTAATAGGCAAGATGTAAGGCACATATGCTCTTCCATAAAATTTGAAACATTCTATTATATACAAAATTCCTTATCGCTTGCAAATTGCTTTTCCACCTTCGTCATTCCAATTACTTTCGAGAAGTACAAAAAATTTAAATAACTAAGTTTATATTAAAAATATGTATATGTATATAAAATAACGTAGCGTCGAAAAATGTTACAAATACTTATTTACAAACTTTTGCATATTTTTAATCCGACGTCGAAATTCCGACCAATAAATATTGAAAGATACGTTTTCTGAACTTGATTCATTGTAAAGCTTGATTACCGTCAAGAATACAACATTTACCACTAAAAGAACGAAAATGGTTGCATCTAATTTGAAGCTAGGGAAATACTGTTATTACGAGTTAACTTTGTTATAATACATAACAAATACTGTTAGCGACATATGATTGAAATATTTCTATTATTCTATGTAGCAATGCGTTTGCGATTTATAATGCGTATCTGTTTGATGATAGTGTATTAAATAAAAAATGATATGATTCCAAAACGTTCTACATAACTTTAAAAATTGTACATCTAATTTGTAAGACACGGAGCACAGCTGTCTTTTTTCATTAGGCACAATTTCATTCGTGTCTTAATTTGACGCATAGCTACTAACATTTCGTGTATGTACAATATGAAATAATGGACGTCAATTAATTTAAATTAGGAAACAATATAACGCATAAAAAGCTGCCTGGAATAAAATTAATATAGAACTGCGCGCGCACGCGATAAAAAATAACGTCACAAAGGAAAAACCATTCAACGATAAGCTTGTACGACTAAAGGGTTTTCATTCACGCGACTCTAATTACATCCAAGCTCACTAATCGTCGACCATGAAACGGGCATAAAGAGATACGAAAAAAGAAAGAGAGAAATATCAAGCAGGTACATAATAGATTGAAACGTACCCATTTCATGATCGAACAATTCATTTTCTAATTCTACGTTGAGCTTTTAAGATTGATATTTATCGCACAAAAATTGAATGCATAGGATACAAAATCACTAGACGAATACACGTCTAATTCACTGAAATATTTGAGCATACCTATTACACAACACCCTGTAAGAAATGTCTTGCAACAGTTTGTTCGTTCTAAACCTAAAGGTGATCTATACGTTAAGAAATTCTCACTAAGTATCCCGATAAAAACGACGTGCCCTCGTACAGATTTGTACTAATTTCGTTCCACAAATTCACGTCGTTTCGCTTCAATACAAGGACTAAACTAAATCTTATAAGATTCTAGAGTCAGGCGCGATACATTCGTACAATGTTGTTCACAGAGGTTGTTCAATAGGCAGTGATCCCTGTAGCAGTGGAGGCTCAGTATATGACGTGTTCACGTCTGTAGTTCCAGCTGTGTCACTGTTGTTATGGTTGTTGCTGTTGTTGTTTTGCCCGTTTAGAAACGAGGCCATTTCCATCGGCGATTGTTGCTCCCCGCTCTGTTTAGAAACATGCGTGTTCGTTTCGCTTCTTTCAGATCTCAAACAGCGTGTAAGTACGTGTGTGTTTCGGAAAATAAAACTAAAGAAAAGCGGCTCCAAAGAGAGTGCAGAGAGCGAGTAGAATTAAAGAGCAGCACGCGGCCAATGCTAAAGCTAGGAAAGACTAGTCTCCTTAATATCGAATAGTCTGAAAGCAGAAACACGTTAGTCGAATGTAAATACAGATATTGCGTGCGAAAGTGCGTAGGGGAAAATGTGTGCGTCTGTGTGCGCGCGCACGTGCGTGTGCGTGCGCACGTACGTGTGTGCGGCGGTAGATTTAAAATAGAACGGGTCAAAGCACGACGGAGGTGAACGTGCCAACTTCAAAGGTGTATTATTGTAATCCAGGCGGAGTCCTATCACCGAAACATGAAATTGATCGTGGTAGACAATCATAGTGATTGAACACACCTCTTCATTATTCTCCTTTCGAATGCAGATTGACACTATAAATTAACACCCAACGCTTCTATCAATCCATTGACCAAGTACAGAAGAGGACACATGGGCAGTGCTAAATGTGACAAAGAATTTCTATGAAATTTTCGCATATAGATATACCCATGGTGTTATGAAATACTTTGTTGATTTAAGAAGTAAAATTCCGCGCAGGATTACAATCAGACACGCACACACGTACATGAACTGACAGACAACGGTAGAAATAATCGCAATCACAAATATGAAAAGGCATACAGCGTGGGCCATACAATAGCGAACTCGGTAGGCTTCCCCAGAGAAAATGGTGATGGGGGAAAAGACCCCACCACTTTGTAAATTTTCAAATTGAAAATATAGAAATTTGGCAATTTTTGAATACAGAAATTAAAAGAAATCTTAAGTTACAAGGACACCTAAGATTGTATTTACGTTCGCATAGTGTATTTTGTTTCGCTTGAAGAGAGGAATGGAATGACCGCAGAACGAATTGAAACTTAGACGTTGATACGAGATAACGTAAAGTTTTCAGCTCTCGGTCATTCTTTTCCTCTGACAGAACGAAGTATATTTCTACTTACAAATACCGACCTTAGGCTGTATTATATCTTCGGACGTATCGAGACCAGCAAGTGGATTCGAAGTTATATTTATTTTGGAGTCGGTGACTCCGCCGTTCATTACTCTTCCGTTTGTTATCGGTTTCCCTATAGAAAAAAAGAGAGCTTGAAATGTTACTTTCAAGTTGCTATTCATTTTCAGCTTACCTTCGCTTTGCGAAGATTCCCGACTCTGCTTGTGTTTAGTCCTTTTATAGACTACTGCTACCACACCCAAGCCGCACAGTAACGTCGAACCACCAAGAACTCCACCAACAATCGCGTACATATTTACGTTTTTATCCTCCGCTGGTCTCACCCGACTGTCCAGCGTCAAATTACTACCGTGACTATTACGATTGTCGTCGTTACGATCATTATTTTCGTTCACAACCTTTTTCGTTTTCTGTCGAAGAATTTGCGAGAACTCAGAGGCAGCGTCCACCGAGAAGCTTTGCACCTTGAACTCGTACGTCGTGTCAGGTTGTAAATGAGAAATAGTTATGTTGTAAGAGTCCTTTCCCGCCACTGCAGTTTTCATGTAGTCTCCAGCCGACGTGGAGGCTCGATGGTACACGTAGAAACCATCGATGTCGGCAGATTTATCCGGATTCTGCCAAATGAGTAATACCTCCTGCGGTCCTAACGCCTCGGTGTTTGTCAGTAAAGGTATTGGCATCTTATTACTTTCGAATCCTCCATCTTTATTCAAATGGAAACGCACGGAGTTCGGACTCAATTTGTTATCGTTGTTCGAATAAACTGCAGCGATCCTGAATCGATAAGTATGGTTGGGCTGCAAATCCGTGACCTCGAACGAACGTACGTGTTTCGGTATTTCAGAGTTCGCGGTCATCCATTTTGCTTGCTTGCCGTTCATTTTTTGTCCAAGTTCCCGGTACTGAACTTTGAAAAACTGAATTGGCAAGCCTGTATTGTTAGGCACAGACCATATAACCATTACTGACACGTCCGAGAGTCTCGTGACATTTGGCTGGTTTGGTGGTACTAACACTGCTAAAAATGTAAAATATAATTTAGAAGTTAACTCACATACTACAATATATACGCAAAATGCAATAAATTACCAGTGCCTTTTCGTTTTCCCTCCTTATTCCTCCTTCTACCTCCACCTCTAGTATGTTTATGCCTCGAATTAGGGATTCCATAGTCTGGTCTCGGTTCAGCCGTTCCTATGTGTTGCTTAGGATTCACTCTCAACAGATTGCACCCAGAATGAGAGCCGTACTCGTTGCTCGCAACGCATTGAACAATACCAGCGTGTTTCTTTTCGACTTCAGAAATGAGCAACATAGAACCCTTAATTTCCACGTTCTCACTGGGTGCCAAAGATTCCCCGTTAATCAACCATTCAATTTTCGGTTGTGGCTCCCCAGTGACCGAGCAAGACAGCTCCAATTCTCCTCCCTCAGAAAACGTAGATGCCTTTGGTGGCTTAATTACTTCAGGTGCCTCCATTACCTTTAATATGATCACAGACTTGATATGTACACCGTTCTTACTCCATATACAGTCATACTCTCCTCTGTCAGTCGGTTGGACATTCACTATCGTTAACCCCATCGAGGTTTTGGTGGAATTCGGTGGCAGTGGACTACCCAGTCTACTCCAAGCTACATACGGTACTGGATACCCAGCGCCAAAGCATTCCAGAGTCACATTTTTACCTTTCAAAACTTTGTATTCCGTCTGCGGTTGTTTTATAAAGTATGGAGCTTGGAAACTGGTATTCGAGTGCACGTTCAAAATAGTCTTATGGTTGCTACTGTACGTTTGCGAGCTTATGTAATTAGTAGCGGTACAGTGGTACGCTCCGCTGTCCGACACTTTAGCGTTCTCGATAACCATAGTTTTACTGCCAATCACGTCGTCTCTTTGTATAAGATTATTTATTGCGGTATTGTCTTTATAAAACTGAACTATGGCGTCTGGGGCTGAGTAAGGCACAGGGCACGTGATAGGCACGGTATTTCCTGCTGCAACCTTTATAACAATGTCATTCTTGTCAGAAAACTTCTGCAACGTCGCAAGCGTCAGTCGTGCAGGATTAGAAGCTAAGCCACTTGAACCTACCAAATAAGTATTTATTAATTACAGTTCGGAAGAATTTCAAAAGAGTAATATGAGGAAATTCACCATAATACGCTATACAACGATAATCCCCGGCTTTCGATTCGTTATCGAAATTCACCACGTGTCTAGAAGTTTTACCGCCGTTGGCAGGTGTATGTAGAACAGGTAGCCATTTGTCGGACCCCAAGGGTCTATGACGCCACGAAAATCGGTCTGCGGCGAGGTTTAGATTGCACTCAAAATTCACGTCATCGCCGATCGGTGCTTCTAGGGGCTGAGGGTGTCTGGTGAACGACATGCCCAACTCTTGCCTTTGTCCTAAAAAATTAAATAAATTTAACTGAACGATCATTCTGAACATTTGCATTTTTATTAAAAATAAAAACTTACCGTGTGCACAGCCAGCTAAGACATGAAGCAGAGCCGTGACGACGCCACATAGGGAGGGCACAGGTCGCATCTTGACACATTCTGCAATCAAGGAAGAGGGAAGATAGTTATGTTAGCCACATATTTCTGTTCTCGGTGGTCGTTTTTCCGACCTCGTTCTCGGGGATGGGACGAAAACTCGCGAGGACCAGAAACGCCAGGCGGCGAGAGCCCACTAAAATTAATGCCGGCCAACTACGTTTAACTTTAGAACGTAGCGAGTTCATGTGAAAATAGCACGCATTTATTCTAGTTTTGATCGGGACCCGTCATTTCGCCATGAAAACGTCCCTCTTCCAAATGCGTTGCGTTACACATTCCAACCGGAGGGAAAGAGACGCAACACACGCAACGGTGAACGAACTTCATTTCAAATACTTCTATCACACTAATAGTTAACACTACACAACGCCTCAAAATCACTTGCTTCATGTTTTAAACTATTAAGCTTTTATTTTCACGTTCCTTATTTATTTACTTTCGTACTTTATCTTCGATTTAAAAATAAGTACACAATGACAATATTAACAATTGTTTTTTTTTATAAAAGCCTAAAAAAAGACAAATCGTACGAACATAATGCGTCGGAACATTCAAAAAGTTTTTGACACCTTCGTACGAGTAACGGTTATCGATATCGAGTACATATCGCAACTAATCGCAACTGAAAGTGTCAACAGTATTTGAAATCGTAACGAAAGTATCGAATTCGTATATACTCGTATCGATTCGTAGGTGAAAAACCGAACAATCAGAAGTGCCACAATGACAGCGTGAAAATGACCATATACGGCGACGAAAACCGTCGTTCATTGCGCACACCGCTTTCCACCCACGTGCGGGCGGCTGACCGTCGCTCGCGACGATTAGGAGACCATGCTGACACGTTGAAGATAGATGGAAATTATTTGTTGGCTAACACGAGCTGTAATTGTAGGTAGATCCAATGATGGGGTACAACGTGCGCCTACGTTTAAACGCGTATGAAGTTAACGGTATTCCTTTTCCTGTTTAATTGATTAACAAAGTGTTTAATATCCTTCATTTTATTAATACTGGAAAATAGATTTAGATGCGATGGAAGAATCGAGAAGGCCGGTCAGAATTCGATCGTAAATCGAAATCGATATTTTTCATCAGGGTCGAAATCGTTGAGACGAAGAAAAGCACGCGCATGTTTGCCCAATTGGCGATGTAGTTTAACATGTTTTATGCACGGGAGGACTCTTAACTTCTGGTTAAATGGTAGCATAAATGCCGGTGGTATGTAACAGGTGAGAAGGGTCCCAAAGAGGCTGGTTTCCGACGTTGCCTCTCATAAAAATAAAGAACTCGAATTCCAAAGCAGTGGTTGTCAAGCCCCTTTACCCCGCGCAAACGATGCTCCACGCACCTAACCTTACGGACCAACCAATACCATCCGGGTTACGCACACATATACCATCCAAACAGCTAAACAAGAATTAGACTTGATTCTACGACCTGTCGTCGAGTAGTCCAATTCTGATATATTTTTTTTACATTGACTTTTATAATCGATCCAAGATTCATCGAGAAAATTCCATTTTCACGAATTTACGACGTTGACCAAAATACAGGAAGATCTCTTACTAATACGCAATTACGAATTCGAATAAATTGATGTTGCACTTTGACATTGGTGTTTAAATATTTTGAGCGAATATTTTACACGAGCCAGAACGTTTTATTCGTGCGAACAGGAACCAGGAAGATCAAGTTTCGCCGATCGGAAACATTCGACGAGTGGATCCTTCCTTTCAGATCATTGATTAATCACGCGACCATTATTCTTCTCGCATAGCTGTCGTTACGTTTTCGACAAGACACGCGACTAACTTAATTTTCATCCTCAGTATGCACACCGATCGCTTAGCAAGACGAGCGAAGAATATTTAGCTGTATACGTGTCATACGCTATTTTAATCTACTTCCCATACTAGCCACTTATCCCGTCATTAATATTTTATTTTTAACCCATAATTTCGTCAATACCGGTTTACCTGTTTCAGTAAACGAACACGAACACACATGAATAATTATATAAACATCTTATGGAAAGCTCAAATGATCAATATACGCACTGTCAATATTTAAACATTGTGAACAAATACTCGCCCCGTATTTTCAAATTCATAAATTATCAAATTCCATAGTTGTCAAATTCGCAATTGAGAACCCTGAAATACTGACAATATATATTGATCGTTCGAGATCTTCATCGATGCTTTTTCCATGATGCCATCGTTATACCGCTGCGAACGAGCTATCGCTGATTAAAAATTCGATCATAGATCGATATATACATCGAAAATTATTTAACCGAAATTTGTATTAAACTTGAACATTCGAACATTACGTATATGCGTATCAGAACGCAGGCGCATTAAGTAGCGCGGTATTATCCGAGATAGTATTTGTAATGTCAAAAAATTGTTAATAATTAACTTTGTAGTGTCATTATTTAACAATAATAACTCTTGTGTAAGAACTGAAAATAGCTCACCCCTTTCGGCAGGTGATCCTCTACATTCTACAGTGATACTACTAAACGAAATTTTCAGTGATAAACTATTTGTTCGATACCGATTCCCAATTTTATCGTGACAACGAATTTATGTGAAAAATGTCGAGAAACGTGAACCTATAAAACACTATGGGGTTCGACAACAGGGAGGAAGAAAACAAATATCATCGTGTTCGGTACACTCACCCTTTTCCCTTCGATCCAACCGTACGATCTATTCGTTTCAGATCCTTTGGATTTTCCAGCAACTGTCCACGATCTTCCTCGCAGAGGAACACGATGTGTTCGTTAATAATTTATACCGATGAATCGCTTCATTTTTTTCAGCGATCGTTTCAACGGGTTCAACTTCCTACCAGAACACAACGCTTGGCGTCCACCAGCACCAGCACACTGGAATGCAGACCGACAGGTTTTGAACCGCGATAAAGTATAGTAACGACGTGTGTCTTGATCTAGGTACTTGCGCGCAGGTTGGTACTGTGCTACAGTGTCATGCGATCAGTTCTTTGTAGTACGAAAATAAAGACTAATCACAAATTTCATGTTTCAGAATTGATAAATATCTTAGAATATTATTTTTATGCTGCTACAAGAAAACGTCATTTTACTTTGTGTATAGTGCAGTAATTTTTCTTTGTAAATCCCAGAAACTTGCGTGAAAGGTTTCTGCGCACAAGCGCCACATTTGAAATGTGAAAACGCGCCAAATACGAATGCACAATAAAAGCATACATTTTTTAAGCATTAATAGTTATACCTCAAGCAGGAAGGTATGTCCAGAAAATTTGAATTCATGCAGTATGATAGATGCAAATAATTTAAGAGAGTTTAAATATAGAAATATATATTAATATATTATATTCAAATTAACATGGATTAACAACAATTGATCTTTGTATTTTACATTTCTGCATTCAATAACTTCATTCATGATTACATTATGTATAATGTTATATGCATATTCGATAAGGTTGCAAATTTAAATAATCAACTCTGCTTACATTTAATTTTTCACATTCTGTTCATTAATAAAGTTCGGTTTTGTTACAATCTAAAATATTAAATATTCTACTCAATTATATAAGCAAGGTCAAAAACTTAACAAACATTTTACAATGGACTGTGTTTAAAATGAGTAATAATTATATTAATAATAATAATAGTAATAATAATAATAATAATAATAATAATATATTACGCTAACAAAATTCGCACAATATACAATTTGTAGATATACATATAAATAAACATCTGTTCCTCAAAATAAATGATTTCTGCGTTTGGCACGATGTCATGTAATGGAAGCAAATAAACACCATGTTACATTTTGATTGTCCGTGGCTAGTTGTGATACAATGAAATATATGATTTACTTCGTACACTTGCATTTTGGTGTCTTAATTATCGATGATGTTTTACTTAAGTCAACCGGTCATATGTTAGAATAATAAACAATCATTCAATGTGATGATAAATAATAATTTTAATAAAGATTATTTAAAAAAAAATATTTCTACCATGTACAAGCTACAATGATATACAAAAATACTCAATAAATAAGTCGTTTTATACAATTACTGCTTCATCAATTTTTACACTTATCATCTCTATACAAATATTACAATAAATCATTTAAATACAAATATCCATAGACCGGTTGACTAAGAGTATTTTGCCCAATATCAGGATTTACTGGTGTATTGCTTTACGTTGCATCACTAATCGATTACTAGAATTTGTGACGGATCGATTAGCTACATCACTATTTACTGTAAATGGCATCCCACCCCCTAGTTAATTAGATTAGAATAAACTACGTGGAAGAACAGATCTTCAGTCATAGCAAATAAAAGCTAGACTTAAAGTTTCAACGAATAGTAAAAACTGTGATATTACTTCCAATATATACGTAGATCAAAATATTGAGGTGTCAGCAAGAATGCCAATCAACAATATCAGAAAAACATGAGTAACACCCATTTCCCCAACCAATAAAACTCATAAAGATGTAAAAACTTTCGTTTCACCAAAATATAACAACAACAATAACAAGACATGTTCCGTTTTGTAATAATATCACAGACAAATAGAAGAACATAAAAACTATAAAAAGCTGGTCTTTGTGTGTATACAAATTTTGACAAAAAGTTCTCCATCTTGAGAACACGCTTCTAAAGCATATAAATACGTGCAGTAAATGGATTAGTTTAACATTTACATAAAATTTACGTGTACGTAGGTATGTATGTGTATATATATCTCTAAAAATTTGAAATTCCTTGATCATATATAACATGGCATTCTTCCTCGCACCTTTCATCTTGACTTTTTATCATTGTAGCTTGACTAGCTACAATCACATAAAACGTTCTGGCAGCGCGCCTTGTGTTAACATTTGTCCTTTAAATTTACCTTTTCGTGATGCTAAATTATTACATTAGTAACATCTAAAAATTACACGTTATTACTGTAATTTGTTAAGTGTAATATCCTTACAAACTGAAATTACCTCATTGACAAAATATCGCAGTTCTTCTCTTAATTAATTTACTATAAGGCAAATTAACAATTTTTTAAACTAGGAATTAAACGTTACACAATATAAACAATATATAATGAATAAATTAAACTAAATTGCACCTTTGTATTTTTTCCTTTAAAAGCAATAGTTTTGAATATATCTGAGCCAGCAGTAAACCTATATTACAGATAATAATTTATCATTATTTTGCAACTGTGTGACGCTTAAATATCATTTATCAACCTAATAACTTATAGGTTTTTATGTTTACATATATATATGTATATATATACAATATGTATGTGTATATATAGAGTCCTAAGACTAGAAATATCTCCGATTTAAAATTTTGACATTTTAAATTGGTAACCAAGCAATTCATCGAGTGCATACTTTCATGTATACTTTGTCTATTGAAGTAAATGAAAGATTATAGTTTCTTTTTGTTTGTTCAACCAGAAGTTTACATCAGAAGACATGTGATTTTAAACACATGAATTGTTCAGGCTGCGCTACCATGCTGTGTTTGTAGTGTCACGCAAAATACAATTAGTAAAATGATTTAAGCTAATGAACTGTATTTTTAGCAATTATTAGGAAGAGCTTTTATCACGCGGGCAGTGCCCTGTAAAAATATACGGTCTCTCTATTTAGAACTACATATTAATGTACACAAGACCAGTTTTTCATCGATATTTGCATTATTTTACCACACGCACATGTGCACGCGCAACGTGCACGTACTATATATACATATGTATGTATACATAAACACAGACATACATATACATACATATATATAACTATTTATCAGGTATTCACAAGCTTCTTAATATTACAGATACTTATTTTTTTGTTTTTTTCTTATTTTTTATAAAAATAGGGTGACCTCTTGTCTTATACATATTACATTCCAATATTATCAACTTGTTACCGAGATACATACATACGTACATGTGTATATACATATATACCTTTGAACAAAATTTTGAAACTGGTCTATGCATACATTATAGGATCTACATATGTACAGCATTGTTCAAAATCATTTCAAAAGCCACGAAGAGAGTAGAAAAAGGCGTGAAATGATAATTATTTTTCTTGTTTTGAATCCATGTTTTGTTGTATTTCAACGACGAATTTTTGTTATTGATAGCTTTCCACGGTACACGTTTTGCACATACAGCTGCGTACATGACCAGATGTATTTCGAATGTAAACAAATGAGCACGAATGTAACATGAACAATATGTATGTGTACGCGTGCGCGCGCGCGTGTGTATGTGTCTATATATATATAATATATATATAATCTTTTTTAAATATATTATCAATTTCTCTATCGAATAGATATCAATCATATTTCTATACATATCTACAAAAAACCTAATATAGAACTCTATTATTATTAATTAAACTCTCTATGAATTAATATGTATAATTGTCACAACAGGTCTAAAAAGTTTATCGTTATTTTAGTTTTAGTACACGATAGTTTTCTTCATTGACATTTTATAAACTGTTTAGTTGTATCATGTTTCAAATAACATGCTGAGAAAATTACCTTTTAATATTATCTCCCTATTATTGCTTGTTGCTTAATGCTACTGAATTCATTTTGGCATATAGCGAGTTCTAAACCCTGAGCGTCCGCCAATTTTTTGCTTCTCTCGCTTCCTCCGTTTCTTTTCAATAGAAATGCACCTGATACATACTTCATTTTTTCGTACGCGATAGATGCCTCAGAAATGGCAATAACTTCGATGCAAATCTTTATTAACATTAGTCGTCTTCGAAATAATAGATCCATATCGATGATATAGTTAAGTCCGTTATCTCAAAACTCAAGTTAAAGACACAATTTTAGAACAGACTTCTGTTCAATTTCAGAACAAAATTGGAAGTTTGCTGTATGTACACACAATCAAAATGTTCTTATATAGTTTGTTTTAAATACCGCTTGCCATCGCTCCATTTTGGCCAATGTTTACGCCTTTTCTCTGGTAGATTCGGGTAATCATTTGGAGCCGAGCGTTTCTTTAACTTTGACGTACTTTCAGACTTTGATGTTAGGTTAATACCTTGACCGGGATGTGTCCTACTGGGATTACTTGGTGTAGTAACACCTGCTAAATTCAGAAGCGCATCTACACCTTCTACTAATTTCCGTTGTTCATCGACATCGGGATTCGTTTCTTTCCTCGTATATTTGCTTAAGAAATAAAAATTTAAATTTTTACTTCTATAACCAAAATATATATTTTAATATTATACATTCACTGATATTCTTACCTTTCTTGTCTTACCGAAGTAATACAACTATAAGTATGATCTTCACTGGAACTCCTAGTGATTACAGGAACCAATACTTCTGATTCTGGTACCTTTCGTTTACGATCTGCAGATACATCGTCAAATGTCACATATACGTACACAGTCGTTTTACTTTCTTATAACAAATATATCTGAGAAAGTGATATTATTCAGATTATTAAATACTCAACCTTTATTGTGATTTAAAATAATAGGTCCATGCTTGAAAGAAAGCATTGCAGCAGCTGCTGCATCTACATCACTATCTACCTCAGTGTCCGTATTATCGGTAATATTACTTGATGCCAGTCTTTTGGAAAGATATGGAAAGAGAATAGGATCTGGAAGGCGTGTACTTGTGTTCTTTTTTTGAGGTTTTTCCGACGAAGATAACGTTTGAGCAGTAGGAGGAGGAAAAGGAGCACGAGATAATGCTTGTATCAGATTTGGACGATACTGAGCATCCACCATCCATAATGAACCTTTGCCTAAATTCTGAAAATAAACAAATTATTATTAATAATTTCTGATAGAACGACGCGTATTATAATGTAGTACTTACCGGTGCTTTCTCTACTTTACGGAAACACTTATTTAGGCTTAAATTATGTCTAACAGAATTTTTCCACCCAGTTGGAGCATTCCTAAAATATGGAAAGTGTTCCAAAATCCACGCATACACTTCCTTGACTGGTAGAGCTTTTACAGGGCTATCTTCAATAGCCATGAAAATTAAACAAGAAAATGAATATGGTGGTTTACTGTTTCTATGTAAATGAGGATCATATGGTATATGAGTAGGATGTTTGTTGCGATTTGAAACTGGCAGATTATTGTTGTTCAAAGAAATCTTTGTTTGATTATTTTGTGAAGTATTATAATGTGTTTTTACCGACTCCTGAAAGATTGATTTTTGACCATTTTTATTTGAATGTTGGTAGCTTTGACTATTACCATGCGACGTCGTGTTATTCATCCTGCCATTATTATCTGCTGTGACAATGAAAAATAAAATATATAATGCCATTGTGTTTATGCAATTGAAACAGAAATGAAGAAGTATTATTTACCTGGGCAGTAACTATCGTCCAAACTTGAAACAGAATTTGTGTTTTCAGAAAAATCTGCCATATCGTCGCAAACGTTATTGTTCAAAACGTTTTTGGTTTTAATATCTTTAGAAGGATTTGAAATATCCAAACCCTTCAATAAATTCTGTTGATGGAGCCAACTTAAAGAAGTCAAATCATCGTCTGATTGACTATTTTTTTCAATGGATTTTTCAGACATAGAAAGTTCATCGGCTGAATTTGTTTCAACCAGACCATTTGAGTTTTCCTCTTCTTTCATCGTGATCGATGTTTCTTCAAAATTGAAAACCTGAGTACCACTCAGTTCTATTTCAGTTTCCGTGCCCGTTGCATCTGGTCTATCTGGTGGCATATTGCGTCAAATAGTTTTTTCGTCACTGAAAAAGTATGATTAACTATGAAATTTATCATGATTTTAATTTCATTTTGTATTTTATAGTTATTTGAAACCAAAAATTGAATCTAAAATGAATCAGGGTTAAATAGAATCAAATCATATTTTTCAGCAATTAGCAACTAAACTTAGATTTAATACTAGATCATTTACATCTATATCTATGCAAATATGTAAAGTTTCTAATCGATTAAAAATCAAACAGATAATTTGAATGAAAGGAATGGATGGTGAAAGCAAGACTTCATTTATAAAATGATGTATAATAAAAAATTTAAAAAAGTACAAAATTCCAATATATTAAAAACTAGATCATAAACTGACTTTATTTTAAAATACACTGAAAGTAGAAAATATACTTTTAAACTGAGATCCACAAAGTGTTCAGAAACATATGAATGAAAAAAGGTAAAAAAAATAAGCACCTACGTTTTTATTTTTTTAGTCACGTGTCTATGAATCTTTTTTAAAAAATCTATTTCATATAATCTTTTCAGTTCATTTTGAAACAAAAACGTTAAAGGCTTTTTTAAAAATACGTCTTTATTCGAAAGAAAGGATGTTCAGTCCACGAAACGAAGGGGAGCGATAAGCGTCGACGATTTGATCGGCAACATAGCAGAAGTACTGTCGCCAAGCAACAGCTTCTCTGTAATCCTAGCAACGTGGTTATGTTTTACTTTCGTACAGTACAATACGCACTGGTATTCATAAAGGAATACTATAATTACAAAAGAAATACGTAGACAATGAAATTGAATTTTCGCGCATGTGACGTGCCTTTAGCCTCGAACCCAAAGTACCAAAATCGTCATTTGTTTATCCACTAATAAGCAACAAAATGGCCGTGCTGCTAAGAACACATTGTAATCAAAAATAAATTTTAACCAGTTCAATTGATTCACTATTAGTTTTCACGTTATCTTTCACGTCGATCGATAGCGTTGCAGTTATTATACACGTGTTCCACTTTATTGAATTTTTCATTGTAATAATATATACTTTTAAATCATTTTAAAAAAATGGCGTCTACGCAGCGTACTAGTTTTTCAACACGTTTGTTGCCCTTATTAACAGCGTGTCTTACGAAGATCACTTTGAGGAGCGCTTTTAAAAATTCCCAATGCATTTTGCATTTGTTAGATCACGATAAAGGTATTCACGTAAAATCTGACCTACGTGGAACGAGATAAACAGATTTTTCGCGGACGTACATATTTTGAGAAATTACGTTCATTTCTCGTAATGATTTCCTCGCGGTTGAATGTTCAAAAAGGAAAAACGAAACAGAACACATTATCAGTGAATCGATGGCTCGTAAAACGACACAAAAATTCGTGAATAAATGAAACATGCCACTGCGTTACTTGTTGAATTCAAATATGGAGTTGATAATGATTACGAAACTGGAGCACACATGAAAATGGCCACGGCATCGCTTGCACACGGTATCAACATTACATTCGACGAGCATATATTTTTAAAATTATTCAAAAGAATAATATAATAATCGACATTTATATCATGAAATTAAAATTCGAGCACACTGCGAAGGTTCCTCTATCAAACATATTTTATATATTTTTACATTCGCGTCATCTTTTGCGACGTTCAATTCCAAGGAAATGAAGACTTTTATGCGCTATATCATGAATTAATGATCAGTTTATATCACGTTATTAAAATTTCCATGATTTTCTTGATATTCTTTCACGAAAATTAACTTGGAATGTTTAAGAAATGAAACAGCGTTTTGCGTCTTTCTGGTTTTTTACCTGGCATTCGCGTATCAATAGATATTCAAACTTTATCATCGACGAATGAACGCGAAAAGAAAAGTTGTACAAAGTTCTTGAACAACTCACGTATTCGAGTAGACAGACGGCAGTCGTCGTAGGTTTTCTAAAGACGGGCATTTCAAGCACACTCTACACAACACCCAGCTGATTGAGACGCCATATTTTGACGTCATCACGTGGTTACCGAAACATCTTATATCGAATCTTGAACATCGATCTATCGCGTTTAATTCCTTCCCCGGGAAATTACGATTCCAAAGAAACCGTAGACGCTTTCATTGCATCCAAATTCAAATATTCAGGTAGCAACTCAATTGTATTCATACTCATCTGGCTCTGAAACTAAAATTCGAGTTATAACGAGTACTTCGTGTACTCGGATAATCGATTACTACCACCTCTGGTTAACATTATCGTTCATACCTATTATTAGTACTATAATTGAAGGGGGATTACTAATAAATATACAAAGTTATTTTATTTAAGATTTCACAATTTATTCTGTCATCTTAAACCAGTACGAATTACAAAATTCAATGGAAATTAATGATTTCTTCTTTGATATAAAACTGTAACAGATACTGAGAATTTGACTAAAAAAGTCGACAAATGCTTTCTTTGGAATTTAACAATTACAGTCCAATAAATCACAATACTAATAACAATTCAACTCGCATCATTCATTAAAATATTAATATTTCGAATTATATTATAATTTCATACATACTGCTACGATATACTGCACCATATACTTTCTATTGCAACGTTTTAATTGCAGTTATTATTTCTTTTACGAATATACACAGTCCACTCCTTTACTCTAGCAATAATTACTGTTACTTTTCTTTAACCCATTTTGTAGAAAAGGTAGGTACACACATGGCACAATTGATGGGAAAAGTTTTTTACAACGATGTATTTAAAAACGTTCATTTTTAGTTAACCTTTTAGTTCATTAAATAACAACAAAATTTGAAAAGTCACATCGAATAGAACTGCTGGAGGTTCATAAAAAGTTTAAAAAAAAATATTTAATTTTAAAAGTGTCTGATTTTTCATTGTATATTGTGCAGATACAATGTTTTCAACAAATTCATATCCTATTAACGTTTTATCCTTTAGTCAATTTTTATACAAGAATCACATACGCGAACTGGATTATCCCAACCCCTATGCGGTACAGGCTTACGATGTTGCGAACAATCTTGACATACTCCACGTCCACAATCTCGGCAATGATGTAGAGGAAGCGCTACAGAAAAATTCTGGTAGCATATGCAACAACTGACGACTTCTGAATCCGGAATCCAATAGGAGGGTCGAACAGAATCTTTTATGAATGCTAAATAAAATATAAATGTTAAATTTACTGTAAATACTTTAATAACGATTATATTATATATCGCCTTACATTTCGAATAGTTCAAAACACTTCCAACTGCGCTTAAAGTAGATACTACTTGTTCCGATACTTTTCTAGCGTTCACGTCTTCCGAGGATTCGATGATTTCATCATTGGAGTTAGTATCTTTATTATAACAGATATCACAGACTCGTACCGGTGTGTGCCAATTTCTATATGGAACACATTTTGTTTTGGATGAACACTGCGAACAAAAACCTTCACCGCATGCTCGGCAATGATGTTTCGTGTCCGTTGGTCCAAATAATGTTTTACATTTGTGACAGTGTTTTATTTCATTATTGGGTCGCCAGTAAGAGGGTGCAACCTGGTCTGCAACCCATGCGGATAACACCTTTGTTGGTTGTAACGAAACGTTAGTTACAGCTTCGGTAATATACGACACGCCATCGATTACCCTTTGCGCAGTGTTTTGAGATGTTACAGAATTGTTCGTCTAGAAAAAATATATTATTTTTAGACACCGTGGTTATATTTAAAAGAGTTCCTGATATACCTAACGTACCACATTCCACACATGTGTAATTTCGGTTCGAATGGCAAATTCCTCTGGATTTTTATTGCCATACCAATACTGACGACTTCTATATATTTCTCCACAATGCGGACACTCTATCACATCTCCTGACCATGCATACTTAACTAATCCATACCAACTATTATCATTCTGTGTTTGAATTCGTTTTATAACTTGTACTTCATTTCCATTACTATAACACTTTTTACATATATAAACTAAATTTTCATACTGATGCTGGTATCGACACCTGATAAAAAATATATTATTAAAATCATTTCTTGATATCCATTTATTAAATCGTAAACGATAACGAATCATAAAACTAACCTGGTATTGCTACTGTGGGGCTTGTCCTCTCGAAGATGTCCCATGCTATTACTGCATCTGCATCCACAGCTGAGACACTTAACAGGACAAGTGAAATATTGATCAGGAAATAAAATGCCGGAAAAATTTTCCATCTTCCCGGAGAACTGATCATTTAATACTCTTAATGTATTATAAACTAAATGTGGTTTTCTAGCTGATCGAACAGACGTATTATTTAATTCTTTCTTAATAGCATTTTGCAAGGGTTCATAGTCAGTCGTGGAATTTTTGGTATGTAACCCAACATATTTTATTGAACTAAATGCGTCTGTTTCCAGTTTCATTTGAGCAAAACGTGTTTTAAGAATGTCTTCTGGACTTTCTATGCCATCTGTGTCAGAGAAAAAGAATATATTTGTTAAGGAACAAATGGCTGAATTTGTGAATAGACTCTTATTTTGAAATTACTGTTAATCTGAGAATGTAGCAATATGTACTATTGGTCAAAGGTCTGGTGTATCTAGTTTCGTGTAATACTATAATGCTTGGTCCCAGTGCATTTAAAGAGTTAGAAACTCCTTCTCTTTGTCCTATTGCTTGTAATGCAACTTGAAAATGTTCACTGTAAGCTCTTGAAGCACTGCCCAAAAACATAAATAAATCCCTGTTTAGTCTTTCAGACTGTGTTCTGTACACGACAATATCTGACACAGCAAGTACTTTAAGTAACAGTCTTGTTCGTTCATTTTCATGAGTGGTAACACCTGAACAAACATAAAATGTATTACGTTCAAACTTTTAACTGTACTTTATCCAGATATATAAATTATTACCTAATAAACCTTCAGTATCTAAACAAATCACTTTAAGATCTGGATCAAATGCAATCCAAACACCTAATGTACAAGAGCTTTGATCGTTTGAAGTTTTAAACACTTCTTGCCCTTTGAAAAACGTTTGATTCAATGTATGACTTTTGCCATCACCGGTATTTCCAAAAATCGATATCACCTTCACTTTAAGATCTTTCTGATTGCAATTTAACATTTCTACAAATTGTTCTGCACTGGAAACTCTAAGGTATTCTTGTTCATCTATTAGTAAGAAACTCCTTGGCTTGCTGCACTGACATTTCATACGTATTCCATTTTTGGAACCTTCATTTGCAGGAACATCATTTTTGTTGCAAATACACATACTATCCAAACTTTCCATGATAGCTGGTCCAGTCGCTTCCAGTATTTGCTCTCTCCATAATGCACTCATGATGCAGTTCAATTTAGCAACGTTACTTCTGAAATATCCCAAATAATATTTAGTATCTATATCTTATCAATTGGATAATATATCAAGTAAAATATATGAAAAGTTTTATCAAAAATATTATACTCAAACCTTATTACTGACAAACTGAATTACCGTTAAAACAATTGAATCATTTGATACATTTAAATACAAGAGGAACATCAACACCATGTAAATATGAATAACCAAGCAATCTATACATTCAGTGTTGTAACAACAACAGTATATCGATGTGCCAATAAATAATATGTTATTTCACGATGACTCATAGAAAAAAAAGTGATGATATACATTCGATGCAGTTTTATACAGCCGGTTAACTGCGCAAATTGACAGAAGCTGATATGGCGACCTTACCTTTCTAAGAATTAACGATTCCGATTGAAAGGATACGGCGTCATAACGGCCCAGCTTCGAGAATATTAAAAACGGTCAAACAATTTTGTATAATCCCAAAAATGAATTGTTTATCGATAACACGTCTAACACAGACAACTCACGCAACGCAGCTGATTCGTCGATTGCAACAGGCAACTCTTTTAAAACCATTCGAGTTGCAATCGAAAATGTTTCAAGGCTAACGCTACCTGTTCTCCTTTTTATTTACTAAACATGTTTCAATTTTTTTCAACGTATAAATTATCGTTCACTTGTAAATGGTTTCACAATGATAAACAATGTTTTTTTAAAGAACTGGATATATATAGCGAGAGATGTCAATCATTATTTTACTCTTATTTTCATTTTCATCTGGACAATGGCACTCGATACAATGAATTATCAATGTTACAGAAAATAAGTGATTCGATTGTGCACTGTTGAAGCGAGAAAAGATGGTGGGGAGAACAAATCAGGGTCAACGCAAGGCAGGTCTTAAGTATTCTCTTGAACTTGACAGTTCCACATTTTAAAAGACTTCACGATCGACCAACAGTTCATAGTTTTTACGAGGCTTATACTATACATCTATATATGCAATACTTACGTACATATTACAAACAATTTCCGACTAACTTTGATAGCGAAAATATTTACAAAGCAAATTTACATAGATGTAAACAACGATTCTAAAAACATTGTGTAGGAGCACGCTTATCAAATAATTCATTATTCGATTATATTTTATTATATAACGAAGAATACATCGCAGACTTATATGCTATAACAGAATTTTATGTTAATTAATATTATTATTATGTTTTGTAATTTACAAACTAATTGAATTGATTTCTACTAAAAAAAGAATAATGATTTCTATTAAATTGTGAATTATATGAAAAAGATTCGTTTCGACACAGCGTGCCGCGTAATTTTAAATGTGGCATAAACGAGATACTAAAATAATCGATTGCGATGGCTCGATTATCGAATATGTGCTGTTTAAAATATCGATACCGATTGATGAGGAAGTGGTGATAATATACCGCTGGTAGACCGCTAAATTGTTGAGGTTCATTTTATGTTTTGGCGAACAGGACTTCGTTATCGGTGGTTACGCGTGATCGCGATCCTAAACTCGTGTTAAGAGAATGAATGTCAGTGAAATCTGAAAGATAGGCATTATAGGCACATGTACCATAATGTCATCGAAAGATTCAACCGAGGAGAACTTCAAAATACGTTTTTCTATCTTACACGAAAGACAGTGACCCACCCTAACAAAATTTCGTTTAACTACATTAAATCAGTGAACAATGGAGAACCACACGCAGGTTAATACGATCGACATGAATGGAAGTGGTACGTTCAACGCGATAGTACTTTCACAAATGTTTCCTTCATTTTGTATTAATGACATTTATCCTTTGTTAATTTTAAGACACTATTTTTTGAAATTATTTTTATTATGTGTTTGCAAATGTTTGTAATAAACCATTTGTTACAATTTAGAGGATCTACAAGAGAAGATAAATAGATTGGAATCAGAAAATGTTAAGATGCGAGAAGAATTTAACGTTCAGAGGGCTAAGATGAAGGAATTGTTCCTCCAGAAAGAAGGTAAACTGAACCGATCATAGTCAACGTAATTTAAATAAGGAATAAGTTTAAAAGATATATATATTGGGATATTGACAAAGTTTGTTTGTAGAAGAGTTAAAGAGACGGTTAGAAGATAACACGTGTTTATTGGAAGAAAATGCGAAACTAAGAAATGAATTAGACGAAGCTAAGAGTCAACTGGTTGTAGCAGATTTAAAAATTCAAAATGATATACTTATAGAGAAAAGAAAAGCTCAGGAGGAGATAGCATCATTGCAGAGGGTTATTCATGAAACAGTGGAGGAATCTTCTTGTTCGCGAAAGCAATTAGATGCAGAGGTGTCTAAGTTAAAAATGACTCTTTCTAAGTTACAAGAAGAAAATGCATTATTAAAATCACAATTACCTCGTGATCCACCTATAGATGGCCCACAGATATCGTTATCTACAGTAACAAAAACAATAGCACGAAAAGTAGTTTCGCAACTAGGTGCAGATGCTTTATCTTTAGGCCCTGACAATCTTGAGGAATCAATGAGGAAGGTAAAAAGATATGTACGTAAGCTTAAAACTGTGGTTTTTGAACTTTTCTGCAATGAATTTTATAGAGTGGCACTACATTTCAGAAAGCGTTCACAAATCATTTAAAAGATCATAATGAGGTGTTTATTTTATTACTTTTTTTTACCGATTTCACCTAGGTGTGCAAAATATTAGAAACTATTGCTTTATAGGCACAGGAAGATGCAGAAGTTTTGCGTTCACTGGTAGTGCCGCTTGAGGAGGAAATTAAAGCCTTGAAAGAGAAACTAAGAGCAACAGATGATGAATTACAGAAATGTAAAGAGGTACAATCGCAGAAAAGGCAACAGGAATTAGATTCCTCTGAAACGACATGTGATATGTGTATAAATTACGAGGCACAATTAGTTAAGATGCAAGCGACTGCTAAAGATTTAGAAAAGCAGCTGTTAGATTCTGAACGCATGTTACAAGCACAGAAAGAAGATTTATCTAAAGAAGTGGAATTCCGTAAAGAAATGGAAGAGAAATGGAACGAGAAGAAAGAAGAGCATAAAATCAAAGTAGCGGAACTCACGGCTACCTCGCAAACGTTACAGCAGACTTTGACGGAATTGAAAAACATTTTCGAACAAGTTCAGAAGAACGTGAAGGACGAACTTATCAAGTTAACGCGAGACCGGGAAGGAGTACAAAGGCATCTTATCGCGTGAGAATATTTGTAATAATATTTAAGCATTTTTGTTCCGTTGCTATTTCCAATTTTGAACGCAGAAATTACTTCTTTTACCGTAGCGTTCTTGACAAAACTTTATGGTAAATGTAGTTGTACTTTTGCAGGCTTCAAAAGGAAAATGAGAATCTTGTTGGTAAACATAGCAAGCATTCTCAACAATTACAAAGTGAAAGTATTAATATGCCGAATAACGTTGAAGAATTACATGTCAGTCTTCTCAAAATGCGAGAAGACTTGATCACCGCTAAAGTTGCGCAGGAGGTTGCACAAGAAAAGGAGGAGACACTACGCTACGAAGTAACGTTACTTCATGAACAGATGGAGCAGGAAAGTAGAGTAAAGGAACAGGAAATACTTGTGTTAAAAAATGAAATCAGTGGGCTAAGGTAGTATCTTTTGAACTTCTTTGTTTCTCCGGTAATCGCTTTGCAATTTTAATCTCGCGATATCTTTCAGAACGCAATTAGATAAGTACGTGAGAGATCATCGGTCGCTTGCCGAGAGAGAAGAGAAGCTTGTATGTTTAGAAACACAACTGGACGTTGTTATGAAGGAGAACAAAGAAGCTGAATTAAAAATAGCCGAATTACGACAAAGAGTTACTAGTCTTCAGCAAGAACTAGATACTAGCGAAGCGGTTCAGAAAGATTTTGTTAGGTTATCACAATCGTTACAGGTATAATAAACGGTTACAGTATATGATTAGTGTTATAACATGATTACATTGCTTTAAATTGTCTGTCGATAACAGGTACAATTAGAAAGAATTAGGCAAGCTGGTAGTGAAGTTAGATGGCAACACGAAGAAGACGTTGAAGAATGTCCTAGTTGTCATACTGCGTTCACGGTAACAAAAAAGAAGGTAATGTAACAATAAATATAAATATTAAACACTTCAGATCTACATTGATTGCAATTGAGGTATTTTTATTTTTAGGTGCATTGCCGTCACTGTGGCCATATATTTTGTCAATCTTGTCTTTCACATGTTGTGAAAAGTGGACCGAAACAAAGACCATCCAGAGTCTGTGATGTTTGCCATACATTGTTGGTGCAAGATACTGCACCATATTTTAGTCAAGAACCACCACACACACCTGATTAATAAATATTCTAAAAACCAATTCAACAACATGTGCAATATCAATTTTGGTAATTTAATTTATTATAGATTTCTCTGATAAATTTAATAATATAGTAGTATTAATTAAATAATACTCTATTCCTTGTAGGAAAATGTAGAAATGCTGTTAGTTCAAGAGGGGGCTAGATAAAGATTCCTATTACCTGACAACTGGAGTGATAAAATAAATATCATGTAAATACAAATTATGTACTACTTAATGTTTATTGTAATTTAAAAAATTAAAGCTTTTAAATGTATGCCAGTTATTCAAAAATTTATGAATATTTATCTATTATCTTGTTATTTGCATCATTAAAACCAGTCTTACATACAATTGATATACTACTTTTATGTCATTTTCCAGATGCTAAAAAAAAAGGGAAGGGGATTTATGGTTTTCAAATTTATTTTTAAAGCACAAATCTTTACATATTCCTATCATAAGATATAATTCTCTAATTTAATATTCTGAAAATCAACATCTTTTTTTCTAATCTTGTTATTTATTACAATCTTCATATAGGAACAAAATATTTGATACAAAGTAACATTACATCGCATATCACATATTTGATTTCACAAGATTTGTGAATAAATCGTACAATTAAAATTTATACAAAACAATAATTCGACAAATCGATGTTTGAGTATATCTCTGAAATTTACAATGTATCAAGTATCCGAAAGTTATACGTCATGGCCAGTATAGCGTTATTTTATATTTTTTGAATCGATGGACGATTGAAGGTTTCTGTAAAGTTTGATGACATTGACATTGACCTTGATATTCGAGACCAAATATTTTTATCGACATATTGCATAGTACTTATTGTGAAAATAAAAAGTGTGCGGTGGTAATCGAGATTCAACCAAAAGGAAGTGACTTCGTGTGGAAAAATAAGAAAAGGTTGAATTCCGACTCATCATTTGTTCTTCAATTTCAAGGTTATGGTCAATATTGCAACCTTCTTTGATCTAAATGTGTCTTACAACGCTACAGTAGTCATAGCATATTTTCAAATACTCTATAGATATTATATTTCATGATTTTATAACTCGATTGACAACTTACACATAAATCTTACGGTCATCGTAAATTGTTTGTGTAATAAAAGTATTCTAAATGTGGTTGGCAATTGATTACAACGGTATAAACTTTCAAATCTAAATATTCTTTGAATTAAAATTAATTGTAAAATTAATGCATAGAAAACGATGAGGTACAAAATACAAACATAAAGAATTTCACGTGACTATATTCGAACAATCTTAATGATATTACCGCAAAAATATATTATGATTTGTAAAATCCTAGTCGTATAACGTAACTCGTGATTTTATTTATACTTTGGCCCGAGTTACTTAAATAAAATTAAAATTGTAATTAGACTTATCTTAATAACTTTACATAGAAAAGAATATATTAATCACATCTTCGATTGGTTGTGGACGTCTCTTTGGATCAATCGGATCTTTGGATTGAACATTTTCATTTCTCAACTCCTTCCAGTTGGTTAATATGTTTGTATATTCCAGAACTTTATCGTGCTCATTTAATTTCGTATAAACATTTAAAAGACCATCGTAATCATACTCTAGGCCACTGTAGCTTTTTCCGAACAGTTTTAAACCTAATTATAGTAAGATATTAGATGTAAGAGATTTAATAGAATCAGAGGAATCTGTATACTTACTGATTTTGATGCTACGATGATAAAGTTTTTCGGCATCTCTGTACCGGTTCATGTGATAATTGTATAACGAGGCTAAGTGCCCAACGCTTAAACCAACCTCGTGGTCATCTGGTCCTAACAATTGTTCCTTGATACGAATAGCTTTAAGATGCATTTGTTCAGCTTCCTAAAATCGATGATTAAAAATACAGTGACAATACTGTTAATTAATGCACTTAGTATCCAACAAGTACCTTAAATTTCCTCATGCTTTGATACACACGTCCCAAGTTTCCATAATGCTTTGCAGTTTGTACATTTTGTTCGCCAAATGCTTCTTCTGCCGATTGAAGAGCAGACAAGTGAAGGCATTCAGCTTTAAATAGCAAACTTTGTTTCAATAATGGCGTCGATTCGTTATCTAATGCTATTTCTTCAAGAATTAATGCATTTATTCTTTTTGCGCTTGCTAATAACAAATGATCTCCATGTAAAAGGTTGTTCATTATGTCTATTGCATTGTCAATGTGAACACTGTTCATTTAAAGCAAAATAAAAGTATATGACTTTTTAAAATCTTAAAGAATAATAATTTGTAAAATTACTTACCCTGCCTCTGGGAATTTACCAGATCTATATTCGTACACGTAAAAAGCATAAGCTAAATCTTCGTGAGCTAGTGCAACGTGTAAATTCATTTTGCCAAATATTTCTCTTCGAATGTCTAATGCTTCCTGAAAATATTGTTACAATTTAAACAATGAAAAATATGAACCGACGTAGTTATATGTGTTCAATGTACTAACTTTATAAATAGTTACACTATTTATTATGCTATCAAAATTTAACCAGTAATATCCATAATCTATAAGAACGTTACTATACACTGGATGATTTACACCAAATACTTCTTTAGCGCGATATACAGCTTCTCTGATCAACAGACCAGCTTTTCGAAATTCGCGTTTCAATACGCACGATTTTGACGCTTGTCTTAGGACATCGATAGTAATACGTGGAGGCAGCTTAGGTTCTAGTTCTTTCAACGCTGCTATACTCCATCTGGAAAATTATGAAAATTAATAATGCTTATAATAACAAAAATGATAAAAATAAAAGTTAATATTCACCTGTAAGCTTCATCATATTTGCCTTTCATATAAAAAAATACACTGAACTCTGTATATAAAGCAGCACAATTGTAACGATATCCTTTTGCCTTTAATTTGTCTATCAATTCTACTGCAAGTTCATATGTCTTTTCTGCTCTCAAAAATTCGCAATATGCTGCTTGTACATGCAGTAAGCTACACAAATAAGAAACAATGATTGCAAGTTAATGGTATTGTAAATTCATTTCTATTAAATTATGTAAACTTTGTATTGCATAATAGTACTTACCTACGGTAGTATCCTAAGGTTCTACACCAATCTTCAGGCGTAGAATTATTTGCGATACACAATTCTTTGCAAGCTAACAACACATATTCACTTTTTATGTACCATCCTGCATCACTAATAAATTCACCGATTCTTAAGCCTAGATTTATTAAATTTTGCTTGTCAACTGGATTTTGACAAGCATGACGACGACATTTGTTGTAACTGAGACGCCATCCTTGTTCAAAAGGTATCCCATGTTCTATAATGCTCTTAAAATTTAAACACATATAAAAATGATTAAAACTTTAATACAAAAAACTATAACATGTTTTATTTATTAATATACAATATGTACAAATTGTTACCTGAAAACATTGTAATAAGTGCACACGACGGTCAATGACCATCAGCATTTTAGAGAAAATTTGCACATTTTTGAATGCATCTGCCACAAGATAGTATTCCTTTTCTTTATATAACTGTAAATACAAAAAATCTAACAAATTATTTTATCCGACAAAGTAGTTTTTCAAAGATATGTTATTTTTGAGGTATATTGTTAAAAAAAAATAAGAGAAATAATCAGTTCGCGTGTTCCTATCGCGGTACAATTTCATATAATTCGAAAACAGCATGACGAACGACATGACGTATAAAAGCAAATTAATAATTCATAGGTAGAAACAAATTTCACATTACAATGAGACATATGTGAGCAAAATATGACTTATTATTTAAATATGTTATTTTTTATTTTTTAAATCATTATGGTGCGTTACAAATATAAGAAAAACATGAAAGGAATCAAAGGTACAGGTTAAACATATGACACGTAATAGTTTCGCTCTGACAATGTATTAAACAGTTCTAATTTATTTATTATTGTACTTAATTAATTAAAGTTAATTCAACAAGATCTCGTCATCGTGCATATCGCTAAAAATATGTACATTTTCAAGGCACGTACACAGCGATATAGTTGTCACGAATATGTTATGATTTAGATCGATCGAAAACGATATATTGTTTTAGCAATATCGCGATTGATCTCTCGAACAAATCGAAATGCTATTCTCGAAGAAAAATCTTGACAAAGGAAAAGTTACTGTAAAGCTGTTAAAAAAGAAGAAAAATATACGTGTGCATATATATAAATATACGTATATATGTATATGCGTCCATTATTGTGACGGTGTTCATAGGAGAGGAGACGTTTTGACATTTACCTGATAATAAATATCGAACACTAAATCGTTCGGTAAATCAGTGAGGTGCTTGCGAAATTTTGAATACTTCTTCGCTATGACAGATACACACACTTGATAAAGTGTTTTCGGGGAAAACACCGGTGAATTGCGTCCTTCGGCCATTTTCCTGATCGATAATCACGAACGCGCACACAGCGGCAATAATTGCTGTCACGTCTTGGTGCGCATATGCTGCCGCGATGCTCCGCCATCCAACCACCAGCGACAATCCCCACTTACTAGAACGATGGTAAAAGTAAATGTCTAGCACACCAGATATCAACCGTATGTATGTATCGTTTTTTACACTTGTTGCTAGAATGATTTCACGAGTCTTGCTAAGCAGAAATGAAATTCTCGTAATCTACTCAAAGAGTGAATTCAAGAGGGAACTCAAAGAGTGGATATGCAAATTATATTTTATATTACAGCATCGCGCGATGTAGATGGGGTTCAAATGTTATGATTTATTATCAATAAATAATCAGATTAAGACCTTTAGAGGTGACAAACATTTAAAAGATTTTAGTACTGCCATATCAAACTATGAATCATAAAATCAATTTTCACTTTCAGAGATGAGACTTTGAAGTTTATTTTAAAGTCTCTATGCAATGATTGCCGAAGATTTGTCAGAGCTCTGCCGCCGAAAATGACAGTAGGTGAATCGTTCCAGAAAAAAGAGAATCGATATTTTGTTGCGATCATGATCGAGGCTGATTAATGGCGCCAGCGTTAGACCATGTCTTTTTCGGTTCGAGCGTTTCTTTTCGAAAATACAACTTGCAGGAAACACGTTTAAGGTGATTTCAAGTGGTCGTACTTCTTGATAGAAAACAAAGTGGCTAAAAAAAATGGTAATCCGTGTGCGCAAGTGAAAGGAAATCGGTTCGCATATCAGATCGGTTGATCGTGAAAGGCTGAATAAAAAAAATTTGCTTTCGATCGTATTACAAATAGACCTGTACTGAATGATGCATCGGCATCAATTTCTGGAACTTTGGTTTCTAAATCGTATTCGCGTGTCAAAAAACTATAACCTTACATTCCATTGAACAACTGAATTACATATGTAGTTATTTCGATTTATCGATAACTTGTTACTTTACATCGACTGTAGATCGCGATGTTTGAATATGTCGATATCGCAGGATGTTGCAAATGGTGGGAACGTTGATGATGTTCTGAAGATACAATTTTAATTTCTATCGTTTTAGGGAACCGTTTGATGGTGCACAAAGTGCACAATGGAGGAGGAACCCCTTCAAGATGATAAAAAGTCTGTGAAGTCGATGGAAGGAGCGATTATGGAACCGAGTATATCATCGGATGACGTATGTGATGGTCGCGCACGTGTTTCCGGTCAGGAAGAGTTCACGTGTTCCCTCTACATCTCGCGTGCTGTCAGTCCTCAAGGCCAAGTGCAAAGAACGCAAGGTGGCAAATTGCTTACTTCTTTATTTACCAAACTCCCTTTATAAATAGCTTCTCAAGTGCAACGTAGACTTTGATTAAGATAAACAGGAAGAGCATTCTGCTAATTGTCTTCATTCTTCAAAGAACAAACTTGAACATTTCTAAGACAAATGATCTTCAGTTTATAACTTTTTCCCCCAACATTTCCCAGAATATCATTAATGTACACCGTCATGATATTTATCTCTGTTGATATTTTTTGTTTGGCTAAAAAAGCTTGTTCTTTTACCTGTATGCAATTCTTGTAAGAACAAAATGAATCGCTTGATTCTAAGTATTTGAATGCACGTATAATGACAAATAAATAATCGTAGGTGGTGAACTGCTACATTCCAATCTCGAAGAAGTAATTCGCGCGTCTGATCCTTCGGCGGGATGGCACGTGTCTGAAACTCCTTGCGGTCTGATCGCAGCGTTCAAGCGGGAAACGGATGCCGAGAAACTTCTGCAGCGTGGCGATTTGGCGCGAGTTTTTCAAGGACCCATACAAGTATCCTGGTTTCCTCTACATTCCTTTAATTTCCTTCAGTCGTTACCAATTGTTAATTAACTTATTTGCATTGATTTATTGATTGATTATAAATAATAGATTAATATTTGAGCTTCTATGTAACTTTACTTGTAAATATATTTCTAAATTCCTTTCATAAACGATGTAAATGAGTTAAGTTATTCTCCACCATGGAGAGTTGCGTAAAAAAAGCAGATAAAAATACCGTCGCTTACAAAACAAAAAACTGAGAAATGTGCAACCTTGAAATTCTTGCAGTAATCTGAACAATTAGTATGGAAACGTATGATTTCCCTATCTGTGTCCGTGATACATACAAATGTTCGACCGGTTGAATATTATATGCCATGTATAGTTGAATCGCGTTGCAACCGTTCGCTTTCCTCTTCGCTTTCCCTTATGTAAGAAAGTGAGATAACCGAGCTTGCACAACGCCTCATGAAAATCTCGTGTCTCTTAGAGAATGCTAACGACACTACTCGACGTCATATACGGAAAATAGCTTTCTTAATTTATATATTCCAGAAAGAAATTGCTGACAATTATTGACATTGTCCTCGTTGAATCAGGTAGCTCGATTCTCGGCGAAGGACTCTCGTTACAGACAAGCGGTTCTTTTACGCGATGTACCCTGGGCCATACCTTTGCAAGACATAAATTCTGCGCTGGCGAAACAAGGAATTGCAACCGGTAGCGTCGAACGTTGGCGACAGTATATACGTGTTGAGGTATTGTCAAAATTACTGTATAGATAGCAAGTTCTAGAACCTTGTAAATACTTATTTCCGTTGTGATTAACGTGCATTAATTGTCACAGGTTAGGCGATACCATAAACGTCATGACTTTGTAGGTTATTAATTCTGACGAAGCTGTCTTCTGGAATAATCGAGATAATTTTCTTATCTATTGCAATTTGAAACAACTTGAGTCCTATTATGTTTTAGCTAATTACCATTATCGAACGATGATAATGAAAATTTGAACGTAGAACGAAGTTCAGTGAATTTTTATTTTCACTATATACAATGCTGTTATCATGTTCGATCAAACTATGTCTGATGATTTAACAAGTTTAAAAACCTTCTTGTATGTATGGCAAAGGCGTACAAAGTTTTTCGAGAGTGATTTAACTTTGATAACCCGACGATCTGATAAACGACCTCGAAATCTCTACATGGAAGATTATGTTCCCGCTTTCCTATTATATTATTTTCTTGAGAAGTTCAGTCTAGATTCATTTGGCATTCGTTTCAGGTACTCGACGCAGGACATTACGAGCTATTGTTACGTCAAGGCTTGGACTTTTTCGGCGCAGCTCGCTTTACCGCGGTTCCCGAACGCTGGTGGCGTGGCGGGACTGGAAACGTCGGTGGACCGCTGCAGACTGGTCTAGGAATCGTCAACAATCTTTTCGAGGCGTCAAATTTCCAGACGGGAGACAGTGTTCTGCAATGTTACCGGTGCCAAGGTTTTTGGCATATGGCCGCCAATTGCAGACACTTACCACGTTGCGTTCGATGCGGTGAACCGCATAGCGTCGAATTTTGCCCCAGGCCTCGAAACAATCCTATTTGTTGCCACTGTTCTGGACCCCACCATGCCGGTACTATGCCACTATGTAACGAGTTCTATAGATCTACTGTAGTATTTATGGGGACATTAATAACCTCGTATCCTTTGATGTATGTCGAGTATAGACTACATTCTACCAATTTATATTTTGAGAGAAAAAGAATCAATTCTATACAGTTTGTCTTTGTATGGCTATCAAAATCACTAATGAAATATCAGAAATTATCGCATCGTCGGTCAGAGGGGCATTTAGTATGTTTCGTAAAGAAATAAAACATGTAGAGAATCATAAGAACTCGAATAACAGAATGAGAGAATGTTTTTCTTGAACAGTGAAAAAATTAATCAGATATTCTACTTTTTTGTTCCGAGGAAGTTACTTTTTATTATTTGCTAATGAGGTCAGCGCAAAAACGGCATAATTTATACGAGATACGTTGGTCATTGAAGAGGTTACCCGGTTCATTAGCAATATGTCTAGTTTGGTTTTATTAACGAACGCTTAATATTCCTTGCATTTCCAATTACAGGTTATAGACAATGCCCAGTTCGCCAACAACTTTCGAACGCTACGCCGATTAGTATCACGCTGAGCACTACTCGGATTGGGAACCAGTACCCGGTGAATGGAGCCTCGAAGACTACCGCCTCGTCGCACGAACAACAGCCCTTAAAATCGAGCTAATTTAGAAATTGTATTCGCAATTCAGGGATCGTAAATTCTTCGTTTACTCCCCAGGTGTTCACCGCTCATAAACTTTCCCATTTACCTATTACCCCAGTGAGAAGAAATTTTCTAAATTGACAAGTTAAAATAACTGTGAATTTATAAAACACGGAAAATTCAGGATAAAATAAATCATTTGTAAAAATAGAAGTTTCCGCGGGTTATTCCTGACCACGAGTCAACAGGTGTTTCGAAATTCTATGTAAAATGCGTGTAACGGACCCAACCTCGCGGATTCTAATTTCCCTGAGATATCTGAAACGTCCCGTGTATACTGACCATGTACTAGTCACATAATTCTCTACTCTTTGTCCCACTTTCTTTGTCCTAGTCTTCTCGAATGTGGGCTCTCCCTCCGTTTGTCAGGTAACACCATGTAACTTCGCGACAAAATAAGAAACGGTGGGGAAGCTACGAGTGTATGGACTTGTAACGCATGTGGATCGATGAGCATACTTTTATCATGGCCATTGGCGTAGTTGGATAGGGACCGGAGTGGGCCCGGCCTCCAAAAATGCGGAGGGACCTCTCCATAGTAACAAACACACAGAACATAAGATACTTTATTACATATTATAAATGTAGCAAGTTTCAAAGTTACAATTTTTCAAAATCTAGTATTTGTGAAAGCACAAAAAGGTGCTAAGGTGTGAAACGTTAACGTTATCAGTGAAAGAACCGGACCCACCCATTAGATAAAAATTCTAGTTACGTCAATGGGCACAGTGATGATAGGAGGGGAGACACGGTTCCCGCCACTTATCCCACCACACACAGACCACTCCTTCAGGGATCTTCTCAAACTTGCCGTGCTATATATCCTGATTCGATCGTTCTGCCCGCCAATGTTGAACTTTCTGACAGCGGCACTGTGCATTATAAATATGCAAGCCGTGTAATTCGCAGGGACATATTTGTATTGTCTCAACGTTCCGACTATTCGTGGAGGTTCTCGCGAAATTTCAGTGTGTTCTCGGCAGGTGTGCAGCAACGAACATGCGATCGAATTATCAAGAATGACGAGAGAAGAAGAGACCGGTCAGGTACGCGTCCACCGTTTTCATATTGTGGATGATCTACAAGATGAACTCGATAATTGATTGAAGAAGCTAGGCCTTCATAATGGCATACATTTTTCATTATAAATTGCTTTCTTTGTTAAACAGTGTATATAAGCCTGTCAACGCTTTTGCATTATTTACGTAACGCACGATAAGTGTATTTGATACTATGTAAATATGCAGACAACAACATAAATATTTTTACGTTCATCCTTATATCTTTGTACAGTTTTTGTAACTTCGGTAATCTCAAAATTTCTTTTGCGGTAGATTAACACCGTCATATCATATTTACTAATTATAGTTCACAAATTGATAAGTTTACGAATTATAAAATTTTTTAAATGTACAATGAACAATGATTATTTTTTTTGCAGAGCTCAAGAGAACGAGGATTGATCTTATTTGTGACGAAGTGTGTATCCTCTGCTGTGGTTCATCTTCTTCACTGATTCGCCGTGATCATGCGGTTTTCTCATCAAAATCCATAAGAATGTGTAGACCATATGATCGCGCGGCGGTGTGCAATGTAACGTGTTCATCGATGCAGTATAATGTAAAGCACTGAGATGTATTCTTTCGGTTGGATATTCTTCTTAATCGTAGCGATCAGTTCTGTTAGTGTGCAGCAGCCGACTTTCTTCAAGAACACGTACAAAGGATTGAATGGTGTCACGGTGTGGAACGATGTACAGAACAAAGATGAAATAAGGGCTGTGTATTACCATGATCAGACTGTTGCGGTGGTCGACCTTGGAATTAACAATGAATTGCACAATTGCAACTTGATTGAAGTTTAGTGAGTTATCCCATAGGAAGATAATATTGTTACCATCTACAAATTATCAGTTTGATAGGATGATGCTTCTGGATGAAGTAAACAATTGTTTCATCTTGCAGCGAACAAGAAGAAGCCACTGAAGTTTTAAGAAATCTATCGTTGACAACTGTTCCTCAAAAGGTGTCCTTTCAGGAGATGACAAAACTCATGCAGCAATGTGAACTGTTAGATGAAATAAAGGACAATGAAATGTCTGGTTCGATGATCAATACAATGAGCAAAAGTATTAATGGAATGGGGAGCGTTTTGTCTCTTCTTTCAGGCATCTTACCAGGTAATATCTTGTGTTTATTACTTACTGATATTTTCAAGTAATCTTGATATAACGTTGCAGGTACAAAATGGTGTGGAGCTGGAGACATTGCTGAAAACTATCATGATTTAGGTCAAGAGGCTCAGATTGATAGGTCAGATTGCGACAGCTTCGATTGTGACGAAAGTTGTATTTAATCAATTTATCGTTTATTCTTTTCCTTTGTGTAGGTGCTGCCGAAGCCATGATCTTTGTCCCGTTAAAGTCCGAGCTCAACAAACGCGATACAATCTCACCAACTATTCCATATATACCAAGTACGAGAAAGTTACTAATTTGATCTTTTATAGTTTTTTAAAGTTGTTTAACTTTGTTCTTACCTTCCTAGATCGCACTGTGTGTGCGACGAGGCGCTGTACTATTGTTTGAAAGCTGCAACGCATCCAGCTGCACACATCATGGGTCACATATACTTCAATGTAATGAAAATACCGTGTATAGAAGATGCCGCCCTAGCTCAAGATACTTCCATAGGACTAGGACGACGATTTATTCCTGTTAAAAAGAATTATTAGAATGATTCAATTGGATGATTTACATTGTATAGCAATAATTTTAATATTTTTATACTGCAATGTTGTACAATTTTCTTAAAATAAGAAATTGGGAAAGGATATTTATTGTTTATAGTTTTTGTTACTGTTATACATATGTAAATATGTTAATACATTGTTAAGCTTACATGATAATTCCAGACAACTGTTTCAATCTGCATTTATTAATACAGGTTGCTGTGTCATACATAAAATTGTTTGTTTCAGGGATGATAGGCACGGTATAATTTTTTGAGTAGTGTTTTTGACATCAATAAGATTGTGATTATAAAGATTTCCTAAAAAGTTATTTATTTTTATTTGATTAATTAAAAAAGAATATCTTAATTTATTAATAAAATACTTATAATTACCTATTAACCACAGTGTCTCTTTTCTGACATGTACATACTGGGATGAAAGTAATCCATTTAACAATGTTTCTACATCAGACTGGGTATATTTGGCATTCTCTAACAAAAGTTTTGCTACATTTCCAGATGTTTCATATACAGTGTTAGCCAACAATCTTATGCATGCTGTGATCTGAAACAAATCAGTACATTAATATCATTAATTTAGTACAAATATAATTATCACCAATTAGTTACATACCTCTGTTACAGTGGCATGATTATTTTTAGTATTTTGGTGTAGATAATCTATTACAGGAGATGCAACATTACATATATGTGCATTACAGGGCTCGTGTGAAGATAATAAAGCTAACAACCAAATCATATATGGACTTTCAAAGCATAGTCCTCTTCCTGCTGTAACTCTTGCAAGTTCAATTAGTTCCTCTTTTCTAAAAGATTCATTCAAATAATGTTATTTAAAATCTTTGTTTCAAAAACAATTACATAAAGAAACTATAGTTACCGAATGTGTTGACAACCAACATGCACATAATGCATAGCACAGTATGCTACAGCAAATAAAATAGTATTATCACAATTTTGTATCAGAGATATTATCTGCTTTAAACAACCTTGTGCATGAAATATTTCAAAAGCTTTATCACTTCCAGCAATTAAGTTTCCCATTGTCCATATACAGGCTTCCTGATGAAATAAAAATTTTAAGCAGTCAACACCTTTATATCTATATATTTTATCTTTTACCATTAATAACTTACCAGTAAAGGGTAATTTAAACTATCTAATTCTGTGGTGAGATAAGATCCAATACTTTTAGCCAATGAAGTACAAGCCTTAGTATTTCCAAGTGCAATGTTGCAAGCGCAACTAATTGCACATAATTGTATAATTGGATTATTCCCAGAAAAATCACGTACCAGAGCAAATGTTACATTATGCACTTTTAGAAATGAGTTGACATTTTCCTCGTTCTATTTACAATTAAAAACAATGTTCAGTTAATACATCTACAAAACAAAGTAAAATTCTACAAAATCATAACCTGAATAAGAGCATTCTGAAGCTGCTTGTACTTTTCAACTGGCAATGCTTTCTTCTTAAGCGCCTCTGCATTTTTAATAACAAATTCTGGCGTGAAAGCTGAATCCGGAATAGCATTTCCCAAAGCTACACGATTTTTATTTAATACTTTCAATCGTGACTCTTTCCTTTCCGTGGAAACTAGTTCTCTCAAACCCTCTCTAATAACCTGAACAGCGTTTTCTTCGGTAGATGCTTCTATTTCCATTTTTATTGAAACTGTTACATAAATTACACGACAAACAAAAATCTATACATAAACTATAATCTGCAAATAACAAATTCAACGACTGTGCTGATGATCTTTCAGAAAGTTCTCCGCACAATTTTTATCGACTCTCCGCATTCAAACTAACCAATCATAACGTAACGATTGCAATCGAAACAAAGGAAGACATAATGGCTTGCTGTTTTAAATCTTTTGATCGCTTAATGTGATGTCTCATTAAAAATAAAATTACGTAAAAACCTTACATCACAGCGTTATTGTACTCTATAGTTTTTAAAAATAATTAGGAACAAAGTATTTAATAATCAGTCGCATTAAAACACTCGTCGAGTAGTTCCGTATCGTCTTCTTCTACCATCCGGGAAATCGATAGAATATTATATACAGCTCTCGGAAAAGCCGGTGTTGGTCCAAGGATATGCAAACGGATGTCACACTTTTCTAATACATACTTCCATTTCAAATCTGCACGTTGTGGAGGTATCATAGCCTAAAAATTTTCAAAGAATTTAGAATTTTTTAATTTTGGACCATTTTTTAACGTCGTTATTTTAATTGGAGAATTATAAATAAGAACCTGAAACTCAGCAGCCGTGCAACCAAGGACTCGTTCGGCCACTTCCCCAGATAACCGACAGCCAATTAAGTATCCTGTATCATCTTTCAGGTTCACTTTCAAATTGAGGATCATTACGTTTAAAGGCACACGGGTCCCATTACCCGAAGGACATTCGAGATTCATGCAAGAATCTCGGTCATCCATTACAATTTTTTTACACAATGCGCTACAAGAAACAATAAGCTTATATTTATTTAAAACATGATTATCTTTTATATGAACATGTCAAAAAATTAACGGACCATCTTGTGGATATTATTCCAGGACTCATGCTTTCAACATTTATGTCCATTACATACGCTTTTAAAATCGTAGCAAATTGAATTCTCTCTCCCTGTTTCGGTTTTTTGTTCAATTTGTCTGAGATATCCTGTATAGTCATTACCGTTGTAATACTATCCGCTAACAGAAAAAGTGCAATCAAATTTTTGCATCATTTTAAGTTTTCAAAAATTCTGAATCATTCTTACGATTCGGTGTCGCGAAGTTCCCGGACATTACGTCATGATCGTAGTACTGTACCGCATTTCTTACAGTTGTGGTTTCCGGCATGTTAGGATTCTCGGTGATCATAGTCTTCCTAGCTACAAATACATCAACCCAAAGTTTAAAGTATCTAATCCAAACTGCATCGAGTTTGAATTCATAAATTATGACCTATAGATAATACAAGTTTCTTTCTGAAATTGTCATAAGCGATGCGAGCGTCCGTGAGGAGTAAGACGGTTCGTTTGGGCTGCCAGAGGGCAGCTCGTTCGATCCACTCGTTTTCCCACAATATCGGAGACACGATGTCATCTGTGGATGAATCGGCTGCCTCGAAGCTGCGGAATTTTATGCTTCTTCCATCTCGTGTTATTACGTTGCGAATGTCACTGATCTATAAACATTTATCAAGTCTCCATTAACTGTTGTCTATGATAATATATGCTTATACAAAATTTTCAACGTTACTATAAAACCTACAAAAGTAACGACGACCATGATGTCCACGTATTGATCGCGCAACGCGTCCAGGTTATCAAAAATGCTTTTCAGACTTCGTAGCTCAGTTGGGTTTTTAATCGGGAGCATCAGTAAAGGTTCATATTTTGCGCATGTTGGTGCATCATGAATTTGCACTAACGCGTTGCCCTCGTTCACCGTCAGGTTACAAGGGCTAGACACCCATGGTACAAAGAGTTCGTTCTTATCCTCCAGACGGCGTTCAGTCACTTTCGGATTAATTACTTCTACTGTAAGTTGAAATTGAAATTAAAATTAGAACTTGAATAAACATTGATTTAAATAAAAATTTAATTTTAATGTATGATAATGTGACCCGCGATATAATACGTGATTGCATAACTCAGTGATTTAAATTCAAATTTAAGACTATCGCATGTCATTTGTTTCGATACAAACCGACGCTGCCGATGTGAAAGTAGGAAGATAGTTTTTTGACGAACTGTACGCTTCCCCATACTGTCACGTTTATGGAATCTTTTTCGGAATCGCGTAATGTGAATGTCCACACACCTCGCTCACCATTATTAACTGAAATAAATATTTAAATATATCTATTTGTAAATTACTTGAATTTAATCGCGAAATTGGACTCTTACATCTTGTTCGTGAGGCGTCGATTGTTTTCATATTAAAACTATTTACAATTATGCCAATTACAAGAGCATTTTGCATACCAGGTTGCAGCGAATTTAATGCCTGTTTATGTACATTAGCCATCATTAATTATAAAGTACCTGCAATTATTTTAATCAGTTATACGTTTTGTAATTTTAACACTCCTCTCCCTCCTAGACGGTGACCAATTTTGGCGCCATTCTTAAGAGCGCGAAATCACATTTGAATTAAAAATCATAGAAAATGTAAATAAAATTGAATTTCATAAATTGTTGGATCAGTTAGTGTAAAAGTGATTAGCGGGAATGAAATGAATCGAGGTTTGTAGAGCTTATAAAATTTATTTAAAGAATTATGCATAAAAAATAACTAATCTGAATGATAAATTTGAGGCATTGTTATGAACTAAGCTTAATTCGCATGCGTTCAGAGGTTGGTAATCCTGTTGCCGATGACACTTGATTCACTTTCATTGACTTTAGTGACGTCGGTTCGTGGGAGGCGAGCTTTTCTGCGAAGTTAATGCGACCAAGCATTTTTTTAAAAAATTATTACGTGTTGTAATCCTACGAAATCATGGCTGACAACGAGCAGAAGGCGATGCAATTGATAGCAGAAGCCGAGAAGAAATTAACATCTTCGAAGGGCTTCTTCGGCTCGTTATTTGGGTAGGTTTACCACATTGATTTACTTGAACTCGTCCAACGCCAAATCTGCAATCTTGCAGCGTATTATTTACTGTGTGTCACGCACTATATTACTCTATGTTTTTATTCGTCGTAACGATATCTTTTGTTCTCTTATTGTATTTTCTCGTCGTTTAGCGAAGTAGTAGCTGTAGTAATTCTTTCGTGCATATCTGTATCTATAACAGTTGCTATCTACTCGTGATATATCGTGTTAAAACTAAATTAAGATGCAGCGAAGGAAATGTGCGAGAGCACGCATTTTTGATAGACCAGTGGGTTCAAGTCATACACTTTCTCCATTCTCCTACTTGTTACATCTGTTTTATGCATTTATGAGATTCATTGTTGCTTGGCTCTGGATGACTCATGCTTTTCTGTTAGGATGCATAAAGTAAATAAACAACAAATATTGCCATATGTGATGGCTTTTAGTTTCATTTTTGTAACAATAGTGAAGACTATATTTATTGTTATACTTTATTGTTATACATTTAATCACATACTACAGTGGGTCATCAAAAGTCGAAGAAGCCGTAGAATGTTACCAACGTGCAGCAAATATGTTCAAAATGGCAAAGAATTGGAGCTCGGCAGGGAGTGCATTTTACGAAGCAGCAGAGTTGCATGCAAAAGCAGGCAGCCGTCATGATGCAGCTAACAATTACGTGGATGCTGCTAACTGTTTTAAGAAATCTGATATAAATGGTACAGTAATTGAAAACAGTCATTAGTTATCATCTGTTTATTATGAAAGAACATAAATTGAGATAATCGATCATTTATTTGTAGAAGCCATTAGTTGCCTATTAAAGGCAATTGAAATCTATACGGATATGGGTAGGTTTACAATGGCAGCTAAACATCATCAGAGCATAGCTGAAATGTATGAAAGTGAGGCTGTAGATCTTGAAAGAGCAGTTTGCCATTATGAACAAGCAGCTGATTATTTTCGTGGAGAAGAAAGCAATTCCTCTGCCAATAAGTGTCTTTTAAAAGTTGCGCAGTACGCAGCGCAACTTGAGAATTATGATAAGGCTATTCAAATTTATGAACAGGCAAGATATATTATGATATCTGTATATAACATAATTATTAAGGAAGGAGAGATTGTAAGGTTTTGTTTTTCATTTTACAGGTTGCTTCTGCATCCTTGGAAAGTTCTTTGTTAAAGTACAGCGCAAAGGAGTACTTCTTCCGAGCGGCACTCTGTCATTTATGCGTTGACGTGTTGAACGCGCAACACGCGATCGAACGTTATCAAGAACAGTATCCTGCGTTCCAAGATTCTAGGGAGTATAAATTAATAAAGGTATGGTATACAGTTTTTCTGATATTTAAATATCTGTTAAGAAATTTTACAGTAGGCTGAAAGGAGATTCGGTGTCGGTTTTCTATATGTTAGACATTGTAATTTTTATTTCAGACATTAATAGAACACCTCGAGGAACAACACCTCGAAGGTTTTACAGAAGCAGTAAAGGAATATGATTCAATTTCACGATTGGATCAGTGGTACACGACAGTATTATTACGTATCAAAAAACAAGTTAATGATAATCCAGATTTGCGCTGATCGGTTGTTCCTTCTTTGTGCTATTTTCTCTCAATGATATTATTAATCCAACTCTATATGTATTCATTTTTAAATCATACCTTGCTTTCATTGGAACTTGTAAAGTAGTTTCGTTTTTATACCTAAATATATTTTCATAACATTTCCTTACTCTCTTAGCAACTATTATATATCCATCTTTTGAGTTATCACGAATTCATAGAATGTTATCATCAGAAGTATGTAAAATTACTCCGTGAACATTGCTAGTTCATTTAAATGCCAATGTACAGGGCATAAAAATGAGTATAGAAATAAATAGTATTAAAACTTCGTTAATATTCATATTTGCAAATATATAAACAGCTTGCTAAAAAGCTATGGCTTCTGCAGTTTCATTTTAATGCATGCGATCGCCATAAATTACTTAAATAATACTGTACATTTTCATGAGTTTAGTGATTTCAATAGATGTGGTGCAGTTTACGATGGATAATAGTTTTAAGTGTTTTATGATATTTATTATTAATTACTGATCCGAAATATAAACAACTATAAGATTTTGTGACAAGAGAACGATGAATAGCTTTTATTTACATTCAATTAGAACATGGTTTAATGTTATTTTGAATGTATGTTTTGTCTGGAATTGTAACATGCAGTTAAACTGTGAGTTATCTATACACTGCCAGAGTATCAGAATATCGAACGAAGTGTATATTGTCTTCGGGAATATCTCTTCTTTTGTTTTACATCTTGAGTTTTAGAAATTTCAACATATGCTCTTACGTTCTATGTACATATGTTATATCGTTAGTTTTCTATTTATATTTAATGAAGAGAGTAATGAATATACTGTTGATTATATGCATTTAAATGCAAATATATTTTGTAAATAATTTTGTTTCCTGTTTTATTAATGTACACTGGTTTATGTTCTATTGTTGGATATTAATTTTATTAATGTATATTTGTATTTAGAAGTAGGTTCAAAGATAGAGAATATAAGTGATAAAAAGGAGTTAAATATACTGTTTTAATTTATTTCATTTTATGTCTCACCTTTATCATAGCATTTTATATTTAGGAAAAGAAGGTTGTATTGTTTAAATACACTTAACAAATAATATATATTCCATTGTTAAGTAGGGGTAGTACAACAAAATGCATGCATAGGAAGTAACAAGACTTGCACCGTTTAAATATATGAAAAGAAACGTGAATTTATGCTATGTTATTTTTTCCCAAAGAATTACGGAATTGTAAAAAATTTGTTAAATAAAAGCTTTGCAGGAACTATACATACATAAGAAATAGCATCTGGACCATGTACTCTTTCATTCAATATATTCTTTGTGTATATTTATGTGTATATGTATTAATTCAGCAATTGTAATTTATTTAACCAATGAATAATTACGTATTAATTAATATTGAATTAATATCTTTTTCCTGCATTAACCAGTATACATATATGTATATCACATTGTCACTTATGCGTTTATTTTAAATTAAGATTAAATTGTGTGCTTTATGCAGCGCACACAACTGATATTATAGTAATAAAATTTCTGTAATAGCTATGTGTCTGCTAGGAGCACAACAGTTTGTTATTATAGATTTATTTATTTACAATTGTATAAATTTAATAATATATAATTTGTCTTTTGAAGTTGATATTGAAGTTTATAATTTAATTTACTTTGTATGTATTGAATTAGTATAGTGTTATGTTTCAAGAGGATTTATAGCACCACATGATAGACTTTTTTACAGTAAAATTAATGATTATAACCCCATAAGAACAATGCTATGCTGCAAAAATAATATATAGGAGCCGAATTTTATAAAACATCCTATTATTAAAAAATTGTATGCATTTTACAAGTTTTAGGATGGTAGTGAAATAGACAATACAATAACTTCAATAAGAAATTCTATAAAATTAAGCGTTTAAAGCATGTGTAATTTTCTTTTTATATAAAAGTTAAATATGTTGTAGAATTGCAGTAAACAAGTTGTAGTTCTTCCTATATTGTATTATGTATAAATACATAATAGATAGGCTGTTTGTAAATAAAGAAAAATTGGATACGAATCCATATTTAATGTCTGTGAAATCATTGTATTTCTAAATTATAAGTTAAAAATAATTAGCAATAAATAAAATAAGAAGTTGAAATGATTTTTTATAGTAACTTAATTTCAGTGGCAATATATTGACATTAAATTTTGAATTGCTATGAACCGCCAAAATGAGCGATATTTGTTCATCGAGAGATCATATCGATTCGCATAACGCGTTTAACTTCAGTAGACTTATTTTACTTAGAATTGTTTAAAAAAAAGCCCTTTTTGTATGTATATGGTAGGCAGAAATATATGAATAAAGAGGACTGATGATATTGCAGGTATAAAAGACTAAATGTCAAAATAAAAGGTCACTAGGTATATGCTTTATGAAATCGCAAATACATGCGCAATTCTCTACCCATCAGAGCGGACATGCGCACACAACGAAGGCTGTCGATTGACAAGTATGTTCTTTCGTTGAACGAACAATACCAAGATATTGTTACTGAAATAATATGAATGTTGTAATAATATTGTAATAAGTTGCACCAGCTAAATTTCTTCTAATTAAAATACTGTATAGACGTATTAATTACTGTACGAAACTCTAACCAATAGAGTGAGGGAGCTAGCAGAAAGAAGTCTTCCTCATTGGAAGAAAGGTTTCCAATATTTACACATGCATACATATTTCTTGTGTATCTATAAAAATACGGTCACTGAACTTACAAGCCTTAATATTTAGATATCGATTAAAAACAATTTTAATTTCATGGTATCTATTAGACGAATAAACGCTAAATTAATCAGGGAAAATCATATTGTAAAAGCTGCCTATTAAATAGCTGTTTCAATTTCGTTCTATTTGAAATACTACTCCTGTTTAAAAGGCAATACTTCACGTGTGGATGCTCGAAGATCGCATGCACTAATAGACGTGCCACGAGCACTACTTTTCAGTGCTGCATATTTTTTCTCAATAATTTTTTATCGTACGTCAAAGTAAAAGGAGAAAATTAGTTTTCTTCGTTACGAAGTACTGAGCCCCGGATCATCAAGGTGGCAAGAAAAAGTCGCTTTTAAATACATTCATTCTCGGACAGGTGAGCGATCCATTTTTCGTAAAATACGTTTTCTGAAAGTTCCTTTTTTATACATTTTGTATGGTCATTTTTCTGTGAAACTGCGATAATTCTATTTCGCATTTCTATATTTTATCTTTGATGATGCGAAATAGAGCTATAATGTCGGGTAATATTTGCCACCTTGCTCACCTATTTTGTAGGTTGGGTATATGTCGGAGTAATCTCGAAGAAGAGAAAGTTCGTCCTTAATAATAGGCTACAAAAAAATAAAGAATCGAAAATCGTGCAGTTAAATGAAGATGTCAGCCTTCTGTTACAAGGAACATCGCATATAAATTTTATTTTTTATTTTATATATATTTATTATATACGATACCAATAATATTTAAGTGACTGAAGCTTTAGAAGGTGCCAATTTAACTCTACAGAGGCTTTATTGTATCCATTTTTATTTCCACACAATATATTCATATAAGATCAAAGATTCAAATGATTTACGTAACTATTTCAGAATGGCCCGTGGACAACAAAAGATTCAGTCTCAAGCTAAAGCAGCAGAAAAAGCTGCGAAAGTAAAGAAACAACAAGGACACAGTGCCAACGATCAAAAAAAAGCTGCACAGAAAGCTTTAGTACACGTATGCGTAGTTTGTAAGGTCAGTGAACTTTTGTGAAAGATTCCCTAACATTTATAAATTGTTTGCAACTTTTATGTAATCGGGAGGTTCAATGAAAATGGAGCACATACCATGTTCCTTTTGTAACAATTTGGCAAAAAGAAATTAATTTCTCTGTAAATTTACAGTATTGTGGTATGTAGCACTTTTCTAATGAACTTTTCAGTTCAAAAATTTGATGTTTATTTGGTAAATATATTTAAGATGCATTTGATAATAAATGTTTTGTACTAATAGGCCCAAATGCCAGATCCAAAGACTTATAAGCAACATTTTGAGAACAAACATCCCAAGAATGAGTTGCCAGAGGACTTAAAAAATATATGAGGGTGCGATTTTTTGTACGATTATGGAGCTGGAATGGAGGAGAAAAGAATTTACTATAAATGACAAAGTGATATACTTCAATGTTCAACGGATCATTACATAGTCTTAAAACAGGAAATAAATGAAACTTTGTTAGCGTTTAAAGCGAACTGTTGCACGGTTAATGAATGAATTTTTGTGCACTGTCCCAAATTATTATAACATTATCGATGGCTCGCTTATCGAATCAAATCTCCATTTTTTCCAAAGATATTCAGCATTCTTCGTCTAATAATATGATTCTTAAGTTTTCACTTAAGCATAAAAGCAATTTAAAGATGTATATTGCTAAGAAATAAAGATAATGAATTTAGCAGAATTGTTGCAAGTATTTGTACGTATTTTAATGTTGTAGGCAGTAAAATGGTACTCGTTTTTATCCGATTAGAAAATCACATTAATTCAATGTAGGTAGTCACGCGATTCTCGAGAGTTTAATAATTGCAAGTAACGATGGAAATGATATCTTACAAGAATTAAGAAACTGCCATTTTATAGTATCTGCCATTTACTTATTAATGATATTCTATGATTAGAATGCTGTATGACGCGGTGGTCTATAAATATTTGATCATTATTTTCGTTTGTATTCGAGCCTAATTTTTATTAAATTTACAGTATTCGCTATTTTGAAATACGTTATATTAATATGGAAATTAATAGATGTTTTTAAGAAAACTGCGTTTTAGTTTTCAGTACTTAAACCCTTCTTTTATACTGAGAATAGTCGATTCGGTTTTGCCTAATCACAAGAAGTGTTACGCTACGTTGTACAATTATCTTTGTTAAGGAAAATATCAAAGTATTAAATATAATCAGTATTTATTAGAGAATCTGTTATTCTCAGTAACTAATACATCGTATTTTAAAATATGCTTCGCCAAACGCATAGAGCTACATCGTGAACATACGTTAACGGTGTTCTGTACGGACATGATTTATAGGAATTCCTAGTATGTGTTTAATTTAGGAATAAGTATGCGCATTATGTAATTTATTCTGATAAAATAATTATACAATTTTTCACTACAGTTGCATCACATTAATCATTTTCCTCATGAGAACTGCAAAATATATGTATCTTGTCGATATCTGTACATCCGGTGATTTTATTTTTAAAGATACTTTGTTTCGCGGTACAGATAAAGAATAAACAGAAAGTGTAATGATAATGATGTCACGTAGTAGCAGGAAAAATTGCATTACAGAAAACAGTCATTCTTTACTAGTAGATATCATAATATTTTCTCTACGATTTTGCTTTGTCATGATTGTTTATCAGCCGATTTAAACTGTGCCTAGAAAAACCTACGAAGGATTACATCATTCAGGGATTCAGGGAGGAATACGGGATCTTATATATGGGTGAATGATCCGCAACTATCTCAGTTTCAAGTTGTCACTGCACGCGGCAGCGTCGTTCTTTCATTGTCCTAAGTTTTGTGTTTTACAATTTTATAATTCTTGAATGTTTTAATGACTTATCTATAACATTTTATACATGAAAATTCTGTACAAAATCTATCACATTTTCACGGGGTAACAAGTTAAATCAGGTAACGACTTTTTAAAAATAATTAAATATATTTATTGATAAATTATATCGATCTGTAAATCTGTAATATAAAATTGTTGAGAAGTTTGATAATCAAAATCTGGCTTTTATAAAATGACGTAAATGCAACAATCATTATCTTTGTTACAATCAGGTGCACTTGAGTACATTATATTGAAAAACAATGACGAAAATTTGTGTAACTGACGAAACACCATATTCGAGGTATCGCTAATCCATTAGTTTTCTTCGGCTCCTCTTAAAAGTTTCGTAACAGATCTTCTATAATCTAATCACAAACGTACGTTGATCATTTAAATAACAGATAAGGGAATAAACATACACATATATACATTTAATTAATCGGGCTTAGTTCTTTGTGAAAAGTATGCCAAACATTTGGCAATTTTATGTAACAATTTCAACCGGATCGAATTCTTGAATTCCTGTCGGAATTTGTAGAGTTGAATCTCACTTTTCTGCAGGGTTTTTGAAAGCATTAGGCTTCTCCCTATAACAAAAGAAATCGAACTATAATCGCACTAATTTTCACATAATAATTTCAGCAAAGTTCGAAAAAGAAATGATGGACTCTGTATTTCGTACCCGCTCGCTCGGTACCGCGGCAGAAGGTGTCCGCGACCAGTACGCGGACGGAAGAGCCGCCAAAGTCTGGGAGGTGTTTATAGGCGACAAAAAACAGAGGACGCAAAATTATCGAGACTTCCTAGTAGGCTTATTACGGGAGAAAGGATGCCGTAGAATCCTGGACGTCGCATGCGGTACAGGCGTCGACTCGGTGATGCTCCTCGAAGAAGGTTTCGAGGTTGTTAGCGTGGATGCTTCGGACAAGATGCTGAAGTATGCGTTGAAATCTAGATGGGATCGACGCAAGGAACCTGCGTTTGATAACTGGGGTAAATATTACTTAAATTTGATACCCTGTACAAGCATTCTTTATGTATCATACCTTCATGGTCCATAAACATATACTTTATGATCCTTAATGATCGACGAGTGACTAGAATCAAATTGACAGAAAATAAAAATAGATTAACTATCTTCTGAAAACAGTAAATACACTTGATACCTGTATAATTATATTGTTAAGATGTTATTGTCTCTCCGAGATGTACGACAAATATCGTAAAAAGAGTCGGTACGAATACTTTTATCTTCCACCTCGAAACGTGTTTTGCATCGGTTTTGTTTTCGTAAGATAGCGATTGATGGCAGCTCAATCTTCCCGTAATACAATAACCAAGAAATGTGGCACGTTGAGGGCAATAAAATCATTATGAAATCCCTGCGTCGATAAATGCTCATCTTTCACTATTTCTTTTTCACTTTTTTAAACAAACGCGCTGCTGGTTATCTTATCGTGCGGTGACACGTGGTAACGTAGAGAACTACCTTGTCAAAGGTCAAGCGTTCAGAACTGCTGTTTTAATCTATTTATACTAGCTCAGCATTTTCTACAAATCAAATTTATCATGGTTTGATAAAGGCAAAATGTTAGGAAGTTTATTTGTTTTGCACTCCGATGTCACTTGATGCATATTATAGTAAATAAAATCAATGTTAATTGAGTTTTTACGGAAATTGACCAAGTGGCGCCATCTGGCGAAAATGGCGGGAACTAACGTAACTCCAGTTTCAAAACCGTGTAGTTCACCTTGTTCGCCGGAGAGATGGCGCCACTAGTACCATTTTTAGAAATCCGATTAATATCGATTTTATTGATTATTAATTTGATCGATGTCGAAGCATCATAGTTTTCTGAAGTTTCATAATTTATTTTCTTGCAGTAATTGAAGAGGCAAACTGGTTGACTTTACCAAAGGACATCAGTCACGAAATAGCGGACGGTTTCGATGCAGTGATCTGTTTGGGCAACAGCTTCGCTCACATGCCTGACAATTTCGGCGATCAGAGGGAGCAAAGGTATGCATAAATGCAGATTTAAATTATCATTTGACATCTCTAATTTGTTTACTGTCTGCAGGCAGGCGCTGCTGAATTTTGAGCGTTGCGTGAAACCGGGTGGTTTGTTGCTAATCGATCATAGAAATTATGATTACATTATTGAGACTGGGAATATACCTCCTAAATGCATTTATTATAACGCAAGTATATTTATCGTTGTCGATATTTGTCTGGCTAATTATTTTGTCACAAACTATTTACGTATTGTCTTCTGACATTTGTCAATTAGTGTCCTTTCTGCAAAATGATTTTAACGACCACAAATTTATTACAGAGCCAACACATGACAAATATTAAGGCTTCCGTCCTGTTCGTCTCTGGAAAGCCAGCCATTGTTACCTTGGACTACATGATCGCCCTAGAAGAAAACGACGACGAAAATCAAGCTGTCAGTGAATTCAGGCTCTCTTATTATCCGCACCGATTAAACGTCTTCAGGGATATGTTGGACGAGGCTTTCCACTACAGAGCTAAGCACACAATTTACGCTGACTTCAAGACCCTCGAAGAAGTCAAACATCCCGGATTTTATATTCATGTGATGGAGAAACCTGTGTAAATACTTTTCCCGCCAAAATGTGGTCCATCTATCAGGAGCGTCATGGAAGACAAATCGAACAAATATCGATGTTTCAACGCCATATTGTATGTCCACGTTTTTCAGAAAGATGAGTTTAAAATCTTTGTATGATTAATATTATACTTTTATTGTATTTATTGTTATAAATACGTAAGGGTATTTAAGATAGATTATAAATGTATAAGATAGAGTATATAGAATTATAAAGGACTAAAGAATATATAAATGTGAATATATATATAAGATAAAGCACTAAAGAAAAATATTTTTACAATATTTATAAAGTATATTTGCATATAGTATGAGACTAGAGAACTATTAATTTAGACTTCAAAAGTGGACATACAATATTTGCAGCAAGCTATAACAATGAACCTGTGCTCAGACCACAATCACGTTATAATTCATCGTTCATTTGTTTATTTATTTGAAAGTATGTAAAGATCCTTAAACCATGAAGGATTGATTCGCTGTAACATTTTGTATCATGTAACTATTTTATATTAATGAATCTTGCTACTTCACTTCGCATTTTTTTTTATTATTGTATGAGTGAAGTGAAGGAGAAAGGAATGCGCAGGGGTACAGAGGTCAGCTTGTTAAATTTTAAACTTTTTTTATTATAAGTTCGAAAGCAGCTTCCTTTTGAGTATTCTAGCCAGGCTTCGTTCGATGCTACAATTTGATCTTTCGATGATACGGTTTTCCTCGTATTTCTGAGCGATCGTTGACGAGGTGCACAACGCTGTTAGAAATTTTGCTAAGATAATCTTTGGCTGAGATACCTCAGCATCGAACGCGTGAAAAAGCCATCAAATCTCGTTTTAAAACTCGCTGTAATCGCATTCTTTAAAGGCAGTAATATCCTCGCTTTCTTGTTCAAAGTCCAAAATATCGAAAAAGTCCTCAAACATTTCTTTCAGACACTCGTAATGGTCACCTGCAAATCATTGTTTCGCGAGATATCCAAATGTTCGGGAAGTATTTACAGAACGGTTTAATCTACGAGAAGAGATTTCGGGTAGCAAGCGATCGAGATGGGAACCTTGATCGAGGCTGAGGTCTCGAGCCCTTCACGGTCGTCGACGATCGCTCAAAATGAAAATGACAACAAGAACAAGAACGTGGCGAGGATCATTCGTGTTCGTCGTATCTTTTTTTTTAGCTGTCGAGATTCGAGATTTGACGAGAATTGGCTCGTCGAGCCGCGAGCGCCACGGAAGTCTAACTTAGCGATATTGTACTTTTCTCATGGATGATCGGTATCGAATTTAAAGATTTAACAATTTCGGAAATTTTAGCGTTTGAGTACTTTTCGGACCGAGAAATGGTGGACTTGAACTAATCAAAATGGCGGACTCGAACCGATCAAGATGGCGGACTCGAACCGATCAAGATGGCGGATTCGAACCGATCAAAATGGCGGACTCGAACCGATCAAAATGGCGGACTCATCATCCATGAAATCGAGTATTTCTTCACCGTTTTTAACGTCGATGCTGTAAATACTGTTTGATGTACGACTCTATATATATTTTTTTAATCAATTTTGGACAGATTCTTTGAACACTAGGTTTACAGACTTGCATCTACTTTTTTATTAGAAATAAAATACTGTAATAAATAAATAATTTCTGTAACTTAACATATGTGTCATTTCAACAAGTTCTATAAATCTAGTGTCAATTGTCATATTGTCATACAATTATCATAATGTCATATTTTTTATTTAAACGCAGATATAATTCTTTTTAAACTTCTTTTAATACTTTTGTTAACTCTAATTTTGTTTTGTACTAATTTTATTTTGCATCATGTAATTTTATTTTGTACTGCAATTTTATTTTAAAGGCAATGTTTTATAAATAAGTATTGTGATCAAATTTTTCGAACGAGGCTTCCGAGTTAATTATCTTGAAGTATTTTGAAATTCATTAAAATTTCATATGCGAGCCATCGAACAGTATGTACATCGACCGAGCGGTATTCCGTGACGCTCGACAATCGAAGAGCGCTACCGGAAGTGACAAGGACAGAATTTACAAGGCCGAGGATCGATTACAGTGCAACGAATTGCCCATATAGAAAAATGGACGAAGTGTTAGTTATAGCAAAAATTTGTCCCCCCTCCCTCTTCTAATCATAATAATCATAATAATAATAATAATAATTATATATATATATTTTTTTCTTTATTTTGTTATTTCGTCGGATAGCTATTATAGACTCTCTCCTCGATCATTTTCACAAAAAAATTCGATACGATCACGGCTTCTTCGATCGTCGTGGCGATCACTGTCGTCGTCTCTGTCTTCTTGTTTTCCCCGAACAAAATATCCTATTTCAACTGAATTACGGCGCTATTAATGTTGCATGGCAATTCGAAATAAGCTTTACAAACTTTGGAAAAAATAGAGGTTAAATGCGTCGAGTCACTTGTTGGCGGCCATCTTGTTTGCTAGCGGCCATCTTGTTAATAAGTATTTCACACTGTGTCACACACTGTATTTTTGTTTAAACAATACATGCTTAATAAAGTCGAAAAGTGTGATGCTAAACAAGATGGCCGTAAACAAGATGGCCGCTAACAGACAAGATGGCCGCCAACAAAATGGCGACCCCACGTTAACCCCTATTTAGCGTAAGAAAATAAATTGCAACAAACGAACTGAATAGGCAATAAAAGTTCCATTGTACAATAAAAGAACGACGACTCGTGTCGCGCCGCGCTTATAATTTTAGAATAACAGCGCGATATAATCAATTTATTGCGATGTAGCTGATACATATACACATCTCGGTTTGTCCTATGTGTATAGCAATATCAGCTTCACATATAAAATCGTAATATCACATGTTTATATCTTTGTCTGTTTTTCAAACGTTCCTCGACAGTTTCTGATGTACTACAATTTCTTTCTCGAACGCGAGAAGGGTTTTGTCGTTGCATCGTCGGTCACGTGATTTTGTCGCATCCGGAACGTCGTCCCTGTTCCATACATTCCTCCTGCAATTGTTGCAAGTTTTACTGTTAGACTGTCTTTCAAAATATTTGGAAATATTTTATCAAATTTTGCTTAAATTCATTTTTATAATTTTTTATATTTTACTTGGGGTATTTTTGTACCTTTAAAAATATAATAGGTAACCTTCTTTTGCAAGCATGAATTTTTAAATTAAAATTAATTGAAAATCTTTAAGACTGTTTTACAGTGAAATTGTCAAGTTTGAAAGTTTTTAAAAGTTTGAGGTTAAAAAGTTTGAAAAGCACCAATGCTTCATTGTGACTGAAACATAACCTCAAAAGATCTAACACAAAGAAAATTCATATAATTACACCAATAATTAGACCATAATGTCAGTCTTTGACATCTTGTAAAGGTTAACTCACGTAAAAAATTTCCTAACCTAAAATTAAAAAAGAATGATTATAATTGTGATCGAACAGGAACGACGTAAAGATGCTAATGAATAGCTCTCAGGTTTCGATACTTCGAACGACGGTCCATACCTTGAGAGGACTAGAAACGTTGAACTGCGCGTCACTTTCGTTTCCCGTTAAAAGTATAGAAACTACGATAGAGCCAACTATATCGTATCCGTCGCTAAAAACCTAATTAACAAAGTCCTCGTAACTGCTCGATAATTACTTTTTCTTCTTTTATATATATCTTCCTCGATTTAACGTCAGATTAGAACTATATTCGCTCACATACACTCTCTTTCCACGCACTCTCTTTTGTATAATATTTATAATATTTACACGCATCGATGTTCCTGTCGGCGCGATCGCGACGTGCATTCGTCTCTCCTTTTCGTTCTTTCGTCGTGTGGTTCTTCCCCGTTTCGGTATTTATAAAAATGACTAAACGCTAGTCCGCAATGTCAAATCCCATTCGCACCGTGCAAAATTATTCGTACGCGTCGCTCCACGCCAGGGTACTACGCTTCGGATTAAAGTTTAAGCTAACGAAATATTATCTATAGCCTTAATCGATTAATCGCGTCGACCTATTATGATCGATACTTTCCATCTTTGATTGTCCTTCAAAATTGTGTATATGTTGCTTTATAGGTTAGGTTCGGTTAACGGGCGACAGCAACGCAACAAAATGTACCGTTGTTTCGCAACGGATGCCTGCGAATGGAACACCGATCAAGGCCTTCGCCTTTTTAACTCGCTTTTTAGAAATCGTAGAGAAGCTGCGTTGGAAGCCCGGAAAGAGACGAAAAGAAAAGACCGTTACTCGTAAATATGCGGATTAGTCAACCCTAATTTCATTAACCTTCTCTTCATAACTTAATTGTCCATCTTTTTCATCTAATTAATTATTTGCATTAGGATACCTCATCGATTTTATTACCTCTGCAATATCTTGTTAACGAAATCCTCAACGATGTAGAGTCGCAGTTGGCGACCATTTTGTTTACAGTAGAGTGTCAAACAAGATGGCGGTAAGCAAGGGAGTATAAGTAAATGAATATAAGTATGAATATAAGCAAAGTTATAAGGAGTTAACAATAAGTAAATGAACATAAGCATGAGTATAAGCAAAGTTACAATGACTGTAAATAAATAAATATGAATATGACTATAAGCAAAGTTACAATGAGTTAACAATAAGTAAATGAACATAAGTGTGAGTATAAGCAAAGTTACAATGACTGTAAATAAACAAATATGAGTATGACTATAAGCAAAGTTACAATGACTGTAAATAAATAAATATGAGTATGACTATAAGCAAAGTTACAATGACTGTAAATAAATAAATATGAGTATGACTACAAGTAAAGTTACAATGAGTATAAATAAATGAACATAAGCATGAGTATAAGCAAATTTACAATGAGTATAAGTAAATGAATACAACTATAAGCAAAGTTACAATGAGCCTAAGTAAATGACCCCAAGTAAAAGTAAGTCTGATCATTTCTAAAAATACAAGACAATTGTAAGAGAAAGTGACTCAAGGTCGACATCGTCTAGGTCAATGAAATAAGGTTTGGTACCAATAATCCCTACACTCGTTAACGGAATGCAGCCTCGCAAATGCGCTGCCACGAACACGCGCGCCTCTCATTTACGAGTACATATATACACGTGACCGTAGTTACAAGAGATATATACACCTAATATTGCTGTTTGGCTTCCGTGAATGCCACCATACGCGGGATTAGGTCATGTTTTCAACGTAACAAAGTAGAGAATCTTCGGGTCGCGAGTTAGGGTGCTGTCCATGGGAGGGTTTCATTATCCGCTTCAGTCTCCTGCCAGTGTTCCGCCGATAAAAATCCCTAACGCGATTCTAGCCGATGTCTCCTCACCACGGACCCATTCATAAATCAGTGCTGTCGACGAGAGCGGCCACGAGAAATTAAGCCGCCGTTGCCGCGCATGCGTACAGATATAAGAATAGAAAGAGAACGTCTGGGCTTTCTTTATGCACATCTCCCAAAATCGAAGATACCCGTCTGTCGTTCGGCCTACACAGAAAACGGTGTGGACGGGTAGTTACCGTACCGAATGTCCCGTAATCCCTCACGTGGCACCTTCATTTTCGTTGAAACGACAGAGCAGGAACCTCGCGTTCCCAGATCGGTACAGAGGTCGCCACTTCACCGAAACGTATTACATATTAGGCAATTGGTTCTGGAAGTTCAGGCCTTCGACAGCACTGATTCAGGAAAACGATTCGGCCCGATTCGGATCGCGTTCGAACTCGATACGGGGATCTCGCAAGATTGCCTCTGAGAACCGTTGTACCGTTCACTTTGCCGCTTATAAATCTATCGCGATCTAACTGAGATCCCCTAAGATGCGTGTAAATCTACAATTACAGTGTATCTGTACGTGTATGCGTACACGTGTGTGTGTGTGTGTAGCTTTAGGTAGAACACGAGTATTCTGATTAGTTTCTTTGTTCTCGTTTAACGTTCGATGTCTCGAAGAAGCCGTCGCAAGCAGTTAATTCGATATACTTGGTTTTATCGCGTGATTTGGCCATGCAAAAATATGCCAAGTTTAGTAGCGGGAGACCACCCTCTCCCCTTTCATTTTCATCGTAATCTTCTTTGTTGTTCGCTTACATTCGACGATACGCTACTAGTACTTTTCAATTAGCTTAGGTTCCGACGACCTTCGACGAGGCTCGTTGAAGACCGTACGCGAAGCGAGTAGCGAAAATGCAGCGTGTACTTAAACGTACGCGGTGAACTTAACGGATATTACGGTTTATTTGTTAATCGTTCGTCGACTTTATCACTTCGTTGAAAAACAATGTTCGCTGAAACAGTCTGCTCGAGCGCCTCGGATTCATCCAAACTCGTTTCACGATCTTCACTCGGACTTCTAACCAACAACTCTTTAAGGCAACTCCCTACGAACAACTCGACGACTCGGTTGAGTATCCAAGACTCAAACCCTCCGCCAGGACATTCTACGACCTTCGCTGTTCGATGCAGGAATTCAGAGACCGTCCGGAGCCGTAAGAACTTTCACAAGTACTCCCTGGTCCTGGGCGGAGGCCTCTTCCTGTCGGGCCTGTCGCTCCTGTCCGTCGTGGCGGTGCTCTGTTCCCTGTCGTCGGTGCACTCGAGCATCTGCGTGGTTTCTGTCGCTTCGGACGGGCTGATAGGCTGGGTGGCGAGGGGCGCCAGCGGCGCTGCGCCCTTGTTCCGCGACTTGCTCCTGCGTTTCCTGAGGATCAGGGGTCCAAGCGGAGTGGAGTCGTCCCCTCTGGAGGTCGAAGCTTGCGCGAGCCTCTCTAGAAGCTCCTTGCTCACGTCTCTGGGTGAGCTCTTGTAATCCGACTCCTTCAGCCTGTCCGACTGTTGCTGCGACTGATGATGATGATGGTGATGATGATGGTGTTCCTGAGACTTGGAGGTTCGCTCGGTGGTCGTGCCCTGCTCCCTATAGCTCTCCGTGCACGTGGTCGAGGTGGACGTGGTCGCAAGCGACACCTTCTGCTCCGGCGTCTGCGTAGCCTGAGATCCCTGCTGAGAACCGGACGAACCCTGACCGGACTGGTTCGAGCCACCGCCTCCGCTGTTCGAACTCTTCTGCTGCTGCGAGTTGCACACCGGCAGCCGACTCATCAGCGTCTGCATCATGTCCTCGATCTTGGCCAGCCGCTGGTTCACCCGTTGCACCTCCAGCTTTAGATCGACCTTCACCTCCAGCACCGCGGCGAGGATCTCGCGGTCGTGGCTGGGCTGCGAGGTGATCAGACCGTCGTCGTAGCTCTCCAGACGACGGAGCTGCAGCTGTTTCGAGTCTGTTACGGTCTGCTGCTGCTGTTGCTGTTGCTGCTGCTGCTGCTGAGCGTCTTTACCGCTTTCTGAGTCCGCTGTCTCCTCGATGGTGCCGCTGAGCTTGCCGAACTTTGGGAACACCTTGTTACCACCGGCGCTCGAACCGGGACGGGCGTCCCTGGCGCTGAGCGAACGCTTGAAGGTGTCCACACCGGTCCCTGCTTCGCTTCCGGAGTCCAGACTCGAGCTCCCTAAAGAAAATACACAGTTAGTTGTTGAACTACGTTTGCCTTGCAGTGTAAAGTTAGCTAGCAGTTGATTTTACCTAGCAGTCGTCCCCATTTTCCAGGTCGCGTTTTCACGGCAGTGGTCTCCTCCGCTGCGGAGAGTTTTCTAGTGTGCGACGATTCTCCCTCTTTGCCGTCCTTCCCGTCTTTGCTGTCCCCTTTCTCCACGTCGGCGGTGTGCCTCTCCCTGCGGAACCTGAATAGAAAAAAACATGTCGAGAGCGAGAACGCTCGTCTTTAGTATCCAAAAAGATTGCCTCGGGACTATTTACATTACGGGGTTAAAGGTCGGTTTCACTAGGCGGCTGATCAAGTAAGTAAGGGGATAATAATAAAATACATGGTGTATACAAGTCGTGGGTTGTGGGAGTTGCTTGCCGAAAGTTTCACTTTTTGGCTCTGTGAAACTTTTCGTTTTCCCTTTTCTCTGATCAGCGAGCATTCGTTCTGTGTCATTACAGTGTCTTTTCTTTTTTTACATGGAGGTTTCTTTTTTTTTGTAAGGATGAGGTGTTTCTTTTTCTGTGGTTCTTGGTAGCAAATGAGTCAGCATCATGTCCTCGATCTTGGCCAGCCGCTGGTTCACCCGTTGCACCTCCAGCTTTAGATCGACCTTCACCTCCAGCACCGCGGCGAGGATCTCGCGGTCGTGGCTGGGCTGCGAGGTGATCAGACCGTCGTCGTAGCTCTCCAGACGACGGAGCTGCAGCTGTTTCGAGTCTGTTACGGTCTGCTGCTGCTGTTGCTGTTGCTGCTGCTGCTGCTGAGCGTCTTTACCGCTTTCTGAGTCCGCTGTCTCCTCGATGGTGCCGCTGAGCTTGCCGAACTTTGGGAACACCTTGTTACCACCGGCGCTCGAACCGGGACGGGCGTCCCTGGCGCTGAGCGAACGCTTGAAGGTGTCCACACCGGTCCCTGCTTCGCTTCCGGAGTCCAGACTCGAGCTCCCTAAAGAAAATACACAGTTAGTTGTTGAACTACGTTTGCCTTGCAGTGTAAAGTTAGCTAGCAGTTGATTTTACCTAGCAGTCGTCCCCATTTTCCAGGTCGCGTTTTCACGGCAGTGGTCTCCTCCGCTGCGGAGAGTTTTCTAGTGTGCGACGATTCTCCCTCTTTGCCGTCCTTCCCGTCTTTGCTGTCCCCTTTCTCCACGTCGGCGGTGTGCCTCTCCCTGCGGAACCTGAATAGAAAAAAACATGTCGAGAGCGAGAACGCTCGTCTTTAGTATCCAAAAAGATTGCCTCGGGACTATTTACATTACGGGGTTAAAGGTCGGTTTCACTAGGCGGCTGATCAAGTAAGTAAGGGGATAATAATAAAATACATGGTGTATACAAGTCGTGGGTTGTGGGAGTTGCTTGCCGAAAGTTTCACTTTTTGGCTCTGTGAAACTTTTCGTTTTCCCTTTTCTCTGATCAGCGAGCATTCGTTCTGTGTCATTACAGTGTCTTTTCTTTTTTTACATGGAGGTTTCTTTTTTTTTGTAAGGATGAGGTGTTTCTTTTTCTGTGGTTCTTGGTAGCAAATGAGTCAAGTTCGTTCTACTGAGGCTTAGAAAAAGGGAGACAGCTCCAGCGGTGTTCACGAGCAACCTACTTTGGTGTGCCTACAGGATTCGAAAAAAAGTTTCTTAGTGGTGATAAAAATGCCGACAAAACATACGGGAAAACCTGGCCTGTGCCGGTCAACCTCGACTTGACTTTATAGGGTGAACTCTCTGCTAACTCTAATTTTGATGAACACTGTAGATTTATCTGGGAAAAGTAACAATGTGGAGTCTTAAGTTAAGACATGTGAAATATGTGGAGACTACAATTAAACTGAACATCTACCTTCATAATTAAATTGAACATCTACCTCCACAATTAAACTGAACATCTACATCCACAATTAAACTGAACATCTACCTCCACAATTAAACTGAACATCCACCTCCACAGTTAAACTGAACATCTACCTCCACAGTTAAACTGAACATCTACCTCCACAATTAAACTGAACATCTACCTCCATAATTAAATTGAACATCTACCTCTACAATTAAACTGAACATCTACTTCCACAATTAAATTGAACATCTACTTCCACAATTAAACTGAACATCTACCTCCACAATTAAAGGGAACATCTACCTGCACAATTAAATTGAACATCTACCTTCACAATTAAATTGAACATCTACCTCCACAATTAAATTGAACATCTACCTCCACAATTAAACTGAACATCTACCTTCACAATTAAATTGAACATCTACCTCCACAGTTAAACTGAACATCTACCCCCACAGTTAAATTGAACATCTACCTCCACAATTAAACTGAACATCTACCTGCACAATTAAATTGAACATCTACTTCCACAATTAAACTGAACATCTACCTCCACAATTAAACTGAACATCTACCTCCACAATTAAACTGAACATCTACCTCCACAATTAAACTGAACATCTACCTCCACAATTAAACTGAACATCTACCTCCACAATTAAACTGAACATCCACCCCCAAAAATTTAATACATGAACTATCATTTTACTTAACAGACCTGACCTTGAACTACACAATAGTGGTACCTAACCACATACGCTCAGAGTACATGCTTATTTTAAGAATTAATTTGAACATGATCAGTAAGAACTCCTCCAGTTATTTTCCCTTGATAAGAGTCTACAGTGTTCAGCGTACAAACAGTGTTTGAACAAATAATCTTAGGTGTACAAGTCGAGGTCCACCGACGCAACATTCGATGATACAGTCGTAAATGGTAACAGCTGCTTGATCAACTTTGAGAGTGCCACGTCGACAGCTAAAAAAAAGAAAGTATCGCCTCGTTCGTCTTCCAATTTCTAATGCAAATCGAGGAATAAAATAACATTCTATCAGTCTATCATGCACGTAACATGCCACACGATCGAGGCTTCTATCGGTATCGTTCCTTGGCAGTCTGGCTGTTTTTCAAGCAGCTACTGGCGTCGTTATATAATATTTATATATATATACACACGTAAGAATGTATATACGTATAAAGAATACAGGGTGTTTCAAAAAGACTATACGAAGACGGATTCTGTGTGAGAACTCATCTAACCTTTCTTCGTTATCGTCTCGATAATGAAAATTAAGGTTTGTCAAGTTCTCGAACGCAGAATTCGGTACGAGGATTTTGAGACATTCTGTATACGTAAGTACAGGTGACAGAGAGAAATTTGAATCCTAGAGTGTGTACGTCACATGCATTCGGCGTTGCATAAAATTGTAAAAGGATGGCACGGAGGACTCTGATCTTCGGACGCTTTACATTTCCAAGACAAAAAAATAAATCGACGAGTCCTCGAGTCCGCTCTGTACAATCCTGGTTTCGCTAAAAATGTATACATGTATATGTATACGTATATACATATACATATGGTGGGAGAAAGATGCGCATAACCCTCTAAAGCCGTATATCTTACAGCACTCTAGCATTCGTCAGAACTGCAGTGATCGTCAAAAATGGCAAAGTTTGTAATGGCACCGGTTTCAACGTGTACGCACCTGAAGATGCGACTTCCAGGCAAATTGAGCTCGATAACTCACGTGTTCTATCTTTCATTTACATATCCTTTGAACAGTGAGTCAGCCGAGTGGTGGGGTGCCTAGGTTACATCGGTAGAGTAGCTGGTACAGGTATAGGAGCGATGGACCAGTACACAGATTTACTGGAAGAAAATTTACAGAGGAAAAGCTAGCGGTAGAATATCTAGCATACATTTGGAAGGCTCGCTTTCTAATTTCTCCTTCAATGTAGCTAGTGTACTCTACCGATATAACCAGTACTTTCTCCCACCACTCTAGTGTACTAGTGCTACTACTACCAGTCACTGTATCAGTGTGAAGCAAGCCAAACATGGATCTAATTATAAGGAAAGATGTAAACGTCCACATTTATACTTTCAAAATGGACATCATTTTCTGTCCCTATAATGTTAGATCCACGGTACAGATACTGTATCTAGAGAATACTTTGGTTTGCACAGATACAGTGAATGGCTTCCTACTAGCTGCATATTCTACCGTTTGCTCTACCAATGTGAACTAGGCTTTACTAGGAGATGCCTTCATTGTACGCGACAGTGTTAGCAATTTAGACGTACGAGTAATATAAGAAACATTAAAGATTGAAAATTCGAGGCTCGATTTGCCTGGGGCTCAAAGACGTGCTAAAGTGAGAATACGTATTCAGTTTCTCTTTCAAGCGTGTGTACAGCGATTGCACATCCGTGTAATACCCTTCGAACGTCGCAATCTCTCGAGATGCACTTTATCGTTGCTCTCGTTGGAGCGAGTTTCAAACACGAGACGAGAATAACAAGTAGAGGAAGAAGAAGAAGAAGAAGAAGAAGTAGAAGAAGAAGAAGAAGAAGAAAAACGCGTCTACTTTCGATTTACGCGTGGTTCGCATCGAATCACGATTCGCACACGTTCCATTGCTTTCGCTCGGGACCGGCAAAAAAATATACAAAAAACTCTCTCGGATCTCTCTCGTGGTTTGAAATGGTTCGGCTAAATTCGCAGCTACGCATGTACAGAAATCGACGCGTCCAGTATTATATACACGTATACAATTATGATGTAGAATATTCGTATACTTACATACGTACAGGGTGTTTCAAACGCTATAGAAATGTACAGCTTTTGTACAGTAATGTACAAGAAATGTACAGTGTATGGTACATTTTCTATTGCGGAATAACTCTTTATCTATTTTTTAATATTTTGCAAGTCTTTAACTATTTTTTACTATTTAATTTTCTAGTGTCAACTTTGTCGTGAAAAATTTAAGCATCTCTTTTGATACAGCCTGTACACGAATGTAAATATACAGGGCGTCTCAAAGTTAAACGACCTAACCTTTATTATGTTCTACAAGCAAGTAGTCAAATATGAAGCTGACCCTTCTTTACCGAAGATCAACAACTTAATTTTCAACTAATTATTATTTAACTTCCAACAATTCAACTAATATTAGCTTAAAAAATGTTATAAATCTTCTATCCTTATCTCTCGCTTGTAGAACATACGTGGTTAGCATCGCGTAACATGGAAACGCCCTGCGAAGAAGAAAAAACGAAATCACAGCTTGAGAGTTAATAATAATAATAATATAACGATATACAGTCGTACCCCGACTTACGTCCTAACTTGCGTCTGTTCGCGCTTAGAATTTAGAAATTTGAAGATACGATTTTTAAGTTTGAAGTCCTAAAATGCTAAACGGTGGAAGCTCCTTAACTCGGTGAAAAAAACCCACGTTAACTCCGGTGTAACATAAAACTCGTGGCTAGTCTGAAAGTAATTACAACGTAAGTGCAAGGTACGACTGTGCAATAATAAATAACGTATGAGTAATAATCATAATGGGAAGAATCATAATCGAATCAATAAATGTAGTTAATATAATTAATCATAATAAAGTGTGTACGTAAGAAGTAGCAGAGATGGCAATAAAAAAGAATGAAGAAGATAAATAAATACGTAAGAAATGAAATTGCCTAAAACTGGGCCAGGGCGGCAGGACGTTCACGGTGAGCTCCTCGTCGGAATCCTGTTGGGATCGTCCGTTCGCGGCCCTAGTCGCGCCAATCTGGGCATCCCCGTCGGTCTTGAACCTTTACGGACAACAGGCCAGCCAAGCAACGATCAACAATCAACAATCAACAACAATTTACCAGAGATACGAAAGGAATTGTACGCTATTTGTGCCACGTGATCGCCTCGCTGACGTCACACACTTCTTGCTTTCTCTCTCTTTCTCTCTTCTTTCTCTCACTTTCACTCTTTCTCATGCTCTTCCTTATTTTAATAATAATTCTACGATTCAAACGTTTAATTAACATTTGAAACGTATTCGTTGCACGCGTACTCCTCTCGCAAAATGGCGGCATCTGCGAAATTAATTGATCGTTATGTTCGAGAAGAATATGCGAGCGTATAGAAAATAAAATTTGCAACCGTTTCGATGTTCCACCTTTCAGTCTCTCATTTTCACTCACTCTCTCTTTTCTTCTCACTGCGATTTCTCGTTAGAAAAAAGTAAGGTTATGTGTATCGTCAGCTTGTGGATCTGTAAAGACACAGACCAGATGTTTGTTTGGTCTTCCAACACTGGACACGCTGGGCGATCGGTTAACCGTTTACGCAGTTGTATATTCGTTCGTAAATTCATCAAAATTATTTCATTTAACCTTTATTTCAACACCGATTCAATTTGCATCATCAAAATATCGATAATAAAACTCTACGAACGAATATATATACCTAAAAGAATTCGAATTAGGTTTTAAGATTTCCGTCAGTACGCTTCAATGGAAGATTGCATGATCGATTACTCGATAAGCATCGTTCCTTTCGCAATAATTCAATCTCCCGTTCGAGTAATTTTCCGAAGGCGTACCGACAGAAATATTTCTTGAAAAACAGAATGGATTCGACGATATCCATTCGAGAGTAACGGCCAACAAATCTGTCCTACCTCGAGAAGATTTTTCGCACCAGATGATCCTGTGCTTGATCCAATTGAGGCTCGTTTTTCCTTCTCTCGGCCAACTCTTTCTCCCGGCGAACGTCGGCCACTTTTCGAAATATCAGCTGTAAAAAATATTTCAAATTCGATACAAGTTATATTCGTATATAAAGCTACGTTTAAAGTCTCAGATCCGTCTATAAAGCACTTACGATAGTTCAAGTGCTCGAGCACTTACAATAGTTCACGGACACCGACAGAGCGTGCATAATCGAACATTGAAACAGTGGAATCGATCAAGAAATTAAATCGAAAATTACCTATTGCGCGACCTATCGATGATCTAGAACGTAATGGCAAACGGACAATTACGTTTTATTTACGGGGTCCGGAACAATTATTTATGCCCTTATCTTCTCCGCTATTATTAATGTCCCACAGCGCATCAAACCCTCTATCGGTTTTTTCCACCCTATAGTATATAGGTGAGCATTATTCGGTTGATTGTTAGATGTTAATAATCCATGGGTTGACGCTAAACGAGAAAATACATTTTAACAACCTCTTTAAATCTCCAGCGGGTAGAGCGATGAAACCTCTTTTCCTTACTCCGTAGAAAAAAAGTGATATTGACGCGAATGATACTTCGGTCAGTTTTGCGATTAAACATATCGTGTTCGATCGCAGATAATTCGAACGATAGAATTTTTTGACAGCGCTAAAAAATGACGCTTACATCCTTCTCGTGATCGAAAAGGGTGGAGGGGATTGAAGTAGCTATATATGCGTCTGCGCATGCGCGCAAGGTGCAGTCGATAGGCGCAGCGTTAGCGGACCAGCCGTTCTTCGACTAACCTCAAAATATTTTATTTATCGTGTCGGTTCGGAGAAGGTCGTGGACCGGTCCCCGACGAGTTCCGTCCCGGAACTTCGTCTCGGATGAGTCGTGAAAGGTTTTGAAGCAAAGTGCGCGGCTTAGCGCGTACTTTTAGCGTTCTGATTCGTTTCGAATCGAAGTTATTCGCGAGGCACACGAGGTATATGGATTGTCGTGTACAGTGCACCTCGCGTTCGAAAGGTTTGAATCATTTTTTCCCGAAGAACGCCTATTTACTTTGACGTCACTTTCGTTCTACGAATTAATCGTGTTCTTTCAGATGGGTCACGGTTCGAGCCGTTCTGCCTCTTCCGCGAATATATTATCCGCGGACGAGCTGACCTTGGTGGAGAATTTATTTAAGTCCATGTCACGGAGTTCAGGCTCCATAAAACGCGAGGACATATTTAAACACTGGTCAACTCACATAGACGATATATTATTGCAATTTGTGGTACGATTTCTCTGCCATGAGCCAGGGAAAAGGGTATCTGCCATTAATGGAGAGAATTTCGGACGACTGTACGTGTTTGCTGTTCGTGGTAGTCCAGAGGAGAGGACCAGCTTAATTTTTAACGGTTTCTCCGAAGAGGAACAGAAGCACGAAATACCCACCTCCATGTTCCTTCAGTATGTTCAAGCAACTATTAATTCTTATTTGAGACTGCAGAAGAATTCTGGGAATGCGCATTATTTAACTTGGAGCAGTATCGGTTGTACAGTGAATACCAGGAGAATAGGAATGCGCTCTAGAAGTTTGTGCGAAGATCTAGTCAAACACGGGGATACTTTAACCGTAGATCAAATCGAAAATTGGTTCTCTATGGCTGCTACATTCAAGATGATCCAATCGCACGTCTTCCAGTGCCTTTTCTTGGTCTCCCAGAAGAAAGGGGACAAGAACAGCGGTGCTAGAATAAACGATTTGAATCTCCTACCAATCTGCAGAGGTTTAGAAAACATACCTCATTTCCCCAGCATTCTTGGACTGGGGGATGTTCTGTTCTTGAATTTGAGCTTGCCTCATGAAGTACGTAACGAATGGAGATTTCTGTTTTCCAGCCAAGTTCACGGAGAATCATTCTCTACCATGCTAGGAAGAATTACCATGCAAGGATCTACTATCATGATACTTCAAGATACCGATGATCACGTATTTGGTGGATTTGCTTCGGACAGTTGGGCAATAGGGCCAAATTTCATAGGAAATCAAACTTGTTTTTTGTTCAAATTAGAACCAGAAATATTAACATTCTCATCTACGGGTTACAACAACCATTATCAGTATTTAAATCTTCACCAACAAACTATGCCTAACGGTATGCTGATGGGAGGACAACTGAACTATCCTGGTTTATGGTTGGACTGCGAGTACGGGACAGGCAAATCCAGCTTATCGTGTACAACCTTCCAGAACTATGTGCAGCTCAGTGGCAAGGAGAACTTCAAGATCAAACACTGCGAGGTGTGGGGTGTAGGTCCAATACCAGAGGCAGAGGAAGACACGCGCGACTCGAAATCGGTTCTGGATCAAGATCCCACTTCGAAAATGTTACTACAAATGTCTGGACGCAAGATGTACTCCGAGAACTTAGAGAAAGTAAAAGAGTAATCGCGAGGTCACATGTCAGGCTATTTCGAGTATAACAACAGCTTTCTAGGACAAGAGTCATTGTAAAACAGTGTCTGTAATGCGATGAGATATAAATAATAATGTTGTTTCACGTTTCTATCTATAATTTCGTAGCTCGTTAGGGCCAATAAATCGGTTATGAACGCTGCGAACGAACAGTAAAGTTTTATAAGCTTCTCACGTTTCTTTTCGTCCGGACCGTTAATTCGAAAAGAGTATCCTTTGTAAACGGCCTGTCACATCGTTCGACTCTACTAGTCTGCTACTTGAAAAAAAAACACCATGTCGCGATATTAAAAGAAATGTCGTGCGAGTTGTTGTGTCTTTCGAATGCCTATTACTAGTGCCTGGTGAGTGATCAATCATTTTTAATCAGAATTCTTAATCTAATCAGACTATCGAGGATCGTTGCCATTGTTATATAAGACTGCGTGTGCGTATGTGTGCGTGTGTGCATTCGCGCGAACTCGTTGGCTTTGCTCGATGAAACGAAACCAAAGAATCAGCACTGAATTGTTATTCGGTAAGAGTTCAATAAAGAATTGAAACCCACATTCTCTTTACTCTTTGCGTCGAGACTCGGTACATTTACATGCATCATCAACACAAAGAATCCTTACCCGGTGACTCAGGTTGTAGGTCAAAACGAGGTTCCTGGCGAAGGAGTTTGCGAAAGCTTGATAAAAATCCAACACTTCCAACAGTCGGTCCCTCTTGATAGTGTGAAGGTCGCAGTAGGTCAGAGCTCGCACGTTGGCCGCGCTTTGTCCCACGGACGGATTCGTCCAGAAGCTGTCTCCGAACACGTCTCCCTTGCCAAGGATAGCCACAACCTCGTCGTCTTGTATCACCTCGAGACTCCCAGTCACGATGAAGCACAACGAGTCGATCGACTCGCCTGTATGATAAAGCAAATCGCCGGGCGCACTGTGCGACATTGTAAAGTGCATCGCCAGTGCCCGCAGGCAACCGTCGGAGGCCAACCTGAGGAACGAATCAACTGTCTATTAAAAAGGTCAAGAGTGGGCAGTTTACAAGCAAGCACTCTAGCTTTGCTATGCCCGTTTACCTTAAAGAGATGGCTCACCTGAACGCTGGGTGTTCGTTGAAGACTTTCCTGTTTAAGTGAACACAGATGTCCGCTTTCATGTCTTTCGGGCAGTAATTGAGTACCTTGTCGGTGTCTAGGCCCTTGGTCATCGCCCAGGTGCTCACCACGTAGTCCATCACTCGCTCGCTTAGGGCTTTCGGCACCTCGTGCAACTTCATGAATTCTCTCACGTTGTTCAGCATGTCGTGATACTTGGCGGTGGCGGATGTCATTTGCTGAATTATTGTGGTGACGTGACCGAAGATCGTGGCGTACAGTAGAGCTGGAAACATAAAGGTATACCTGTGGTTAACGCTGAGTGCCTCAGTAAAAATTTTATGGGGTCAGGGAGAAGGATATCTTAAGGGTATCTAGAGATATCTCTGAGGTAGCTCTTTAGAGGTATAGTCTTCTAGGTCCTGTTAGGTCCTACTAGTCCTCCTAGGTTCTGTTACACCTCCTAGGTCCTGCTAGATCCTACTAGTCCTCCTAGGTTCTGTTAGACCTCCTAGGTCCTACTAGGTCCTACTAGCCCTCCTAGGTCCTACTAGTCCTCCTAAGTCCTCTTAGACCTCCTAGGTCCTACTAGTCCTCCTAGGTTCTGTTAGACCTCCTAGGTCCTGCTAGATCCTACTAGTCCTCCTAGGTACTGTTAGACCTCCTAGGTCCTCCTAATCCTCCTTGCACCCATAAAATTCTTAGGCTTTGCCAACAGTCTTTAGGTTCTTTGGTTCTTTTCAGATTTTTTCTGGGGTTATAGGTTCTCTATCTAGCACTAGATCTTACCAGCGATGATCATCATGCAGATGGTGAATATTTTCTCGTTGTCGGTTTCCGCGGCGACGTTGCCGAAGCCAACGGAGGTCATGCAGGTCATCGTGAAGTACAAGGCGGTGACGTACATAGTCCTCCTGGACGGTCCTGCGACCAACTCCGGCGCAGTACTGGTATTAGTCCACAAATAGCTGTAGGGTGACTGTGTGACGTTCGCCAGCTTCCACAGCCATGAATATTGAACCCCGTTGTCGGCGTCCGACCTTCCTATCGAGTACCTTCAACGCAACGAGACTTCTTATTCGGGAGGAATTTCGTGAACGGCTACTAGGTTACAGAATGAAGGATGAGGGTATCGGGGAATAAGCTCATGCTTTTTCGCTAATCGCTAAGCTTTCTTTCATCGGGCTCTTTCTGTTTAAGAAAGATCACGATCAAATACTCTGCGATATACCTCTGCAAAGTTTGCCAACTTAACGTAATAACGATCAAAGGAGCGGTCGTCGTCCGTTCGACAAAAGGGGCACATTCTTTGCCGAGGAAAAGGGCGGAACGTTAGCATCGTCGAGACTTTCATCCTTAAAGACAGCGGTTGATCTCGAGCGCTACTTCATTCATGCCGCTTCGCGAGCAAGCAGCGAAAATAATTAAGAAGCGGCTTCTAAAAGAACTAGACAGCGGTTTAAATGCAACGCTCTCGCTTTAACGGCGAGACGAGTTTTCCCTCTTGATTCTCGTCGTCATTCTATGAAGCTGCACACGTCACGATCGAGATTTTCGATCGGAAAGCTGATCAAAAGCATCGCGTGTACTACCTGTGTACGTGCATCGTGTTCGTGTGTGCGTGCGTGTGTGTTTGTTTCGTAGTAAGGATCGAATGACGTCGAGGAAGCCGTCAGTCCTGCCGCAGTGTTACCTTTCAGTGTGTGGGCAGGGTAAAATCACCTTAAAGTGACGTACCAGACACAGGCCAGCCAGTGAGCAACCAACATGTAGAAACAGAGCAGAAGAATGAGCATCGCGGCTCCATACTCCAGATACCGGTCTAGTTTGCGAACTACCCGACCCAGACGAAGCAGACGCACCACCTTCAACGCCGAGAACAAACTACCTATGCCGTCCTCGTCGTGGTCGAACGCGTTGAACACGTCGTATGGAAGGCAACTTAGGAGGTCGATGATGAACCATGATTTCAGGTAGTTCATTCTGATCACCTGTAACAAACCAGTAATTACTGATACCGTTCGACTTGTTTTGACAGAAGCTTTGGCTATTACCTTTGGGTCAGACACCACCTCGCCACCCGGACCAACGAACGTCGTATGAAAGTTGAGGACAATGTCGATGAAGAATATGACGTCGACGATGCTGTCGACGACCAACAGGGACACATCCTCGCTGGTCTTGTTTTTGAACGCGACGTTGTAGGGCACCATGATGGCCGTGTAAAAGGTCAAACACAAAATGATCCAATCCCAGATTGCCTTGAACGCGCAGTAATGTAACAAAATGTGTGGCGGAGTCTTCGGCGCCTCCTGTCTGTACTGCGGCATCACGTCGCCGCTTAACGACATCATCTAAAAACATACAGTCATTTCAATAAATAATCTGGGTCAATTATTAACAAAGTTCTAAAGTACTCTAGCATTTACCTAAATATATAAAAATATAGGAGCTGATTAACTTAGAATACTATGTTACACTAAGGTCCTAAGATGTACCTTCATCAGCCTAATTTAACAATAAAGATATTTAACAATACAATCTCCTATCTAGTCCAATATCTTAAATATATAAAAATATAGGAGCTGATTAACTTAGAACACTATGTTACACTAAGGTCCTAAGATGTACCTTCATCAGCCTAACTTAACAATAAAGCTATTTAACAATATAATCTACCTAGTCCAATATCTCATATCTAGCTTTCCTAAGAGATATGAACTTACATGAGCTAAGTGCGATTGTTTGGTGGTGGTTGGTAACGCGGAGTCCTTCAGGGCGGGCAGATGTGAGCTGAACTGTGAGACAAGAACGGATCTGGACCTGGTGACCGATCTGGCTAGTTTGGCGAACTTCGAGAGGCCACCTTTGCTGTCGTCCGTGTCGATTGGCTGCTTCAGGGCAGTGATGTCCCGGAAGGTCAACAGGAACAGGACCACCAGGTCCCGTTCGTTTTTTATTGGCGCTATTTGCAGAAGCAGCCATAGCGGTGTTTCTGTGCATCAGTCGAATCAGACACTCTATCATTCGTTGGAAACGTCAACCTATCAGCTAATTCTTACGTTCGACTTTTAGCCGAAAGGTTATCATACAGTGGATCTACCTGACCATGCAGGAAGGATGTCTTTATAAATTAATTATAAGTTTCTTTGATGAACCTGTGATGAATCTGATGAATTTCTTCTTTGATGAATTTGTTCTTGAACCTTTCTACCTGTTCATCAAATTGTTCTAACAGAGCAAGACATTCAAGGTCATCACACTTAAGGAACCTTCACAAAGTTAGGTTAGGTTCCTTAAGAGTCCTTCCTGCAAGGTACACTAACCTTATCTATCGTGCTACAGAACACTAAAGCAATCGTTATCAGGCAGTAGCCCACAAAATGTATACAGATACATAAACGAGTAAGCAAAGCGATACAAGATTCCATAGGAAGTCCACGGGTGCATGCCACCATGCATATCGCGTATCGAGTGCAAAGTATAAAGAGAACTTCCTTTCGTTGAGACTTCGCAGAGCAAGAGCGAAAAGTTGAAGCAATAAATTAAAATTATGATATCGTGATAAAGAGTTGCAAAAATGTGTATGTCGCGTTCAGACAAAAGAGGACCCAGTGCCGGAGATGCTATTTCGTGTTATTTACAACGGTACTGTATGGGAACGTTCGAACTCCTATTAAATACTTCCTTGTATCGTTCTTTACAAGCTGTGACCTACGGACATGTACAAATGGTATGTTACGAGTGTTTTTAAAGTGATAGACACTGGTGATTACTCGGCCAACGCCTGCTCTCATAGTTAATTCTCGATATCAACTTCATTAGGACGAAACATACGAATAAGATACATTGTGCTTGCATACGTGCTCGGCGAACACGGTTGGATTGATAAAATGTTTGAACGTTCTAGCTTCATAATTAAAAGTATAATAATTATTTATTATCACTAACTTCAAAAATAAAATTCCATTCCTAACCTCAAAAATAAAATTCTCAATAAAAAGTCTGAATTTGAAACTATTTTGAAGTTCGTCCATGAAAAACAAGATGGACGCCAAGAACCACGCGTCGTTCGCCGAGCGGGAAACAGTACATCTGCAAGACAGCGTATATACGTGTGTATCTATAGTACTTAATTAGGAATTGATTCGGGAAAAATTAACTGAAATCAAGAGTAGGTGGGAGGTCGAACAGTGTCCTCTCATTATGGCCGCCCCTTGGTCCAGGGATCGTTCGACGATCCTTGTAAGTGTGTCGTCTCTTGTTCAGGCTAAAGATGGGAGTGTATAATAATCGTATACAGTACCTTCAATTTGTATATTTACATATATTTATATATTTCTTAATGTATAATATATACACAGAGTCTTTCCAAACTCAACTATCTGCAACTCCATCCGTGTATCCATCTAATAAGAACACGATAAACAAGTATTCCACAGAAAATACCAAATTGACAACAATAAATAAACAACAATGTTAAACAAAAAATAGACTTACTTGAATAGTCGTTTCCTTTACAAACTGTTCCAAATGTTAACTGTTAAATATTTTAATACAGTACTTTATCCTGTACTTATTTAAGGATAACACAGAGAGTCTGATAGCGTCGTCTGGAAACACCCTGTACATGTATGTATGTATACGTATATATAATAGTAAATTATACGGTGTTTTGTATAGTTAGATTCGAGGGTGACTTACTGGTGGGTCTTTCGAGCACTCTTTTGCGAACCTGTGCTAGACATACCTCGTGGGGCACCTTTAAACAGAACGATCACACATATTATTGGGCTCGATTGTCCGGCTAAGTCTGCACGGTCTAAATAGAGGACTCGGGTGTTTCGTTGGAACTCTCGGATTACCCTCTAACAATCTGTTTAATAATCGTTGACCGTTTCGCTGTTCTGTTCTCAAATGATCGTGACGCTTCGATGATGATACAGGTCGCTTCAAAAAAGATGCGAACATTTGCGGCCAAAGGAAAATCAATTTAAATACAATTGAAAATTATCCAACTACATTTTCACAACCAAAACATTTTTTTAAAAATTCCTTTTGCCACAGAAATGTTTCAATTTCTACAACAGCTACCTCTTTTGAACTCTCTGTACTCAAGAAAAAAAAGTCGATAAAAAAACAGAGGGTATGAGACTCAGAAGCATCGTGAAAAATAAGTACGAGAATGAGACGAGCGTAGATCAAACGTATTCCTGACGCTCGTTACGTTGATACACGAAGCGAGACTGAGGTGAGTGTCAGGCGTAACACCAACGCGTGGCATTAAAAAAAAAATAGAAAAAAAAACAAAATTTGTAACACGAAACTCGAAGCCGAGAATCGATAGAAACGAAGACAGACATTTCGGTTTCGGTGGTCGGATCAGCGCCGAGCATGCACAACGATACATCGTCTCGTGCCTCGAGGCGTTCTGTCAGAGGTAATTTCGTCGAGAATAGACGATTTCCTGTTTTGCGTTCACGACATTCGTCAACCTGACACCTTTCAAAACAGCCTGAACAATTTCCATCTTTTCACACGGTATTCCTTTCTTAACGCATTCATAAACTGCAATTTAACTGGAAAATAACCTCAAACTTCTCCTCCTTGTCTTCATAACATTTTTAAATTATATCTGAAATTAATAATTTATGTAGTAATGGTATATAATAATATATGTAATCATAGTATATAATAATATTTGAAATTAATAATATAGTTCAGGATATTTTAACGTGGTTGAACCTTGTCGTGAATAAACATCGTCGATTCCGACGATGAAAGAAGCCACGAACACCGCACATTAATTAAGCTTCCCATGCGTCGATTATCGTTGGTACTTACTGTTCTTCTTGTACAGCAGGATCTCGAATTGATCGTGAATCTGGCCCTCGAGGCATTCCTCGATCCTGGCGATCGTCTCTTTGTCCGTCAACTCCCCGTACATGAATCCGCAGCGGCAGGACTTTTGCATAACCTGTTCGGTACAATTGATATCGCGATATTATCACAATCCCCGCTGGAATAATGGAAGAAATAATAGGAAAGCATCGAATTACGGAATAGGCGTGTAGAGGAGGATCCGTGACGTTTTTTTACGGGATGTATTAACGGTGGCGCGTGCGACCGACACCGGAAACTAGATTAAAATTGGTCGGCCAGGTGCGCCACCCTCGTGTAACGTACAATTACATTAAACCGATTATATCTTCGTGGACACTCTTGGATAATCGGATCAACGGTGTGATTTTCGCGAATGAAATTACCGGGGTAGCAACGAAAAATCATGGATTACGGTTAAAACAAATTTCGAAGGTACCTCGTAACATGCACGGTCTTCATTCTTTTTAACGCAATTTAAAAAGCTCACGAGAATGTTTCGTTACCTCGGCACGATTATAGCCAGAGATTTTGCAAAAGCTTTCGTTGCAATAGACAATAGGGAAGTCGACGATCTGAGCGTTCGCCAGGAGAAAACTGCTGTCAGCTGTGAACAGAAAAACGTACGGTATAGGTCATAAAAAGCAACACGATGTTTGAAAACGCGATGTTAAGTAATTAATTTTGTAGCGCAATTTTAATCGAGATTGCGTCATACCAGGATTTGGCGGGAAATTCGAACGGTGGCTGTCTCGAGGTTCTCCGTTATTTTCCCTAACTAGAAAGATGGAACAATCCTTTTCCCTCGGTATTCAGCTGTGTCTTTATTATTGAAGTCACGACACGTTCCCGTGTTGCTCCATTTGTTTGCCAAAACACCGAGGTTGCTTTATTCGCGACGGACCAAGCTGTATCTCCGAGTTCCCTCTTTCTTTTATTTCCGCAACTCGCGACGTCTGCACGTCACGCGTTTAATAATAAAACGCTGTTTTAGAAGCCGTGGTTCGTTGCCGGTTAGAAACAGAGCGTCAAAAGATATTTCGTGCTTATCTATTTCTCTTCACTCTTCTAAAGTTATTAACCGCATTACCAAAGTCGATTGCATTTTGACATTTTCGTGTTCGTAATCTCCGTCACTTGAGTGCAGCCGAGTCGAACCGAATTGCGCCGAATTAAACCGAATCGAATCAAGCCGAACGCGTACGAGTCGAGTCAAGTGGTTCCTCCGCAAAATGTAAATGCATTTTCGCATTTTTAAGAGAAACGCAGATGTCAATACCGTTGCGCTTGAAGAGAGAACTCGCAGCCTTCGTTCCTTCATTTTCCCGAACGTTTGCTATTTCTCCCAGAACGATGACGATAATCACGCGTGCACGCGCGAGTTAACTCGCTTTCTATGCACGCCACGCGAACGAGCTTCGCCATTTGCCACTGTTTCCATGTTCCTGACCTCGGTCACTCGTTCGAAACGGGTCAAGGCCACGTACTACGGCTTTACGTGCACACCTCCGGTGATCCTTTTGACTATCCAGTCGAAATCGACGTATTCTGGTTCGTGAACCGTCACCCGAGAGAGCTTCGGTTAGGAAATCAACGTAACGTCGTTAACGACCGGGAGAATACATCGATTGATCCGATTACGATTACCGAATCGACACTCGAACCGTGCATCGATCCGCAGGACATCTGTCGTCCTTACAGGTGCACTTTTTCGTTTACCCTCCGTCGAATTTGCAAGTTTCACAAATCGAATACCGTTCTATTATTCGAATACTTTACTAATTTCCTTCGGGTCGTCTTCGGAAGTGTTTTCGTCGGTAAAAAAATTATGAGGAGTCAGTAAAACGTGCGGTTATAAACGCGATCGAGAACACTTAAAAGTTGATCTTGACGGAACACGGGCGGAAGTGGAGGCCTGTTTATCGCCAGGGGCTTCAAATGTTCTCTTACATCAGCCCGTTAATCTCATCCATATTCAAGAGGCACTCCGTTCTGCTGAATCGGATTTGCCGTAGCTGTCTCGATAAACGCGTTAAAAGGTCCCATGCTTCGAAAACACGGAACGATCGGTAAGGTGAAATTCAGAGACGGAATTGTTATAGAAACGCGCTTAGACAAACAAACTAATTGGATATTCCCGAATAAAAGAAACAGTTTCTCGCGGTTCGATCGAATCTGATTCGTTTAATGCTTTACAGAGTGTGCCAAGCCCCTCGAAGATCCTCCGACTGTTTTCGAGTTCCTGTTGCATAGGCGTTGGCCGCGCGTTCCGAGGATGCACAGCTCAGGGGCTCTTCGAGACGAACAGCCGCCATTCGAGTAGGCACACTCGATCAAAGTGCCTCTTGCTCGTAACCGTCTACCCCGACCACCTTCATCCTCTCTCAAGCTCGATCACCTTCTTACCTCGTCGCGCGATAGTAAATACACTCTATCGCCCTTAGTGAACGAAGGTATTTTTTTCTGGTAGGTACTTTTGACATTTTTCAAATTATTTCTCTGACTACTACTTGTTTTATGTTGGAACATATGTGTAAGGTTATGTATATATTTTTAGGAAGATGCTTCATTGTAAAGAATGTAGGCAGCCATGTTGTAATAAGGATATGCACTTGGAAACATTTTTTATGGTAACCTATCAACGTATAAACATATTATTCACGTTATTATTTTTCTGACACTACTTGTTTTATATTTATGTCACATGTGTAACACTGTATATAATATATTTTTAGGAAGATGTCTTTATTGTAAATGATGTACAAGTCTTGATAAGGACAAGCACTTGAAAAAATTTTCCATGGTAATTTATCATTGTATAAACATCTCTTTCAAGTTATTATTTTTCTGACTACTACTTGTTTTATATTTGTGTCACATGTGTAATACTGTATACAATATACTTTTAGGAAGATGTCTTCATTGTAAATGATGTACAAGTCTTGATAAGGACAAGCACTTGAAAAAATTGCTCATGGTAATTTATTAATGTATAAAAATATCTTTGAACTTATTATTTCTCTGACTGCTACTTGTTTTATATTTGTATCACATGTGTAATATTGTATACAATATACTTTTAGGAAGATGTCTTCATTGTAAATGATGTACAAGTCTTGATAAGGACAAGCACTTATAAAAATTGTCCATGGTAATTTATTAATGTATATACATCTCTTTCAAGTTATTATTTCTCTATTATTTCTCTATTCTCTATTATCAAGTTATTAAATACTTGTTTTGCTATATTTGTATCACATGTGTAACACTGTATACAATATTTTTAGGAAGATTGTAAGCTATGTAGGCGTCCAGTTTCCACAACCTATCGTCGTTGGAATAGAAACATCAATGGTAAGTCTTCCAAGCATTTTGACCAAACATTGTCAGTAAAACTGCCCGTGTTTCGGACATCGATTCACGTTAACCGAAGCGTAAAATCCACATAAGAAAAATACAAAGACATCACAGATGTAGATGAAACGTTTCACGAATTCGATGCTCGCAGTAAATAGACCTATCTCGTTCCGCCATCCAACGAAAATGCCTGACCCCGGTTTCGGTTAACCGAAGAAACGAGGCGAATGATTTTAAAGAGCCTACGGAAATCGATAATAGGTAGAGGTTGAATAACGAACAAGTGGTAAGCGGCAGATTGCTAATTGAGCGAATTCTAAGAGGCGAACGTGCAGCTTGGAAACGTTTTGTTTCGCGATGGTTGCTCGATAAACGCGGAGGAACACAGGGGAAGAAAATAAGGTAACGGGGTTGTGTTTCACGAACAACCGGTTATTACGGCATTTATTCTAATTTCTGTGCGCCTATTAATACTTGCCCCGCTCGTTACACGACTTTATCGTCCACGGGCAAATATTTCCTTCCGGCAAATGAGCAATAAGTCGCGATAACATTGGACATCGGCTTACGTCTAATAGCTCGATTTATGAGCTAGTTATGCTTCGATCCACTGTCGCTGAAAGATTAGAAAAATAGAAATCGATGGAGGGTGCTTTTCGTTGGAAGCTTTCTTCTTTCTGAGGCAAGTTTGGATCCAAGATGGGTTCAAGGATTATAAATGATCATGCTAACGGTGTCCTTGTGAACAGAATATGTGAAGACATTGTATAGAAATTTGTGAAGACGTATCACCGTTTGCTGCGAGAAGTTCTCAAGATTTCTAAGACGTTCAAAAGGTGAAACTTCACCAACTATTTCAATTACATCTGCAGTTAAGTTTCTCGATTTAACCTCCGTTCAAAGGCGCACATCTTGACAACGAGCATTGACTACACGTCGAAGAAAGACTTCGGTCGCCGTTATATTTATCGCGCGGCGTAATCGATAGTTGGTCTCTCGGGTAAACAGTGCAGCAGAGGTGTGATCGTTATTTCGGTGGAGAAGCATGGTTGCATGCCTGTACTTGAACCACTTTCCGCCACGGAAAGCTCCACGTTTCGTACAATTCCAAACGGGATTAAAAAATTCTAACAAGGAAGCTGCTTGGATAGAAAATTTCTATTTTGCGTGGAGAGCAGACTTTTACCGGGGAAAATAAAGACATCACAAGTCGCATCTTGGGCGTGGTGCTAGTAGAATAGTCCATTAAGGTTCGTACAGTGAAGGAGTTAAATATTGGTCCGACTGTGCGGTGCCACGAGTCCGGTTTCCATCTTTGCTAACATTCTTATAAGTCTAAAGATTCTTTTGATTGTATAAATTCAGTAATGTATAAATTTAGTAATGTATAAATTCAGTAACAAATTCAGTAACAAATTTAGTAACAAATTCAGTGACAAATTTAGTAGCAAATTCAATAGCAAATTCAGTGACAAATTCAGTGACAAATTCAGTAACAAATTTAGTAACAAATTTAGTAACAAATTTAGTAGCAAATTCAGTGACAAATTCAATAGCAAATTCAGTAACAAATTCAGTAACAAATTCAGTAACAAATTCAGTAACAAATTCAGTGACAAATTCAGTAACAAATTCAGTAGCAAATTCAATAGCAAATTCAGTAAAAAATTCAATAACAAATTCAGTAGCAAATTCAATAACAAATTCAGTAACAAATTCAGTAACAAATTCAGTAACAAATTCAATAACAAATTCAATAACAAATTCAATAAAAAATTCAGTAACAAATTAAGTAACATAACAATTGACATCATACATCCAATTCAATATATAATTTGCAGTAACCTGAAGTTTTTGAAGTAACTAGCGAGTCGATATGACTAATCGTGGCCTGCATTTTATCGGAGCGCGCAGCGATTATCGGTGACCCGCTGAACGAATTAAACTCTGTTTTCAATGTCTTCCGTTATTCCGTCTTTCTTGCTCCGTGTTTTTGCTTGTTTACCCGTTTCATTCCACGGAATCAAGAAGTACGAGCGTCCAAGGGTAAATCAGAGCTTTCACGCGAAAGGGGAAAGATGTTCGGGACGGTTCGGAGCACTTTGCTGGCCTCTTAAGTAGAAAAGTCCATTAAACATCGGACATCGTATGTGAAATTGTACGCGTATACACGTGCTCGCTTGTTTCGCCGCAATATGAAATTTCACTTTCCTCTAACCGAGTTGTTAAAATAACCGCTGGGAATTAAAACACGTTGACCGCCGCTGAGCTGATGTTTGCAAGATAATTCCGTCATGAGGATGAACCTTTTACCAGAGTATTCTCAAGAACAACACGCGAATAAATTTTATATAATTTAATAAATAATTGTGTTGATTCGGACTAGCTTTAAAATTATACTTGTATGCGATTGCTATTAGTGGGTGTTAGAAAGGAGAACTCTAAGAAGGAGAAAGCATAGCACGTTACGCACCTGGCGATCGTGTTTACCGAGAGTAAGGTCAGCCAGGCTGACTACTTAATCTTGATTCGCACGCGACAGAAGCCGGATCGCTGGGTCAAGGTGCATATGCACGCACCTGCAGGTGCGCCTTGACCACTCCGCTCGCACCTCTATGACCGTGGTCAATTTCAAGTTTCTTCCTTTTCGCGCTTCTCCCTTAGAAAAAAGAGTATCCTGAGCGTATCCTTGCTAAACCCAATTACCCGCGGCCCACGCGATACCACGATTTCCAGCCGAACCAGAAGATTTTGCCGCTCGTAAATTACGACTCGTGGATTATCACGGTTAATTGTCAACTCGACCTTCCACGGAGCGTGTAAGAAGTTTGAACCAGTCGCTCTATCTCGATCGTTTCGCGGATAATCTCGACGGACACACGAGACGTTTGCACGATCGAGCGTTACTGTGCTTACGAAACGTACACGTGCCTTTTTTCGCGGAAATTTATTTTTTAAATGTACAGAACCCTGTTAAGGTTCAATCTTTTCGCGGTAGGAAAATTGGGACCTTGGTCTTGCGAGGCGCACAAATGCCTGGCGATATAACACGTGGCGATATAATAGGGGACAATATATCACGTAGTAATGCGTGACAAATATATTGCGCGGTGATATAAAATGGAACCATGTATTGCGTAGCTAATATATCGAGTGGCAATATATCACGAGGCAATGTAACACGTGGCGATATAACAGGGGACAATATATCGCATTGTAATGCGTAACAAATATATTGTGTGTTGATATAACATGCAACAACGTATTGCGTAGCGAATATATCGAGTGGCAATATATCACGAGGCAATATAACACGAGGCGATATAACAGGGGACAATATATCGCATTGTAATGCGTAACAAATATATTGTGTGTTGATATAACATGCAACAACGTATTGCGTAGCGAATATATCGAGTGGCAATATATCACAAGGCAATATAACTTTTATAAATATAATGAGTAGCAATATAACGCATAGCAGTCTAATGCGTAGAAATTATACGTCCGATGATTTAATGCGTGGCGATATAACTAGTGGCAATATATCATGTGGCGATATATCACGCGGCAATGTAATGTGTGGCGATCTAATGCGTAGGAATTCCACGCGTGGTAATCCAACGCGTGGCAATATAACGCGTAGTAATCCAACGTGTGGCGATCTAACGCGTGGCAATATAACGCGT